GTTCTGTCAACTTCGCACAGGCTGGATCGATCTCTAACGAGTAAAAACATTCTACACATTCTAAAGCAAAAGTCGAATTCATGTCTCGAACGTAAAGTGGAATTACAAAAGATTGCTTGGCAAGATTATTATGTAGCCTACTATTATGTCATTCGTAAATAATACTGTTGTCAAGCAATCTTTTGTAATAACCGAAATATCCTTCAATCGTGAAGTCGATTGTATTAACAACCCACGATTATAGATAGACTAATTTATGATGACTTCACGCGCAAACACTGTTTGGTTACGGCACGAGCCACTTTATGGAATTTATGATGTTCAGCTCACTAGCTTACAAGCCCAGTTAAGCGATGACTGGTTCGAATTATAATTGATGCATCACATCAAAATTCTTACCACTCACCTAGCGAGTCCGCGTACCCCTGTGACGGCCTAAAAGACTTTTTAGACGGATGAACTCTTTGCGCGATAGAAGATGCAATACCTCACCGTGAACTCGTAAAATCGCTTCCATTTGCACAGTCAAGCCCAGGAATCTGTCTCACTCTCAGAGACACAATATTTTGAACTGAAATCCTACAATGAAGCATAAATCAAATATATGAACACACATATATGTATGTAAAATACATGATTATGCTTGCGATTTCACTGTTTCCATCAAATCAGTACTAAATATTGACAACACAGCGAAACAATGGGTGTTTGCATAGCTTTCGGAGCGAGAGGCTTTAGTAAGTGTAATATGCAAAAGTCCATCTCCCATGTGAAACTATGAAACCGTTTGTCTTCTGACGATATTGTTTATTGCGGAATATTACTGTTATTACGAACTATGATACCGGTATTCTAATTTCCATTGAAAGACAAAACTACTGCTTTGATTTGCGCAACATCAAGACGCCAACACCAAACAACGAACATAGATTCACTTATTGCTTTCTGTTGTTCGGTTGTTGCATCATTTATTGAAATTCAAACACTGGCCTTGTTATATTTTGTATAAAATTATAATCCATGTTTAAATCGAATATAAAAAATGATCCAATATGTGTTACATTGCACAACTTATAAAATTCTATAAGTCTTCCAGAAATGGTTTGCCGCAAAACAAAGTTCCAACTTCCAAGTTGACAATATTCCCTGAAGTTTTCGAGCCTCGATTATCTTTTGGCATATTTCTGCAATTTGCATATATTATAACTGTAATTACTGTTATAGCCTAGACTAGAGGCTAGGCTTATCCCGGAGCATATTACGACCCACGAGCAGAAAACGATCCAATTGAATTCTAGAATTGGAATAAACCTCCCAGATGCGACATGGAGGGCATGTTTCCCAACTTTAGCTGACACGAAAACTTATGTCAATAGTAGTTACTATACACACGTTATGTATAATTGAATATAGTCTACCTTCATTTTAAATATAAATAAAAGAGGAATACTGTTTTTAGGGTATACTAGGAACTAGATATATATTAAATGTAAGCATGAAATTATATTACATTTGTTTTAGAGGTAATTGCCATGCAATAAAACGGAAATCAAAAACAATTGCACTTTTTTACATTGGCGTCTAGGTAGGCTGTGTGTGTACCTCGAACAACAATCTTTATACTTTCATTTTGATGATAGAATGAACAGACAGAATGAAAATTCGGAGAGACGGATTTTAAAATATTTGAATGCTTGCATTTATTCTTCCACATTATTCGATGAAATCGTAAACTGCAAAAGAACTTAACATTTCGCTTATCGTACAATGAATGTAATTGTTTTCAACATTAAATAATATGATCTGGCTCATTTATTCCTTGGCAACATTTTGCTTTTCGAACTGATTTACAGATCACCTGTGCTTTTAATAGTGTGATGTTCTACATGAAGATTTGAATCGATTTTACCAATTGGATTTAGATCGAATTTACCAAATATGTCTGATTATTAATTAATGTTCAAACTTTAGGAAGAAAAGAACAGAAATATTAGCTAGAAAATATCTATCAATTTGAATTTATAATAATTGACTTTGACATTATAAGCTAATAATATGCTATGTCTAATATATGGCTCGCAAATCTATTATCTACTCGCACGGTGTGTCGTAAATGTCGTGTCCCACTTTGCTCTGAGACAGGTGGGACACGACATTTTTGAGACACCCCATTTCGAATGAAACGACGGTAACGAAATAATAAGTTATTTATTTTCAGCATGATGAAGAAATAAGTTACTGATTACAGACATAAACCATATCAATTTTTACATATTAGAAGCAGTCGTTCAGAAATTTCAGGTAAATTTACTTTCGTTTCTAATACTGTTAGACTCAATCACGGGTGTCGCTGCTCGATAACCAGTATTGGTTTCTTGCGCTCTCCTGAATAAAACAGTTTTGTTTCTTTTTACATTCTGTACTCTCGAAGTGTATTCCATGTATAAATAAACTAATAATTCCAGCTCAACAATGCTTGTCAGTTGCCAATATATATATTTATGTAAAAAAAAAATGAAATCCCTTTTTACATTCAGATTCTAGTCACTTTCTTCTTGGACAAATTCACACTTATGCTTCCTTATACGTGTATACTTACAACATCATTATTACGAAAAGAAATAAAATGATGAAATGAATATTAATAAAGTCATTCTTATACTGCAAATTCAATGTGTCAGCCCTGGGCAGTGGCCTCCAACTTGGGTTCCACAGAAAAGATTATTGTGGATAGGAAAAATTATTTATTGCTATTTATTTGGGTTAAAAAAGTCACACTGCGTGTTCTTGAGCAGATTATCTATACATACAAGTAGATCCCATTTTCTATACGACGCCTCATGTCCTCCGACCCGATATCTAACTGAGATCCAACTATGTGCGAAGGGCCACTACATCATCCATCGCATTTTTGCGCGCAGTTTTCTCGCGAAGTTTTGTGTATTGGTGAAAGTCACTCTTGCATAACAGTAATGGTCATACTACAGCCCGTGGGCCAAATCCGGCCCGTTGGGTAATCCAATCTGGCCCGCCTGATGCTGCCACAACCAAACTAAAACCAAATTTTGATGTTTTAGCTAAAAAATAGCGCAAGGAATTTGATGAGATTGTGATTACATTTGCGCGAAGCTTATTGTCTTCCACTTTTGCTTTTGTAACACGGTAAATATTGTGCATAAAATGTAACTTTCTACGTCACACTTAGAAAGTCAGCACTTAGCCCGCTAGTATAGGTGGGGAAAATTTTTGACACCAGTCCTAAAACCTTCCCTACCCCTGGCTTAAACGTTAATTTATTTCGAATTTTCTCACAACGTTATCAATACATTTAAAGCCGCATACAGGGTGTGAATAAAGTCCCTTTACAATTTCAATTTTGTTGTGAACTCAGTTCTCAATACATATCTATCTATCTTAACCAGGTTTGTTATTTTTTTATTCATCAATTACTTCATTTAATAGTATATATTTACGATTTAATACATCTGTGAGGGCCAAAACAATATATGATACATCGATAAATTCCTCTTTCAATTTAAAAAGAAATTATCACTTCATGGGCACCCTGTAAATATATACTTTCTAATTTGAAGGGAAATAATGGCTCCACTTTTTTAAACCAACTTGGATGTTTCTCCAACGTTAAAACCCTCGAAATTTGTTGGTTTATAATAGCCTACTTTTGCGCATATAAATCACGAAAGGTTGTATGTAAAACGTTCGACAATAAAATGACAGTCGTCTTGATAGTTTTGTAAAAAGTGTCGAAGATGAGAAGTTCAGAAGAGTTAGACTGGTAATATGAGGTGATTTAAGTTTATAAATGCCGGGAACGATCACGTTGGATTGGGAGGTGGGATTTGGCACGTATAATTCGAGTGGAGATTTTGTATGAGATTAGAAATGAGAAATTCATGAAAAGGTTGCTTGATGCTTAGCTGTCGCGGGGGGCCCCACGTGATAGCTATTTGGTTAAGTAGAGGAAGGGGGAATATAATATAAACGGTCATTTATATTTTATGCTACCAATTATGGTGCCTCGCAATCTAAAATGTATTCGACAATCGTCCATGCGTCTGAAACGAATCGCTGGCTAACTATTCCAATAATCGGAGTTGGCTGGTAACCGGACGAGGGTTCAAGGTTCGTCATATGATTAAGCTTTCTAGTTGGCTTACTTCCCCAAAGAGCATATATGACGCCGAAACAAATATGAAATTCTATCCAAACTTTTTACTCTCTGGCGTCACAATGTGATAGCAATTTGCATTCTAAAAATCCAAACTACAAATGGGAATGACGTCACTTCGTTCTCCCTGCGGTCGCGTATGGAAAAAGATTCTGAAATTACTACAGTACGGTACCGGTACCGAAACTCTCAAAAACTATGTATTTAAAATAAAATGATTTGATTCCAAAATATTAATACGAAAATTCCGTTTGGCATTGGAATTTATTTGGCGAAAAAGGGGGTACCGGTACCGGTAGGATACTACCGTAACTGACAATAGTCTGACAGTCAGGTACCGGTACGGTCTGACGACTGACGGTACCGTACCGTATGCAGGTATGTTGCTGCATTAACAGACTCAGACTGAAGTTGCAAAGCTGGGAGCACAATTACTGAATTAACTTACTGACTTAGGCCCTACCAGTCAGCCAGTAGTCTAATAAGAATAATATTGTTCTTGTTGTTTTTTAATGTAAAAGTGACAGCTTCGACAGTCCAGCAGTCTGACAGTTGATTTTCAGCACATTTCTGCATTAGGCTATTTGTCTTCTAGTCTGCTTTTGAAAATGAAGTCCTGAAGTTAGTGATTTGGATAGCTAGATAAACATTTTTATGCTTCGAGTAAATTTTGTAGAAAGATAAACCAGGGTAAGTCAGTAAGTTGGATTACTGTATTACATGATAAAATTCATGAATTCAACTCATTTTCAATCCTTATAATGTCTGAATGTCAGTTTATTTCATGCTTCGTAGATTAAAATTTCCGATGTTATATTTTTGTAGCATTGGTCGCTCAACTAGCCTATCATGTTTTCCAAATAAAAAATAGATAATAAGACTCCATTGTCTGAAAAAGGCTGAACGTATAAGGGAAATATCTTATACTACAGTACTATTGGAATTATTTAAACACTATAAAAATCACTATGATGCGGTCAATTCGAAATAGTTTTCGAAGGAAGAAGAAACCAAAAGTTCCAGAAAGTACTCAACCACCTGAATGGCAACAGGATGAAAAATCTGTACAGACTGGAACTTGTAAATTTCATGTTATGGTAGATAATATAAACTTTCTGAATGTGTGTGTATTAACATAAGGGTTTCAAGAAAACAACGTCAAATGTTAAAATAGAGAAAAAAACATTTTTTTAAAAAAATTTCTAAGAAATAATGTGAATGCCTTTTACTGTTTCAAGCTGGCTCTAATCAAAGTTCAAAGAAAAAGGTATTTTAATAAAAAGAGGAGTTTGAAATTAAAAAATGAATGTTTTTTTCATTTTCTAACGACCTTTTTTTTTAAATTTTTTCTTTTTGGGTTGAAGCCCTTGCCCAGTAGATTTATCAGCCTGAAATAATATATTTTATAGCTTATTGTAACACTGATAGATGTTCGTTTCATTGTTGATATACTGCATTCAAATTTTATTACAACTACGGTAAATTTTCAAGTTTTATAGATAGATAGATTTTATTTTGATTCATTCGCAAAAAATAGAAAGGCGAAGAATCTGGAAAGTGAACAAAACCTAAAATAAATTTATAACATATTAAACGCGTTCACTCACCGAAGAAGAAAGAAAACGAATAACAACAAACACAAACAAATAAACATCAATACAAATGATTGGCTAATATTCAGGCTTCTAACTTCATAATCAAATTACGTGCAATTATTTACAAACAAAATAGTAAACTGAATAGTGGGTATGTGTGCGGTGTGTGAGACGGCATGTAAACAAACAACCGAACAAATTGTTTCCAGATGAAAATGTGTGAACCTATGCCAAATCAACTATATATAACGTCTACACAATGATGCGAACATCGATTGTCATCGAGATACTTCAGCCTCTATTGTATTCTACCACAATTCGGTCTACCACTCTTGTAGCATCACCAAACAGTTCGATCAGCACAAAATATATGACAGTGATTTGTTGTGAGATTAAAATTATGCGAAACAAAAACAATAACAACAGAGGAAAAATTGTTCTATTCTATACCTATATTCCAACTTTATTTGGTAAAAACTTGTTTTGTCGCTTTATTCAAATCTGTAATTAGTTTGTATCAAACAACAGCATGAGCTTTTTTTTATTAGGGACAAATTGGTAATACTTGATATCAGTCAATTACTCATAAATACAAAATCTATATTCACACATAATTGTTTTAATCAGTTGTGTTAAATTTATCTAGCAGCATATTTAATATCAACAAATCAGTGATTTAAAATTGTGGGTGGTTTTTAATAGAAGATTTATTGGAAGAAACTGATTATTATAGACACTTTACCGGACAGTGATGCATAATAATTTATTTAGTGTTATGTATTGAAAAGTGGGCAGTAAATAGAAAATGAAAAATAAATAGCGAAAATTCCTAAATCTGCATTATCTGGTTATTTTATTTATTTTTTCTCTCTTCAGTATCTTGGATGTATTGAGGTTCAAGACTCAAGAGGAATGCAAGTTTGTGAACAAGCAGTGAAAAGTCTAAAAGCGGTAAGACTTCATTTAATTTCATTTGCTAATTTTTGTATCAGTGTTCATGTACATGTTAAAAATTTTGTTGCTATGATATATATCAGTATAAATTGTGATTCATTTATGTTTGTTGTTAGTTCTGTATGGCATATGAAGGTTTGCAATTAGCTTCAGTCAAAAATTGGATTTTTTTATCAAATATCATTATAATGAAAAATTGATATTTTTGCAATATAATGAGTGTAGCATATTCATATGCTGTATGTCTGGTTAAACATCAAAAAACCTACCTGTGCACTTTGCTAATTAGGTTGTGTATTTTTGTTACACAACTGACAGTTAATTTATGTTAGTTAGCAAATCAAGCTGCTATATCAATTTATCAATGTCAAATATGAAATTTTAGTGTGCTTCAAACAATGGTTCATATCGGGATTAAATATAGACAGTCGGAAGTGCGGTTATCCTGTGTTTTAACATTGTGGTGCTAATGTATCATCCTTATGACGTTAATTCTTTATTGTTTGTTTATTTTTCCTTTATAATTCAAAGACGTTTTCCTATAGATTCAGGATGTGATAAGTATTTTTCCTCGGGCAATTGAATGCTTCTGGCGTAATCAAAGCAATCGTGATATTGTGGGTTCATGCATAATATTTTTACGACATTATAACGAGCATAACACACAAAATCTACTTTGTGACCTTTGGCTTAGTTTCAAACATATCCCACTGGAAAAAGCATAATTAAACCGTGCTTTACATACAAATGAGCTCTCCTATTGATTAATAATAAAGTTATGTTCAGGATAAAATTCCCCATTGCACGAACTTATTAAAGCTTTTAAGTTTGTAAATAATTATTCCCTTGACTGATGGAATTATGTGTATTATCGACTATTCCCCATCCAAGTGTTGGTGACTTAATATAAGTATGATTAAGTTAATGAAACATACAAATTTTTAATTTTCAAATGTACCCAGTAATGTCCAATAATTTAAAATCGTTAATTCATTTCGACATTAGTTAATATTTGATATTTCAGATTCTGATTCAAAAAATTACGTTTCTCAGTAATAGGAGTCTCACAGATGTACCAAAAAGGCCTGCATATTATGATTTTTAATAATTCAAATCAAACAAATTCAAATTACTGTTTATCTACAATTCCCCTGTATTTCCAAAACAAACTCATTAAGTATGCATGTATTGACTTTTTTGTTTATTGGTTGAATATTTAAAATGTATTCGGTATGCTAATATGTGAAAATATTATTTTAACAAATGGATTTGAATAGTAGATCATTTGGTTTTGGCCACCTGTGTGTGCCATTTATGAATTTTAATTTACTTGGTGTTTTTGGAAGGATATGTAAATGTACATTTCAGAATCTGTAATATTCTTTACCTTTTTACCACGTTTCATCATATCACATGTATCCCAAATCAGCATATTTCAAATAGAAACACATGATATTCGGTATACGCCAAATTTTATTTTGTATCTTCACTATGTAGCATTTCGTAAAAATTTACTTTTCGTCGAATATCTTTTTGATCAGATTGTAAGAAATATTATTCTAATTTATTGGACTAATACTATATGTAGGGTTACACAAATTCAACCCTAGTTGCCTCTTTGATTTACACTGAGTAAATTTGCCAGGGGATTGATGTCACATCATTTATTGATTTAAGCATTCTTGTTTTATGATATAATTTAGCATCGTGTTATAAAGTTAATATGTCACAAACTACTGCCTGCATATCCAAATTGTATCTTTATGCAGACAGCAAGCTAATTTTTTTTAGCTTAAATCAGAATTAAAACATCTGCTTCAGACATCTGTAGTTTTATTTCAAATTTGTTTTTTGACTTTAATAAAAAGATACATGTACCATTGCCATCATTATAATAATATAATGAAATTCAGGAAAAAACATTTATAGGTAATAGGCACTATATGAAAAAGATTAAACAATTTTAATTTAAATTGTCTTTTAATAATGTGATGACTGATGATACTGAATAGTATTCCATGCTGTCTGCCCAAAAAAACTTCTTTTTATTTATTCAAATTTCATATTTTTATCAACTTCCGAGATAAAATAATATACCGGTAGATTGTTGCTTTTACTGTTCTTAATGAGATAGTCATTTCATACTACAGTATACACGTTTTTATGAATGAGGTGAACGTGTGTGAAATTTCTACCTATTTATAATTATCGACTTCTCTTTTCTGTGGTTTTAAATTACAGAAATTGATTATAATTTATTTTATAATAGCAGTCTTTTGAGAACTGAAACCACCAAAAGTATGCTTCAAGCATTTCAACAATTTTAGGCTAATTTCTCAGAAATAAAGCCTAAACTAACCATTTTGTATTTACTGTAGAATTTCTATATGGAAAAAACTTTTTTTTAAATAAAGTTTACATGCTGAACTTTAATATTGATAATTGGTAATGTTAATAGAAACGTTCATGGTATATTAGTATATTTGGTATAAACCAACTTGACATTTCAATTTCAATTTGTGAAAAGTTATAAAGTATTACTCGATCCACTTGACAGCTTTTAAAGCCTATTTTGTGGTTATTTACTTGATTAGTTCAATACAGTTTCGTTTTCATGGTTGAATGCCAACGGGGACATGGATTAAAGAACATTAATCAAAAAGTAAACAAAGCTCGGCTGCTTCCGACATCAATATGAGTTGTTTGAAGTATGGGTGATAAAACAATTCAAGGCTTAAAAGGCTTTTATACTGAAGATACGAAATTAATGCTACTTGCAAAGTTATACAATATAATTATAAAGTTAGCTTTCATGATTGTAATTCAAATTCCAGTTGGATTTTGAAAGTTATTTAATTTATTAAATAATAAGATGCGTTAGAACTGCTAAAGAAATATCTATTATTCCAAAGTGAAAAAAAACTTTTTATAAATCGTAATGCCTTCGGTATGATATCACCAGTATCAGAATAAAATATATGACAAAAATTGAGGTTGACTATAATATTTCAATACATTTTTTTGTGAAATTTTGTGATTTTTTTTTTGAGTGTTTGTGTGATGTGCTCGATCATCTTCTGTATAACTAGGGAATGTCCTTACATAATTCTATTTGAAAGAAATTTGGATTTAATTTTTTAATATTTAGAGAAATATAAATTTTCAAAATCATTTTTTTACGTTCGAGTTGGCATAATACGAATCGACGGAATAAAGTTGATCATTTAAGCAGGCTCTGACCTTGTTTTTAAGAAAATTACTGGACTTGCCTAATTGTAAGTAAACATTGTTGAAATCACAATGAATAGATTTGTCATTTGTCACTTCTGTTAGTTATGTACGGTAATATGTTCTTTATTGTAATCATTTGATTCACTTTTGTTTCATATGATCATAACTTTGCAATCAACTTTTATTGTTATTTCAATTCATAATATTGTTTGTATTTGTCGAATTGTTGTGAAAATCTTTGTTTTGATTCATTTTTTTTTATTAATTTCAACGAAACAGGATCTGAGAAAACACCGTACAGCAAGAATGTTCGGACGGGTAAAATAAATAGAATAATTCTAAACCAATTTAACAAAAGAATGTCTCACATGCATGTTCACTGCATCTCTTCATTTCATTTGAAATTGCATGTTTCTTTCTTGGTGCATGATGGCATTTTATTGCTTTATTTGGGATCGTTAAACTGCCATTAATTAGTTCATGTAGTTATAGTGTTTTCATAAAGTCCGGTTACAGTTACAGTACAGTTTCAATTTCATTAGGAAGTCTGTTCTTAATATATCTCAACCAATTTTATGTAGAGACCAACAAACCATATCATAAGGTATTGATAAATCTCTTCGAAATTTAAATTTTTTTTAAGACTTTATACTTTTTTTTTAACACCCTGTATAGCCACATGAGTAAATATTGGTGGGGATGTTTTTTTGTTTTTTTGTTTTTTAAATGTGTATAATCATGGGTCACTAAATCTCTTTTAAAAAATCTTATATGCATCATATGCATGTATACTGCTTATGCAGATATATTTTCACAAAGTAGTTCTGAAAATATATACGGTAAATGTACAATGTGTGCATAATTATGCTCATTGAACGCTGCCACTGAACTTAAAATATCAGTGGACAATTTATTCAAATATATTTCAGTAAATCAAGAACATTGAGTATTAATAACAGAGTTCATGTTTTATTTACCGGTAGTTGTATTTTACTGGTTAGGAATAAGATATATTTATTTTAACAAGTCATTCAAAACAAATCACTTAATAACTTTATTGTCTAACTTCCATGACACTTCGACTTTATAGTGTTGTTCATACATTTAATTAAACATAATAAGAACATTGTATGTAATGTTTTTTTTTGCCTTCAAGGTTCCATTGACTTTTGACTATTAACTAATCACATACAAGGGCAGATGACGTTTTGCGCACACTCCCTTGATGAATATTTCATTATGTAAAATTGAGAAGGGATTTTGGATATGAATTCACATTACTAAATCATACTTGGGCCGAGCAAAATATTCATATTTTATTCACAATATGGTAATACATGGCCACACATGAAACAAAGATATAAATCTGGCCCAGTTATGAATATTGCATAATGCACCTAATCACATTATAAATATATTTCAGGCCCCCACCCAGCAACAACATTGATATTTAAAAACAAATTAGAATATGTATTTAAACGCAGGTGTTTTTAATCTTCTTTGCTGTGTTTTTCACTGCCGGTATTGATTTCAATAAGATAGGATGACATTGAGTGGTTTCTGCTGCCTACTGTGTGGCTGATAACTTATATACGTTGGCTGCCCCCATATTACACTATACGTAATTCAAATTACTGAAATGTTCTCAGAGACTGATATAAGGAAGGTTGAAAAATTTTACATTAAATTTTAAGATAGCATCACATTCAAAATTTTTTATCAGTAGTGATAAATTGAATAGGCCTAGTTATCTCCATTCTTGCCATGGCATCCTTTCCTTATGCGCAGACAGGTCCATGGATGCAAAAAAATAAGAAGTTGATCTTGCACAAACGAAAAGTTTTTGTAATTTTATTCTAATTAATAGAAAATTGAAAATTGTTGCATTGGATCTAATTTGGTTAAACTAAACATAAATTAGAGCAGCATTCTAGAATTCATTCCCTATTCTAATGTGAACCCCCTCAAATAATCAAGTTATGAGGTTGCGTTTTACATTTGAATTTCAAATGTTAAATATATGATACATGCTTGGATTGTGTCATGTTTGAGTTTATCACGAACTGCAATATGAATGATATTCTGGGTTTGTGTCAACATCAACATAATATTCTCATATTATATGACATAACACAACTACACAAGTTATTTTCACATATTTAAATACTATAGTTTCCTGTTGAAACTTCCTGAAAAAATTAGTAAATGCAATGTATATTTCATATTATATCAGTTTAGTACCTATTTTCTGAAATATGAATTGTTTGTAAGAATGAATATCCAAATCTAAACAGTATAGAATTTTGAATTCACAATATGCAATTAATTTTTAAGTTTAAGAAATCAAAATGACAGATTAAAAAATGGAAATTGTAGTTTTTATTTACCCAACATCTTTCCCGAAAAGCTAGAATTTGGGATTAAACCACTTGGTAGAATTCCTCTGTTGAATATACAACTTGTATCAAGTAAGCACCACTTCAGACTTGTGTATAATTAGGGATGGCCAAAACCGAATATTTTATTATTTCAAATACATTCTGAAAATTTTTTTTTGAATATGAAATCTTGAATCCATTCTAAATTGGAGGAACAACGCTCGTGGAAAATTACATAAATCACTATATCTTCATATTGATCACATCTAAAACAATATAAATATAAAACGTCAATGCTCTCTCTGTGTCATTTCCTATACCGGTTGAGATATCGTACGTTTTTTGATCTACTTGTCTATCGGCTCAAAATCCATAATTTTTAAATGAAAATGTTCTAAATTATATTTGAATTCAAAAATTTACTATATCGAATAAAATTAATTTTAAAAGTGTTCAATATTCGTGTCGTTTTGAACATTAGACCCAATTATAAACATCTTCTAATTGAGAATATAAATACTAGTGACAACGTGAATCAATCAGATACATGATGTCATTAGCATAACCCACCATGACATTAATACAATTATAAAAAGATTTGCATTTAATCCTTTACAATCAGTTCCAGCCCTTATCCCCTTTTCCTATTATAATGTCAGTATGTTATATAATCCCGGTGGGATACTAATCTAACGTTGTGACGCACTGGTTTGTTATGTCAATGCCTAAAATGAATCTACCGACCGAATATATTTATCTTCAAAGTTGGGGGCATGTGGGGAAAGGCCCAACACTTGAAAACTTTTTTCAAATGTTTTTCTCCAAGCCGAGGCTTTGCTGACACAGCGTTATTAATACAAAATAATCAAAATGGCTTCTAGATGACGTAACCCCATAGCCATATTCTTTTTCAAGTTATAGCTTTCGGGTTGAAGTTGGAAACTTTCAACTAAAGTATGCCTATGCTTTTAGATAGATATTCTTCAGCATGCGGCCAGTATACTTGGAATATAGCTTAATTCAAATTTTTTCTTCATGCCAAGTAATTCAAGAGTCCTTCTGCATACTAACACTAATGTGTTTCGGTAATGTTTCCTCAGACAAACAGAATTCAACAGCATTTGTTTGAGAAGCTCTGGCCAAACAAATGTTGCTGAAATAAATTTGTGTTATCGACATCATACAGCAACCCCATTAATTACTTAGAATAGTTATCTTCACTCTTGCTACGCCTTCCCTGCATTATACACATATTATAAATCCACCAGCTCAAAAGCATTGAAGAAAGATAGATAATTGGTCTCACAAAAACCAACTTTTTTATTTTTTATTTCTGTAGCACTATTTTCTTTCTTCTATCGTTAGGAAACAATGCATGAAGACACCATGATTAAAAATAGTTTAAAAATTCTGGTATATGGCTGGTTTTGTTTAATTCTTCTTTAGTAGTAATATATGAAATATTCAATCACAATATTTCAATCTTATATTCCGCCCTGTTTATTGGTGTTAGTTGCTTTTTTCAAATTGATTATTCATACTATTTTTGATTTTTCAATTCAAGTTTTTTGTTTCAGGGTAAAAAGAAAAAGATCAAGGCAATATTATACGTCTCGCCTGAAGCATTAAGAGTTGTTGAAGATTCCAGCAAGGCATTGTTACTTGATCAGACAATTGAAAAAGTATCATTTTGTGCTCCGGATCGTAACTATAATCATGCTTTTTCATATATTTGTCGAGATGGTACAACAAGAAGATGGATCTGCCATTCGTTTTTTGCAATAAAAGATTCGGTAAGTGCTGTAATTTTATAGTTTTCCATCTTATAGTATTGGATTTTGTTCTAGATTCAGAATATGTGTCATGTATAGAAATAATCTGCAAGTGAATCAAATAGTCAAAATTGATTCCAATATATTAGGCTAGTATTTGATATTTTTAATTTTCGATTTTATTAAGAATGATTTAGAATATTTTGATTTGTAAAATTATAATTTACAACAAGAAGTTAGAGTTCCGGTATTTGCAGCCGTTTTGAGCCGGCATGACGCGTTGCCACCCCGTTTGAGCGTTTGGTTTCACGGTCAAAACGATATTATTATAAGCGTTATCACCGTAACGCAATTAACACCGACAGTCTTTTTTGTCTTCACGATCTGGTATCTTTTCTATTCGGCGCTGATGATGATAAATAAGAATGTGTGATAGTTGATTGTAATTCCGGAAAGCGTATTTTTCTTTCTCTCCGTGAAACAGACATGAAACGAATTTCACCGCAGAAATATGAAAGAGAACTCTGTTCACTGAAAGGCAAAATGAGAGAAGCGAAAAAAAGAAAACGCTCGGCCGCAGATATTTCCCGGGGAAAAATACTCATTTATTAGAACGTGGAAAAGCGACTAACACTGATATATATCGGCCAGATATATCGGCCGGTTGGGCCGATATGATATATCTGCAAACACGCAATATCGGCCCGATATATCGGTTGGCCGATATATCGGTCGAGCTCTAACTGTGACCTTGCATATATGACAGAAAAGGTTGATGGAATTCCTGGAAAACTATAAAATATGGAAAACTAAGTAAATGTTTCTTTGTAGTTTTCAAAATCAAACTTATTGTACACAAATACATTCTTTGTCGAATACGACCCAACTCAAATATATATTTAATTATATTTGATACTTCAATAATATTATACTGTATTCGGGGTAGTAAATTGGTGGTATTAGGTGTTCGATTTGGACTTTGATAAACTCATAATATGCAAATATTGAACGTTTTTTTTTGAACTCAATACTATGAATCAACTATTTTTTTATTCCATTGGGGCAAGAAATAGAAAATAAGTTCTACTGATCTTTACAATGAATGATATATTTATACATAATCAGATTTATCCATATTTTATTATGATTCACTGTATTCTGTATTCTGATTATGAATAATTTTTCAAATTAATTTTATTTTTAGTACTTAGCATCTAACAGATCACAGTGAATCATCAAATATTGTCATCAAACTATACTTTAAGTTTTATTGAAAAATACCTAAAAACAAGATAAGCAAAAATTTTTTTCTCTAAATGAACAAATTTCTTGATTGAATGATTGAGCTGTTTGGGGATTTATCATTGCTAGCCTACTAGCAACATTGTTATTGGGATTTCTGTAACCATTTCCTGCTTTGAATTCATAGTAGGAAGTTAGATATTTATATTATAAAGTAGAAACTATGACAAAGGAAACTTGAACCATTAGTTTCGAATGACTGTCCTTAGTTTCTGGTATTGGAATAGTAGTTTCTATGTCTGAGTCGGGATATGAGTTAGACAGTGCCATGTTTCTATGTTTTGATTTTGATATCTACAGCCATTATATAGAGTAGAGACATATGATTTTAGATCAAAATGATTGTATAACTTAGAACAAGAGTTCTCAAAAGGTGGGTCACAATTTTTTGAGGGGGCGTGAAGCTAATTAAAAATATAAATTTTATTTAGGTTTGATCTTGCCCGCCTAATTTTGGATATTTAAGTTTCTTTATTTTAGGTATTTACGTCCCATTCATGTATTTCCATTACTTTCACCTTACTATCTGTTATATGTAGCTTATTGTTAGCTAGTTTGAGGTGAGGCGCGAGACTTGACAAATTCTAAAAAGGAGGCTTAAAAAGTTTGAGAATCACTGTCTTATAAGAATTCATCACCACAAAATTTCTAAATATTAGCTCACAATCATGTTTGAAAGCAATTTTAGTCTTTTTTTAAAATCGTTGAAACCATCATGTGAAATACTGTCCGCCCCTTTGGGGTTTAATTCCAAATTCTAGTTAGAGATACTAAGATGATAAAACTGACTAAGTATTCTTCTATTTCTGTTTGTCATTTTATAATGTGATCATAAAAAAATGATTTTTAAAAATCAAAATTGACCGCATATCAGAATTCTTATATCATAATAAACTATTTAGATTTGGACATTCATTTATATAAATAATTTCCGACAACTAAAATGCCAAGAGCTTCTGAGGCTAAAAGGAATCATTAGATAGCATAGAATAGTGCATTAGCGAATACCGATTTACACACAAGACTTGGTCAGTTTATGTAAATACAATCAGGAAAGCAGCTATACCACAAGGACAAATTTTTGAGGGGGCGTGAAGCTAATTAAAAATGAAAATATTTGTTAAAATTGATCATGCCCACCTTATTTTGGATATTTCCATTTTTTATTTGGGATATTTATGTTCCATCCACGTATTTACATGTTTTTTGAATGAAACATACTTTTGCTCTATGATATGTTATTTTTAGTTTATTGTTGGCGGCGCGGCCTAAAAAGTTTGAGAACCACTGAGCTATAGGGTAATGAATTTCAAATACCTGAAGTCGTTGGAAACAAATTTTTTTATCTGGTAGGTGGACTGACAGTATACGAGTATAGGCTTACAGCCAACATAGTTAACAGCCATTTCTAGCTCTTGTCCTATACATTTGTTTGGATATTTTAATCCGCCTCGATAAAAATATTATTTTTACTTATCCAGGGTGAACGGCTCAGCCATGCTGTCGGCTGTGCGTTTGCTGCATGTTTGGAAAAGAAACAAAAGAGAGAGAGGGAGACAATTGGTGTAACAGCAAGATACGATAACAACAGAACCATGTTTACAAGGGAGGGTTCATTCAGACCTAAAATGCAAACTGATATTGATCAGGAAAACAAGACCTTGGCAATTATAAAATGTGAGATAAGTTGTGTTGTTGCATTCCATTTTTAATATTACCATAATGATTGATAAGAATAAAATGCATATTTGAATCCTCCAAATTCTTCCATGAACTCAATGATATTTAATACTATTTAGCATTTTGTAAGTCAACTAAATGCCTGTAATGCTATGAAATGATGTTTTTTCATCAGTCATTGGCTTAAACAAATTCTGCTATTTTATGACAAATGATTTTTAAGTATAATGAATGCCGAACTGTATATTATTGGTAGTTATTTGTATAGTGAAATCCAATAGGGGTGAATCAGATTAATAATTCAGTTTATTTAGTATAATATGTAACAAGATACCTCGGTAGTCACTTTACATGTATTATAGATTATTTGAACTATGTTATTCTAATGCAGGGATGATTTTTTACCATGTTGGCAGGATTTAATAATGATGACTGACCATACCTCATAGCTTCCTATGTCTGAATGGATCTACAAAACTTAGTTTATTCTGAAAGCGTAAAACATTTCACACTTCTGAGCAAATTTCTGTGACACCTTGCAAAATCATATTGTTTATGTTATCATGATTCACTATCATATAATTTGTTATTGATGGTCTGAATATTAGCTTCATTATTATTTTGAGCTTTCCACTTGACTTCAAAGCTCTTCACGATTCAAATATGAAGTGCACTGTAGATGAAATCAATATTGATGTTATTTTTCATATGATCCAGCTACCACTGAAGTACCAGCTGATGTTCACACGTCAGCTGCAGTTCCTAGACCACATGCTCCATTGCATCTCGTCAGACAAGCATCGTTAAGGTTAGTATTGTTCATCTTGTACTCTGTGGTTTGCACCTACACGATGCTCACACATTTTCATGTCTTACTTCCTGGAAATGTTCTTCCGGTATAGCACTTGGTAATGTATTGCATCGAGGATATACAAATACTAATGTTGATTATATTTATGTCTTTACATTTAAATGACCTTGTGTGGATGTTTAATTAAGTGTTTATTCTGTGTCTAGCTGAGGACATGTCGTGTTCTATATTTAGTCTTGAGTTTTCAAAAACGTATCGACTTGACATCAATTATATTTTATTAAATTTATCATTTCATGATTTGAGAAACTGAAGTCTTCCGGTATGAACAAAAGAATCTCCATTCAATTTTGAAAACTGTAAAAAAACATAAAAAAACAATCAAATTACTGTTTATCCAAACTTTCTGTAATTTCTGTAAATTGAACTTCTTGAACTCACAATGGATTATACTATTGAATATACATGAAGTCTCTTTACAATTTCAATTTTGTAATGAAGTCAGTTCCCAATATATCATGGCCAGGTTTATTGTTTTTAATCAGTAAGTGTTCAAGTATTTTTCTACTTCATTTAATACATCTGTGAGAACAAAAACAATATATGGTATCGATAAATTCCGTTTGCAATTTGAAGGAGTTTTAAGACTCAATGGACACTATATATTTCATATCAAATATTATTATTGAATGTATTTAGAATAGTTCGGTTTTGACCATCCCTAGGTCAAGGTCATTCAAGGGTTGCTTTATTTGTTATTGATTACCAATAATACCCTCAGGCAAGTAGGCCGGTGATGATATGATATCATAATTATTATCAATACATCGCTAGACTGTTTTAGTCTATTAAATAGAATTTTATTGATAGCTATCTTTTATTATGATGGCTGATTTCATGGTCTTATCAATGTTCAATAACAAAAGCATGTCATTAGATAAATTACCAATTTTGATTATACGAAAATGATTGTTTTTACTGTCTGTAAATAATGGGTAATAAACCTGTATGAATTTAAATTTGTTGATTCTTGAAGTCTAGTTAGATATCCCTGTTGTTATCTATAGTGGCGCATCCGCTAAAATAAATTAACGTCACACAAAGATATATGGATATCCCATTATTCAAGCTATCCCATGCCTCCATCCAGGGTTTCAGAAAATACTTAGGCCATATCTAATGTTACTGGTTGCATTATCCTTCCAAATTCAATAGTTTGCAATACCTTAATAATGGGTACTTGTACATTGCATACCCTTGTTCAGATCAAAATGTGCAATACTTGCTCATTAGGTAAATCTCATGCAGAACAAAATTTTATATATTGCAAACTTTTTAGATGTCTCCAGCTATCTACGTTGAATATTATATCAGATCTTTTGTGTTTTATTCAGAAATTTTAGTAACAAGAAGAAATTTATGGATGGAGATTTGAATTCACCATTCAAAAGAAATCTTTCATTGAGAGTGAATGAACTTCCTTCCACCATAAATCGACAACAAGTTATGAATCCAGGTAACTTTTCTACAGCTCAACAACTCATCTGTTGAAAAATTTCTAAATCTAAGTGGGGAGCAATGGTCTAATACTCTAGCCAGCGCAGGGTTACTCAACTATTTTCACCAGAGGTTCGTACACAAAATTCAAAATTAGCGGGTTCCGGTCATCCATATTTGATCTATTTTTAAATTTCGAAATCACAACTAAAAACTGACAAATAGCACGCAAAGCCATAAAACCAAGCTAATATTTACAACCATGTCTAAAAATCTGTCGAAATGTATCCAAGCAGTCGTTAAAACTTCAGTTGTGACATCTTGCTGCATAACTAATTCTAGGGGAGCAAACAAGTGAGCTCTGAAAACCTGATGTTGCAATGACAATTAATTTATCCTTGGTGGTTTAGCGAAAAATTAAATTATGCATTCGAAGTTAAGAAGAAGCTGCAGTCCAATTTTAATACTCGAATTCGGTGCGAATTCGGAAGGCGGTTCGTCAGCCCTGGTCCAGTGCGACCGCCCGTCGGCGGTTTGAGTAGCCCTGGTCCAGTGCATTAGTTTTCAACCTAATTTCCCAACTTCTTTTTTAAAGCCTCTTTATTCATTGAATTTCTGGTATGGGTAAGGTATGGAGTTTTTTTTTTTATACTATCTCTTATTTAGCCTGCAAATTTTGTTTTAGTGCCAGAAGTCGAGACTGAAATGGATATTGAAGCTCATCTTCCTCATGCAAATACATTTAGTAATGGTGATGATCCGTTCACAAAAGCTCCTCCAATGTCAAAACCTGCTGTTAGACCAACAAGTAAAATATTTTTTCATTTGTTTTAATAATAAAATTGTAATTAATGACAATGTTTAGGTGGACAGTAATATTCGGGAGACTCTAGTCCTGACATTCGGCCCATTGGTTGATTCAATCTGGCCCACTTGAGCTGCCTTTAATTAATTTTGCATGCACTACATAGTTGTTGTTAATGAAATCTGCATGGTGCAATACGTCATATTCGCATGCCAGTCTAAGTGGGCAATATTTTTGGCCCCTGATCCAAAAATCTTTCCACCTGTGCTCTAGTCTTTTATTTAGAGATTCATGTCATGTAAGCTAAAAGTCTTGAATTGGCTAACCATCGGAGATTCTCAATTTTATACTCAAGTTTGCAAACCTGTTGAAACATGATTTGCCACATTGATTAACATGGTTTTACCTGAAATAAAAATTTAAAATTTACTAGCTTTTTGTGATTTACTCTAACACTGATTCGACTGATGACTTGAAACTGAATATATATTTGGGCGTTTACTCAGAAGTGTAGTGGTTGCAAAAAAATTTTTAATTTCATTGCTAGGCTGTATGAAAAATTATAATTTATTTTATAATTTACAGATCTCAATGGTTTCGGGGAACATCCAACCACAAACGGAGGTTTGTTCACCAGCGGAATAAATAATGATCTTAAGGCAATGAATATGACAACGACAACGCAATCTCCAGTAAGGGAAACAAATCCTTGGGCAAGCGAAGTCACTCAACAACAACAAAACGTTGCTCATAAACGTACACCATCGCAAGCAGATCAATGGCTTTCAGGACTGGAAAGCCAGGCCAAAAATCAGCAACCATTTAATACGCCCCAACCTATGTACAACCCTATGATGATGCAACAACAACCTAGTGTTTTTCAGCCACAACCTTTCCAGCAACCAATGACTGTCGGTACCGGTTATAACCAGTTTTCAACACAGCAACAGACATTTACAATGCCTACCGTTCAGCCTATGTACCAACAACAGAATGCATTTATGGTGAATATGTGAGAATTTATTATAAACTACAGGACTGGAAAATGTGCTCTGTACAGCGTGATTTTGAATAAAATTCAATGATGACATATTCCAAAATTCTTGCCTAATGCATTTTGGAATTTTCACGACTTATCGACGAAAATGCAATAGAATAACTAAACCACTTGCTACATGGAATACAAGCATATTTACCAGTCCTGTCAAATCTGTAAAAAATGAAATGATGCCTGCCCTACATAAGGCTGATAATAAGCTGTCTATATGCTTTTATTGCTCAGATTTCCAATGAGTTTTTTTATTATTATTTCTGAGTATTATGTGTATGTAATTTTCATTATTTCTTTTGATTTTAATGTTAAATCTAATTTTTCAGAAGCTCTTTTCTTAAATTTGTTTATCCATTGTACACGAATGCTGGTGCGCATTTTTTTCTCAATTACTCAGAGATGCAAGTTATTTTGGCAAGTAGTGTGATGAGTACTCCTAAACTCTTTAACTCGGGTTTGGCGTGTTGCGAACTTCTCATGCTGAGTTTTATATTTGAGTAATTAAAGGTTGGTTCGATTTGTGACTGACTACCATATATGTTTGTTGCTGATTTCTTTTAGTTTTCAGTCAAATGGCTTCGGATGGGTTTAAATTTTGATCCTTGGAAACACAATTTTGAGAACTTTTTAATCATTGGTGAACTAGAACCAGTAACTATATTAATCCCAATGAATTTTTATCAGTGTATCTGTGTGAAAGTCAGAAGTGCTTTAAAAACAAAGCGTTTTATTTTGAGAAAAATTCAATTCTGTAATTCCGAGTTGCTTTTATCATGCCTACTAAAAACAGTGGCTTAACTGTCTTTACAAAAATAATCATGCCAATTCAGCCTATTTAATTTTCATTGCGCCATCAACGTTGTCACTTTTCATTCCAGAGAATCTTGCTAAAATAATTTGTATCTCTGCGTATTCTTTTTCATTTTGAGCTTGGTTGTTCTTTCAGTCGAGCGTTTCTCCGCAAATGTTTTTTAGGGGTTTCTCAATCATTGTTATTTCTAGTAATTGTGCCTATTACATTACGCCAATTGGTACAGATATCTCTGGTAGATGTCATGTTTTTGAATCATTTCTATAAAATTCTATCAATTCCTTCTCGACTTTTTGATAATCAGTTTCGTTATATAATATTAACCATAATCTGCCAGTGTTTTAGTTTATAATATAATCATAGCTTAGATGATTTTTGGGAAGTCATAATTGGGTTGATTGTCAAGACAACTAGAAAAATTTCAATTTTTGAACATAAATATAAGATATGTTTGCGTGCGTATTCAGTTTGTGAGCAAAACATCAAAATCTGGGATAAAATTGTTAAATTGTTATTTTCGTGCTTTGAGAAGTGTTTGTAATTATAAATTCTGCGAAGCAGGTGCATTGCTATTACAATTTTTCTGCTGTTTATTTTTGATTTTTCCTCTGTACCATATTATTATGAATTATCTTTTAAAATCTGTATACATCTAATATTTTTCTTTCTTCTATTGCCAAGATGTGAATATTTTCATCAACTCAATATATGCTGAGCTAAGCAATGAATTTCGGATTTTAGACATGATCGGCATCTTATAAGTAGTCGTGTGAAATGGACCAAATTTTACATAGCACTTATATTAAATGTCAACAGGTAGTAAGTACTGTTATAATCTACATCAAGCGCGGTACAATAAAATCTTGTTCGTGTTATGCTATAATATCACAGTAATTTTCAGCACATTGGATATTTTTTTTCTGCACTTTTCTCAACAATAATTAGGTATATCGTGTACTTGAACTAATTTTGCACTTTCTTCAATGGTTTAGGTAATAAAAAAATATTTGTTGCGATGTTCACATACAATAGGATTTTATGTTTCCACAAGGAAAATCTATCATTGCTACACTCATGTCTAAGTGTCAATGAAACACGCTTAGGAACTGGTTGTACCAGTTTCAAGTGGATGAAAATTAAAAATCCTTTGTATTTCTCATGTTTCAATTGTAGTGGTACTAACAGTTTATATACTCACATGCTGCTTTCTATATTTGTCTAATTTTATTCGTTTACTTTCAATTATCAAATTGTAACTTAGAAAAATATTTATCGCTGATGTTCAGTGGTTCTCATATCTTAACATGGCCCTCCTGCTCATACAATAATTTATAACTAACTGATAGAAGCATATTGGGTTTAACAGAAAGGTTTGGATGACTTTTTACACATAGTTGAGAAATTTGGTGATAAGTAGTAGTGCCCCAAGCTGGATTGCTTTTCCTGTTTGACAAAGTATTGTTTAGAATGTTTTTACGCCAATTTTTTTTAAATATTCTCACTGAATGTTTTGTTTCAATAGGCCTAGTATGAAAACTGTCCAACTTATCATGTCTGCTACAGTCTCTGTTATGTAGTTTTGAAGGTATCCCAACTGAAGGTTTATTTTCCCATAGTTTTGATTGCCTTCAACCAGCTAATGGTGATACTCTTATCTGGAACAAAAAAATCAAATGGTGTAGCTAAATAATATAATTCAATTAACTTGAAAACTTTAGCCCTTTTTTGAAAATGTAAATCCAATCCATGTATATTTTGTTCACTTTCATACAAGGTAAATAAATGTAAGAAAAACCGTCTTTGTTTATTACGTTTATTAATTTTATTTGATTTTTAATATTGAGTGCATATCATTTTCAAATATGTTTTAGTCGGTGCATGCTTCAGCGTCACCACTGTAAAGTTTCCTTGTCGCCCATCAAGTGTTGATTTCTGTTTATAGGTCAGAAAGTAACCTGATTAGAATGGCAATAAAACGATTAATTATTGTATATACGACGTTTTCCTGCAGTAGCTGGAACAGTGGATGTTAGGGATAGAAGTGCGGTGACCTTGAATTTCAGTTAACGTTTTATATATGTATTGTATATTAGGAATACTTCTGATGCAAGAGGACAGCTTAGCTTGACACTGAAGAGCTGGTCTTACCGTTATTGGTATTATGAACTTAACATGAAAATCAGTTCGAATATATCCACACATAATTAACTGGTGACACAATATAGAAATTTGTACAATACTTTACAATTCATATCGACCTCACTGGGTGTCATCTTAACTATATAAATGATAAATAGGACCACATGTCGATTCATGTGGCCATTGGGCGGCTACATCCGCTCTCGTACCCGTGTATTTGAAGCGTTGACTCTTTTTATAAATATTTCGCTAATTGAACCTATTTTAGAACAAGAGAACATAGATATTTCCAAGTTCAACCTTTTCATTGACTTTCCTTAATGTCAGGATAAATCTGAAATATCGTCTTTGTCCAACTTTTGAAACTTCTTTGACGCAAAGAGTGATTAAATGTAGCATACTCGGTTCGTCTGGTCACTAGAGTGACCCCAGTCAATATTTTCTTCACTGTTTGGTCATATGGTGGTACCTGTATTTAGTAACCCAAAACAATATAAAATGTAGATGAGGAAATCACAACAATTTTCGGTATGGATAATTATAATTTCTTTTTATCGGAAACATTATTCTATTTTCTGTATCTGAGAATGTATGCTTCTCGGGCAACACATCGAGAAATTGTCCTCTTGATGTTAATGTACGTCGAATGTTCATTAGCACATTGTGTTGTTTGTAATGTTGGGTGCCCAAACAAAAATTCGTGGCCCTTCTTTTTTTTTTGTTGCCAATAATAAATTGTTTACGTGCACTAACTGTCGGAGAATAGAAGCAACAAACAGGTTAAAATTTTTACTCTGGTGGATATCAATAATCACGATAACAAAATTACCAAATCAACGATTGCTTATAAAATATTAAAATATTTTGAAACAAGAGAGCAATGCTCAAATATATGGACACGCAGAACAATTCCCCAAAAATCATATGCGGTGACCAACGACTAACATACCGGCGGTGACTTACCAGTACCTGTATTGGGGTACCGTGACGGTACAGGGACTGTCATAGATATTTTAGGTCCTGTGACAATTGAAACATCAGTTGAAATATCTCGTGATATGACTCAATTATGTACCGGTACCGTATTATCGGATCAGGTACCGAACCACAGTCAAACATTTCACATAAAAACGTTACTAAATAACATGCGTCAACTTAACACCAGCCGAATCGGGGTACAATTTTTGGTACAGTGACTGTCATAGCCGTTTAGGGCTGATGGACAATTCGACTACACGGACAACTCACCAGGCCTAGGGTGGTGTAGCCAGTCTGCGGACAATTTCATTCAAACCGCTATAAAACAAAAACCAATATATCTAACCCGTTAATTTTTTCACCGTGGGTGCATTGGCGACATTTATTCTACACGCTAAACCTCGTATTAACTTTCTACGACAAAGGGTTAAAGCTATACAAATCCCCAAAGTACGGCACTCGAAAGACGTATTTGCGACCGAACGACCAGTGTGCGACCACGGATTTCAAGCCTTGATCATCGTTTCTGCTGCGTCGAGACTATGGCATACGCAGCCATACAGCAATCAAACAGACAAAACACGGTGGTCGCAAATTGGTTGACAATTGTTGGTCTTGTGACAGCGTGAAAACATTGGGCTTCTAATTGCATTTTTCTGACCGTCATATATTTCAAGAACACGGTTATTTCGAACAAAACTCGTTAAATTATAAACAAAGCACCACATCACAGCAATCAAACAGACGAAAACACGGTGGCCGCAAATTGGTTGACAAAGATATTATCGACGTATCGGAAATGCACACCCCCTATTCCCCCTCCTTCAAATGTAGAAACGCGAAACTTTCAAATATGGTTAAAAGAAACACAACTCTACCCACCTGCCAAGTTTCAACTTTTTATTTCTCATATTTGTATGGATTTTCAAGCTTTTGACAGCTACGAGTTAGTTCAGTGTCACCGCGCTGTGTTACGGTACCAGAACTTCTCTATCTTTAGAAGGTCCTGTCTTGTGACAGCGTGAATTGAAATTGCAAGATGGTCCGTTGGACACAAAATGGCGTCCTATAATCCATAGAACGTTTAGTGACGTCATAGCAAACAAAAACAAATCTTACAGAGCTAACAGAAATATTTGAAATAAATAAAAGTAATAGCCTTCTGGAGAGAAATTTCATCTTCAACCACTGAAAATTTCAAAGCAATTAGTCCAGTAATCAAAGAGAAAAGCGACTTTTTAAAAACGTGTCAAAGAACAAGAACAACAACAACAACAACAACAACATAAAATTGAAACGATCGTTATGTCCACTACGTGTCCAATAAACGATGTTACTGCGTTCAAGATTTTTTATATGGAATCAAAACAGAGATCAATATAATTCATTCTTGCGCCGTGATCACCATCGATGTTTGCGGTGGTTAGAGAAATATTTTTCCCGTACTTTGTGACTAGGTCATATATATTTTTGTATCAATTAATAGCGTAATTTTGTATATCTTCCAATTTAAAAGATTTAATTCCTCCTCTTTAACTACCCAGTATGTTAGAATGAAATGAATAATAAAAACGTCATAATGTGTATCTTAGACTCCATTCACCACAATCACCGCGGGACATTTGATTTTAGTTTCTTCTTGTCTGTCATTGATCTGTTCCTCTGTCTGCCTGCCTGTCTTGTGGTATTTTCCGTACTTACAGGTCTGCAGGTTACAGTTGTGTAGTGTTGTGTGTGGTTTGTTTATTTTATTTTGAGTGCGGTTATTGGACTTTACATGCTCCAGGATTGAAAATTTCAGTGGAGGTAAAAGCGCAAAAACTGAATAACAGCAACAAACAAGGTTTGAACAATTATCGTACCTGGACAGTACAGTCCATGAATCTGAGACAAAAAACTTGCTAATCTCATTTACGACACAGACTGGTTACCGGTACCAGACAAGAGGCCGTGGTTACCCATAATTCCTGTCTTAGCTCGGCGGCAGGGTTGCCAGATTGGCTTTTTTAACGCCAAATTTGCCATTTTTGGCTTTTTTCAAACACGTTTGGCGTCAGAATTTCCGTTTGGCTTTTTGGCGTTTTTTTTGGCTTTTTTCAAGTCCAGTCTAGTGTCTATTATTAAAATCATATGAAATACAATATTTCAGTATTTAGTGTGTAACAATAGCCTATTACCGGTACTGGTACGGTACTTAACATTAGGCTTTCCCCGAGCGTCGATTTCCCAGTTTAACGCTTAACCATACCTACCCAATAAGAAATACTTGCAGTTTCTGCTGCCGCTCAGACAGATGTTCAAGCAGGGTTGTAAACATCGCCTCGTTTTTATAGTTTTGCGTGTTGTTTGTCAGTTTTAAGTTCCATTATGCCTGATGTGAAGCTTTATTTAGTTGAATTGCAGTAATCAAAATTTTGTCTCACGAACGATGTGATTAACTACAGTAAAAATTACTGAATTAGCTATTAGTAGTCCACCTGTAAGCGGCACGTGGTTAGATAATTTTTAATAAAATTGATGGTTTATAAATTCTAAAATTTCGAAAATGTAGGCCAGACTGGATTCCATGGCAGATGCACGCCCGAGAGCGCTAGCGCTCCACAAAAATGCACGCGAGCAAATTCAATTTTGCACGCCGAAAATTTGCAATTGCTCACCAATGTAAATCGGTTTAAATAGTTTTCAAATCAATAATCTAGTAATATAAAGATGCCAAAAAATTATAACTTTACAATTGTCGACTAATACTTGCTTGCAAGATTTGGCCTGATCGAAAAATGCGAAGCAAAAAACACCATATATCGTGTTGAATGATAGGAATACCGTGAGAAAAATCGCCTCCTCACCGACGCTGGCCAGTTATGGCTCTGATTCAGCGTATTTTTAATACAATAATTTTACACGGATGTACTGAACAGTACCGGTATCTAAAGTCGCTCAAACACTCTCAAAATTAGTGACAAATTATAGAAATGATGTTTGGGGGTCAAAGGTCAAACGTCCATTTTTGCTATGATTCAACCTTTTTTTTATCCAATACTGGTAATTTTACGCGGATGTATTGAAGGTATCTTAGGTCGAAATCAGTTTAGCGGGCGCAGTTGTTTTGCACGCCGTGAACTATAATTGCACGCCAGAAATTCTTATTTGCACGCGGGAATTTCTGATTGCACGCCCGATTTCTCGTCCGAAAAGGCCATGAAATCCAGACTGGAATGTAGGTATATCACATACTGAAACGGTACCCTGTATTGTATATATTGAATGGCTGAATGGTAAAATAATGCTGTCCGTTTTAATATTTATTTTTATTTGGTTTTTTGATTTTTTTAAATTGTTTCATCTAGATGTCAGCTTGACTGTGTTGTGTTGAATGTCGATTCTGGTTCTTTCGTTCAATTAATCCTTTTTCTTATAAACCCTTCATCCCGCTGAAGTGGAAATCGCCATGATAGCAACCGAAAAAACAACTTTCAATGGGAAAAGACAATTGTGTGGCGCACTGAATGAACTGATGGCTCTACATCATCATCAGTATTGTTCCAAGAGCTTAAAATCTGATAAATTATGGGGTTTTTGTACTTAGTGAAATTTTTGGCTTTTTTATGTCCTGATTTGGCTTTTTTTGATCGCTGGGATCTGGCAACCCATCTCGGCGGTGTGGCGCATTGTGCTAAGCCTGCTGCCTGTAAGCGTTAGAAATATGCTCGCCACCGCATCTCTGATTATCCTTTGAGGGATCGCAGGTTCGAATCCCATGCGGGGATGATCATGTGCGAGAGGATTGCTGGATTCCACCATCAAGTCCAGGCTTCCGAAAACAAATAACTGGCTAACTAATCCCATACCCGACTTGGACTAGTACCAGTACGGTAACCGGTCGAGAGACGGCGGCCGTGGTTCGCCATACCGGTATGATTAAGCCATCTTATCGGCTTTCCCCGCCCTCTGGATAAATATGTAAATCCTATCCTACATGTCGGTCAGTAGACTGGTAAATCCTGAAATTTAAATTATGAAATGTTGATTTCTACTTTGTCATACTTTTGTACTTCGGTATCGGTACCACACTGCTGTTCTGGTAGTCTTATGGCTGTATTGTTACGGTACCTGTAGTTTATTAGCCTACTTCATACCACAGTACTGTAGTCTACCATACCGCCATATGCTCAGAGTAGCCTAGTTCTGTAGTTAGCATTCACCACTTGCACATCTGTACATCAACCAAATTGTTAATTCTGTTCGTACCTAGTTTCTGAATTCATCATTTTGTTTTTATTTCTGTATTTAGAAGGTTGCCAATTTTTTCAAATTTTTGAGGCTACGAAAGCTGCGGAATGTGTTCAAAAGGCTTCTCCAACCATAATTCTTTGAAGAGCCCAATTGCACCAGGTTAGAATTGCTGTACTGTAGGTTGTTAATTTTTTCAGGTTTTGTTAGCTTACCTATCTACTGCTGTACTGGTCAAATTTGATCTGTATCTTAATGTTGACTTATTGGCTTCTGCGCCATTTGTCTGCTTGTCATTATTGCTTTTCAGCATTTCAATAAATTGTTCAAAGCAAAAAAATGAAAAAATACAAATCCTAAATTTTTTTGTCCATTGCATGTTGCACTCTGTAATGTCTCCAATATCTTGCAATTTTTTTAATTTTTCACTGATTGAAGATATTTTTGCCAATGCAGGTGGTCAGTTCAAAGCAACAAAAATTTGGAAAGATCTTGTCAACCATCTTTATAAAAATGCAAACGTGAAGAAAAGAAGAGTTATGATGAAATCTCATGATGATTGTTTCAGTGGTGAATATTTTTTTGTCAATATACAAATGTATTCTGGTATTTTTGTGCTGTCAGAAGTCGCCAGAATGAAATGAGTATGTCTAGAACTGAGTACTTACCGGTATATATATTTCATAAATCATACCGAGATATAAGTTCATTTGACGAATTTTTATCTTGATAGCATGATGTTGAATTTTATTATTTTAATTTCATGTAGGCCTACCTGATGGCAATTAGATGCAGTTTGAATGAAACACAAGTTTTTTTCAGATGTGTTACAACTTGCTTAAAGAGATACAGACTAACTTGCTATATTTATTCACTTCAAATTACTTAAGGAAAAAATATTTTATTTTTTATAATAACTTCAGGATATTCTTACCACTCTTTACCTAAATAAAATTGTTGTTTCTCTTATTTGCCCCCGACTCGGCGTCTGAATGATAGGCTATCTAGTGTGTCTATACGATCTATATGATGAGTATTTCAAATATTCCAACTATATACCATTAAGATAAATGGATGTACAATTTTGATGCTACAGATGTTTCAGCAGTAAGCTTTTTTTTACATGCATGTATATATTTTTTATCTTCAATTTCATTTACAGGAGGAAATGCTGTTGATACCCTTCTGAGTTACGTTCAAGGTAATGCGGATAGATTTCCAAACACGACAATGGTAACTCGAGAAAATATTGTCAGACTTTGTCAAAGTTTTATTGATGCCGATGTATTTGAATGTGTTAATGCTGGAGATGATTCAGAAAAAAGATCAAAATTTGAGGATTCATCATCAAGACTTTATAGGTTTAATTTGAAAAACAAACGAGAATTTTTTAAGAGTAATATGTGTAAATCATCACCGTCACTCAGTGACCAAAACTGTCAGTCATTTGCAAATGATGTTGAGCATTTGCCAGTGAAATTCAGTACTTTATTGACAGTACCACGTTCGGTCGAACCAGTTGCAAGACATAAAACCATGTTTTCACCGTTTGGAAACGCATTACATGCTGTCGGTAAACGATCATCAAGTGAGCAGCGTCGTGCTTCTGGATCACAAACTAGCGATTCTGATTGTGAGAATAGGCCGCAAAAGAAAACACCATCCAGGTTAAAAAGAAGCGGTAGTTTCGTGAGAGTCGTCCTGAAAAGATCATCATCGGATTCAAATTTACGCAAAGAATCTTCATCTTCTACTGAATCTGATTCAAGTTCGAAGCATCGGAGTCCTGGTGATCCCCTAACAAGAGGAAGATTGAGGTTGAGTCAAAGATTGTCATTTCGGAAAAAGTCTTTGAGGTATATAATGTGATTTTTATCAATTTCCTGATTGAATATCCACCGATAAATTACTTTCTGATCTCGCTATCGGGTTTAAATTCAAATAATTATTTGAACAAAATTGTCAGAAATGAATAATCTATTCTTCTTTGGCGTCTGAACCATGTATCATAATAGATTGGTTTTGTCTCCAAAAATAAGGATTGTTTGGTACTGTCACTTGTCACTTCCATTTTATTTTTGATCCATTTATTTTTGCAATGAGTTAATTCTGACTGACATGTAGTTTTAATTTGGATTATAGCCGATTTGTTCTTTTCCATTACGAAAACAATAATAGTAATAATATGAAACCCAAATATTCATTGCCATTCAGATTTATGTGTTAATATATTTTTTTTTGTATTATTTTCAATATTTTTAGGCGTTCTGGACACTCCTCTTACCATTTACAACAACCTTGCGTAATTCAAAATCCTGCAGCTGGGAAAGAAAGATTGACAGATCAAGAAGATACTGCCAATGATGCAGCAATGTCTTCTAACTTATTTACTCACAAAGATTTGAAACGTAGAAGTCAACGTCGAATGCAATCAAATTCAGTTGTTGCTGATACCCATTGTAGTAAAGTGAAAGTTGTCAGCAGTAAACCTAGACAAAGAAAGCTTACTCCACAAGGTTCGAAGTATTTGTTTGTTAATGAATGCAGTTATTTTTGGCAAACTTTGAGTTTCTGGATATGTTATAAAGGATTTTACTTTGTGTGATAATATAGCATTTGCCCCATATCCTCGCATATAAACAGAGTTTGAAACTCAAAAAAAAAAGTTGCCAAACTGAGGGGTTAGCTTATACGTACATAACTCTGATCGCACTGAAGGGTTCGACACTTCTTACCGTTATTAATAAAAGTAAACATAACAATAATTGTTATCATTTTCATTAATTCGCTACTGCAACCATTTGTTATGATAGGTGCGTACGGCAAATTACGATTTGTAGGGTCGGCTTGTATATGAATTTCTATAGATTCACAGTTTTAGGGCCGTTTTTATGGGCTCGACTTATATGCGAGAATATACCGTATTTGATCCAAGAAAGCATGAGCTACCTCCCGAGTAGTGCAATCATGAAACTTGCAAAATATAAAAGTATTTGTTATAATAAAATCAGATGCCAAACTGACTGGTTGTGAGCCCTCACTTGTTTACTGTCAGTTACCCACCCAGAAGACAAAAAGTATTCAAGTGCAATTGACCTCATAACTGTTTTTGTGATTATATTGATATGACTACTTTAAGTCACATGTAGATCGGTATTTACTACCGTACAATTCTATGCAGTAATTTTTATTTTGTCTCAGTAGCTCAGAGATTAATCTCCTTTATTTCCTCGTTAGTGCTTGTAACCTTGCTTTGAGCGAATTTACTTCACAAAAATAGTACGATTATGTAACTATGATAAGGTTTATTATAATTAGTCTATTGATTTTTGTTGTCTGATAGTGATGTTTTTTTTTCCACATTAGAAACATCTCATGTTAAAAGAGAAAGTGTTCGAGTTCGACTTCTACAAATACTGGACTTACCTTTTGTTGAAAGTTTGATTATATCTCCTACGTTTGATAAAAAAGTACCGGTATTAGGAATCTCACAAACAGGTTGGTTTATAGTGGTGAACTCTGAACACACATTCTTACGTACAATAAGCCTAAATTTCTTATTTTATCAGGATTGAAAAGGGGTTTATTATTCAAATCTTTTTCCACCACACATTGTTTTTATATCATTGTCTTATTGTAATCACCTTTCCTTCAATTACTAGCTAGAATAATCACTTTCAAAGTCTCTTCTGAGTTTCTAGTTTTTCTTGTTTACAATGACCTTTAAATTTTGCCTATTTTGTTTGGATCCTCATGTGAGCATCTATAATTAAAGCTTTTATCCTTTTTCTCATTTTTGTTGTAGAAAACAAGCAATCATGTGGATATACTGGAGTTCATTACAGTGAAGTTGTTGCATCATATAACAAGTGAGAAATTTATTCATTTCATCCCTATATCATGTCAAAATTTTAAGAATCGTTTGAAAAATTTAAAAAATCGTTTGAAATTCCAGAGGTTCTACTTGAAAATGAAAGTCTACCTAATGGCCTACTAACAATTTCCATTTTTTAAATATATAAATTCCCGAGACTATTTTGAATCCTTAAGAAAAGTACGGCCTTGAAAATGTATAGTGGCTCAAGGTATTAGTGACTACTTTTCGAAAGTCTTGTTCGGAGTGCTAATATAATCCATAATATAAATCGTGAATGTTATACATCCAGAGAAACTTATAAGTTCAATTTGCCAATTGGTGGCTTAATTATTTTAATATTCAACACAGTGATGATCCGTGGATATTCAACTCACTGACTGTTCTACAACATATACCGGATAGTTATAACATTTTAAGAAAACATGCAAGATCGATTGATAACAGAAAGAAAACAGAGGTAGTATCTAAAGCATTTATTATTCATCCTATCTATTCAAAAGTTTCGGTGCTTCTTCAAGATCCTACTAATATATGCTAATATGCTCTTGTCTTGTAGAATAATCTCACCTTTATGGAAGGCGTCATTAGAACCAGTAACAATGTATACATACACATTAATAAATAACCATAACAATAAATGACTTCTTTTTATTCTTTCAATACCTCGGTGAAATTTCCTTTATGGTCATAGTCCACTGGTTCTCAAACTGTGAGGCGTAGACAATTTTTTGAGAGGGGCTGAAGCTGATTAAAGGTAAAAATATTTGTTAGATTTGATCTTCCCTGCCTTATTTTGGGTATTTATGTTCCATTCACGCATGTTTTTTGAATAAAACATACTTTCGCCGTACTATCCGTTTTGCAGCCCATCGTTAGCTAGTTATTTTTGAGGAGTGGTGCGAGACTTGACAAATTCAAAAATGGGACGGCTTAAAAAGTTTGAGAACCACTGTTATATTCTTTTACTAACTACACTTTAATAAAAGTTTTGAAAGAAATAATCTCCATTAAATATTATGGTAGTCTTGGAAATTAGTGTATGTACGTTCAATATCGGGCATATTATGTTGACTTTGAATTAAATAAATACAGTTATACAATAAGTCATAAACCATTCACCTAATATTGTATGAATCAAGGTAATCAATGCATTGGTGTAAATACCATGAATTCATGCAGTCAGGCATGTAATCAATATTAACATTGCAATGAATGAAGGTAGATTATCCCAATCTTAACAGTGATTCAAATCGTATTGACCAATGAGAGGCTTGTTGCTGGTTTAACCTGTAATATGAGGTCAAGTGGATTAAGTCGAGATTAATTGAAATAATCTCCATTGTCTGATTTATTCAATAGAGTGTGAACCAGGTTTTGTTTATTTTTGTACAAAAATGAACGATTCTTTTCAAGTGTTTTTGTATATGAATTGGAATTCTCTCCGGAGCGCTGGATAAAAACAGAATTGAGAAATCGTTTTTTTTTAATTATGATTTTTGTTATGAAAAATAAACTGAAAAAAATCCTTTGTTACTATGTCCATGCTTTTCAAGTCAGAAATTGTAATGTCTGAAGAATAAACAGAAAATTTTCTTTGCAAGGAAACCTTCATTTAGATGAGTGAGAATATGATATTCTTGCGCTGAGAATACTAGTTTTGTTAATTATATTTGTGAATGTAGTTATACAAAGATTGAAAGTATTTGGGAGCTGTAGTTTGTCATATCACTCTACTTAATTAGGAACTTATTCAAAATTAAAAAAAAATCTGTTGTTTAGATAAATCCCATTAGGTAGGTGTATTAGACCAACTCATAATGCATTCGTTGTTTATGTGAAGACTGATTTTAAACATCTTATTCTTCTTATATTTCCAGCTTTATTTTGCGATTGCCAATCACTACAATGCATTAACCCGGCCATTAATTGATGAAAACTACAATGGGATTGCTCAAGCTATCATTTCATTACTTGGTATGATTATTATTTTTGTTTTGTATTTATGATTGGAGCATTATGTAGAAATAATTTGAACAAAACAATTACTTAAATTCGAAATCAACCTTCTCTAATGTAGTTGTGATATGCCTGCATGTATTTTCAGTAGTTCAGTTTTAGTCGCTGTGCAGCCATAAAAAAGTCTTGGGTTGTGACATTCTTGACTCCAAAATTTTGACCCTGGCTCGCGACTCGATTGTGAAGAATTTTGAATTAAAATCCAACTCCAAACTCTGAAAAAAAAAACGAATTCTGATTACAAAAACTCAGTTGTATGCCATTATAAATTATCTGTTCAAAATTCTTAGTTAACTCGATTCTCTTTGAGTTTCTGTCAATTTTCATCATGAAAAGTCTGAAAATTTGACTGAGGGTGCAAAATTTTTACTGCTTTACTGCAACATTTTACTTAACAGGAATTTCATCTCTTAATCTACAAGCATGTAATTCTATAATAATATAAGTATTTGTTTATTTAACTTTAAACTTTTATTGAATCATTTTCAGTGTCTAGACCTGTTGACAAGATCATGGAAGCTACACAATTGTTTGTCCATCTTCTGGCAGATGCAAGACTGACAGAATTGCGACATCTTTGTATGTTTTTACATGTTGTTTGTACACAGAACGAAGTCAGACTTGCACATAAGGTAATGTAGCTTCTATAACTCCAAATATATTCATAGATATTTATTATATTGCGAGGATTACAGTGTTAGGACCAATATGATTGGAATGCTGGTCCAAACAGTATATAGTAATAGTGTTTTACAGTACTGCATTAATTTTCACCGAGCATCTTGATACTGCAAAGAGCCATTGTTCTCTTTTTCAAGAATTGCTTGAAATACTCCACTCTGACTCTCGATTGACAAAAAATTTAGCTCTGACTCAAGACTGACAAAATGTTTGTCTGTGGCTCCTAACACTATGTCAACGAAAATTGATACTCTATCTCTATCTATGTTCTAGGAGAATAAGAAATTTCAATACCAAAAGTTTCGGCATATGCAAGCCTTTATTTTTTGTTGAGAATGCTTGATCAGCTTGATGCTTTTCAATTACCATCAAGATAGCAGCTGATTACTCTTCAGACAGTCTTGAATAGAAACTTACCAAACATGGAACTTCAATTAAAATGGTTATGGTTCCTCAGAAATTTAGTATTTCCTTTTATTTCAGGGTAACAACCAAGCACTTGTTATTGAAACATTCACTCCTGCAATATTACGAATGCCAAACAGTATTGCTTGTGAGAATGGAATCAATGGTTGTAAAGGTTTAGTTCGATTCATGGTTCAACACCATCTGAGAGTATTTATGCTTCCTGCATCTGTTGAAATGATTGTTCAAAGAAAAGTTGATCTGTTAGAACAAGGAGAGATTGAGAGTCCCTCACTTGTCACAGGTTAAGTTTTGATATTGATGTTAATAAAAGAATTAAATGCAATAATTCGTATTTTGCAAGACATGGCTTCCATAAATGCCAATATTTTTGCAAGTATAGTTTAAAAAATACCACTGTTTATTGGTTTTGTCAATTTTAAAGTTTGTATCCTTCGACTGAATTATAGCATGAATTTGGGATGAGAGATTCCAAACATAAATAAAAGTTAAAAAAATTTTCTCATGGTATTGTTCAGATACAGCATATTGCACAATGATATCTGAATCAGAGTATCAAGAACAAAGAGTTACATACACTCACTCTCGAGTCAGAGAATTATACTCCACTATCCAATCCAGTACATCTATCGCTCCAAGGAAGAAAAAAGATTTGATAAAGAAACTCCAAAGACAACATCCTGATGTGTTTGGAGTCAATAATAACAATGATGCAGGTGACATATTGATTTAAATGAGATTAGACTTATGGATCGTATTGTTAAATTGTTGCTGTTATTATTCTTTTTCTTGTGGTTGTTATGAAAAAATTGTTTTTCTCTTTAACTGCTGGACCGATTGCTCTGAAATTTTCAGTGGTTAAAGATTGTTGTTGTCGCTAGAAACAATTTCTGGGTTCTATGGAATTCGTTTTTCATTTTAAAGTTTTGTGTGATGACGTCATTAAAATTTGAAAAACTCCAGTTCCGCAATCGCATTTCGGCAATCTTGTGGACAGCGAGGTTCAGAGTTTTTTCAAAAGGTTGCCTACTGTCTACCGGTACTGTAAAAGATTCGGTATTACTTCGTTTCGGCCTTCGTGTTTATACTGGAAATACGCACTGTGAATGTAAAAGTGAACACAAAAATGGCATTTTAGGGTGAAGAGAGATGCGTTGAGGCCAATACTATCGAGATTGTGTATCGAAGAACTGATGCATGCTAAGTTATAGTTGTATTAAAATTTAAAAATGTAGTTTGGTATATTATATATTCAATACTTCTTCCAATCAGAAATAAATTTAGAAAATGACATGATTTGTGATGTCATTTATAGTAAATTGTAGATTTAAATTTTCAGTAATAAAATTAATTTTTCAGATAAGATAGGCTCTCAGTCTACTAAGGAACCAGAGAGAAAACTAGGGCATCCTGCTCGTTCATTTTTAACTTTAACTCGAGGGAAGCAAGAAAGAGGATTGGGAACATCTGGATCTCACAGAGATTTATCAGCAAGTGGAACGTCTAAAAGTAGCACTAATGGTAATCAACTTAGGACATTGCCCATATCCACACGATCTATGAGATTTACAGCTCCGAATTCTGACCCCTTGACGCGGAAACGGAGAAACAGCACAAGAGCTGAGGTTTTTATCTGAATGGCTTTTTATGTCTATGTAGCTGAGTTTGTATGAAACGTAGGAAGGCTTTAGAGACATTATGTTTTGCAATATAGATATGGTGTTAAAAATATTCGCTGATGTCCAGAACTGAATAGTCTACTTTGCTGAATACACATTCCGAAATAATATCATATTGAGACGAGTATATACTTGCATAAATCACCATAAATTTACAGCGACATAGTTGCCAAAAACATAAACATTGTTTCATTAGTTTTTCTAAGTCAAATAAGACGTCAGGATGTCAATAGATCGAAATAAATGTATTTGCAAATTAGGTAACCTACATTATCCCTAAGGTTATCATTCCTTTTGTCGAATACATTCAAATATTTGCTGCCTTCTGGACTTTCCTGATCTATCTTATGCTGAAATATGCAGGAATGAGGACCTGCCCACGACAGTTGCCTATTGCATCATGACTAGCATTTGATATTTTTTATTCATATCTTCTATATTATATTACTGAATATGGATCTTGCCATTTTTCTATAATACTCGGTATACAATCTATGTTCATTTTGTTGCTGAGAAATATTTCACCTTGTATCTATAAGATGTGCAAAAGATGTATTTTAGAATTCTTAATAATCCAGAAGAATAAGCCTAATTGCTGCTTTCTCTGTAGTTTTGTCATTTTTGTATGGAAAACATTTTTTTCGTCAAATTTTATAGAGGCGACTTATTTCTATTTAACTTAATCATACGACAGAAATCTGATGTAACATACTTTTCACATTTCGGGGTATCTACTTACAGCATAGATATCTTAAATGATGTTGTGTAAAACTGACAATTATGATGAAAGATTGGCTGCAACTTCGTAATTATTATCAATGTTTCATGACTGAATCAATCATGTTTTCGATTTTGTTTTGCACATTGCAACACTATGTAACTAGCAATATTTATTATGATATTTTGCAGTCTTAGAATCATGATTACCATACCTCACATTTTGTCTTGCTGGATAAAATTTTTTTAAATTTTCAACATTCCGATTAATATGAAGCTTTCAAAACAAATATGTTCATAAATCTGTGCCTCCAGTTTTTACTGATAATACGCGGCTTGAATGTAAGTATATGCTATTATTTTTATATGAATTACTGATTTCATGCTTATCATATAATATTTGGAAACTGATATATTGATTACCCTGGCGAACCTTCACTGCAGTGTTGGGAGGCGCTGAACGGCGGCGCTGAACAAGCGATGCAAAGACCGGAGTGCCACATGTGTTTGCTTTTTTTGCTCTTCTTGTTACTGTTGGTATATTTTGAGTACAAGTGCTTTACACACAGATTTTGATATGTAAGATATTTTTAAACTTCTTTTCATCCTTGAATGATGACCAAATAATCTGTGCATTAGGTTTCCTTATCCTTTGTTTCTATTTATGGCTATCGTCACTAACATTTTAGTGTAGTCATTTAAAAATAGACCTAACACTTTTTCAGTTTGGTAAATTTTCAAAATGTTTTTTGTGTGAATAATTGTATTTACGTTATTTGTTACTGTTTGAAGTACTTTTTCATTTCCTAGAGTGAATTTCCTCGAAATAGATTTAGGTATATTGCCTGTGTAGAACATTGTGCTGTGTTTATTTCTTCTGATGAAATTGTTTTGCTTATTAGAAAGTTTTCTTATGAAATATTATTGTCAAGCTGTAGTCTCAGCTTCTCATTGTGCTATGATGATGCCTATATTTATTCAGTTTCTGTATTTTCAAATAAAAATTTATTGTATGACTAGTTTTTTCTGTAGCTGCAGAAAGTTTCATCTGTTAGTAGTAAGAATAGTACTACACTAAAATCGACAGTAAACAAAATCATTTGCACAAAATAGTTGCCACAGATGAGTGGAGCCACAGAAAACTGAAGGTTTTCAAACTGTGACACCCTTATGTTGCCATCAAATATGCTACAAAAGTGTTATGACAGTTTTTTGGGCAGTTTGTTAAACAGAATCTGTATAAATAAGAGCATTCACTTTTAAGGATTTCGTAATTGTTGTTCAATTTTGAAACTTGAAGGGACAGAAAGTAATGACTTAATGTTCAATTGATGACTGAGTTTACCTCAAACATTGATCCGTCCGTAAACGCACTCATGAATTCATGAACATGAATTCATGAACACACTCATGAACATTATTCGCTATTTGATTAAGTTTGCAGATATAAGCTAAAGTAACTACTGAACTAATATAATAGTCTTCAATGGATTTTCTGTCACTGAAATGTTAAACTTCTGGAATAGAACTTGAGCCTGCAGCAATATTGGAACATAACATCTTTTTTGATCTGTGAAATCAGCGACGGACATGATGTCATCCTCAAGATCCTGTGACACTCCTCCTGAACCACCAAAGCGAAGAAGTCCCACAGATCGCGTTGCTGCCAGTTCTTCCACAGTTACCAATATAACAGAATCTAATGTCTCTAACTTAGTCTCTGTACTTGAAAGCACTTTGCTTAAAACATTAAGGCTCGAAATACCTACAATCATACAGCAACACTTGGAAAAACTAGCTATGGATGTATCTTCCACCACTCCAACTAGCATCGGCATCCAGGAATCTTTATTGTCGCTTGATGAGTCTCTTAAGCAAGTTAAATCTCAGCTATCTTCCATAAGCATAATAAAAGATGAAGTTAGTGATATAAAAAGAAGCCAAGACTTCATCTCCAAAAAATTTGACGAGTTAAATGCCAACTATAAGGAACTAAACAACGTTACTGCTAAAAATAACAAAAAAATTCGTGAACTCGAAAATATTGTTGAAAATCTTGAAGAAGAAATTGATATTCTAACAGAACGCCAACAAGACCAAGACCGCAGATCCAGACTCAACAATCTTGAATTTCATAACATTCCATATGCAGCTGATGAAAATTGTGAAAATCTGGTCATTAAAGTGGCAGCCCGAATTAATGTTCCGCTGCGTTCATTCGACATCTCGAACTGCCACAGGATGTCCAAATATAACAACAAAAAACCATCGCCAATCATTGTAAACTTCATAAACAGAAAAACAAGACACCAAATTTTGAAAAATCGTCGCCAGCTCAGATCATCGAACATTCAAGATGATTTTCCACATCTTGCAAGATCTACCAAAATATTTGTAATTGAAAACCTCACTGATACCAATAAAGAATTATTCTTCAAAGCCAGAAACTTGAAGAATGAATGTGGTTATAAGTACTTATGGACTCACAATGGAAGAGTACTTATAAAAAAGAATCAAATGACTAACACCATCCCCATTATAACTGACGATGACCTTTCTTTAATCAAGTAAGGTTATTTGTTTATTTAATTTTGTTCATGTATTTTTATTTCTATACATGGCTTGGTCAAATAATATGTTTTCTATCTGTTTATTATTACTTTCATATAATCTTAGTCATCTAAATGGCTGGTCACTGTAGTTATTCTCAATCAGGTTTCTCCTGTGATAATCTTCTGTGCAACAATTTAGAGGTTGTAAATTTGGACTCTATTCAAACATCATCTGATTTGGTGATCTTTCATATGAATATTCGCTCCCTTCAAAAGAATTTAGATCATTTGACTACACTATTATCAAATTTGCCATCACCTCCTCATATAATTGCTATAAGCGAATCTAAATTACCCCAAAATCATGTCTTCAATACCATCGATGGCTATAATTTCCTTCATGCCCCATCTGCCACTAAAGCAGGTGGTGTTGCTGCTTTTATCAGGGATGACGTTACGTTTAATGAAATTACAGATTATAATATCGTCTATTCCAACTGCGAAAATTTGTGGTTTGAGATCAGTTTGGCAAATACTGTTAGCAGATTGGTTATTGGCATTATTTATAAACATCCTCGTAATGACATAACTTATTTCACTGATATTTTTGAAATATCTTTAGCTAAATTGGCTAAGAAACACTTTTTGATAGTCGGTGACTTTAACATTAACTTGCTTTCAACATCCAGTAATGTCCAAATTATCAATTATGTTAATATGCTCATTTCTCATAATGCCTTCTCCTTGATAACCAAACCCACTAGAGTAGGTCAAACTTCTGCAACATTGATCGACCACATGTACACCAATTTGACAAATTTGAAAATTAATTCCTATGTTGTTCTATCAGATATAACAGACCATTTCCCAATAATGTGTTCTCTTAGTGGTGTAACACCTATTCATAAAAATGATTGCATAATTTCTAGGGACATGTCAAACTTCTCGATTGACCCTTTTCGCACAGATGCACAGAGCATTTTTGATAACTTGTTTGATACATTTCAATTGAATGCCCTGAACTACAATAGTGCTTTTGAAGAATTTATACTATCAATCAATACTCTAATTGATCGCCATGCTCCCCTTCGGCCACTTTCACGACGACAGAAAAGGTTAAAACTAAAGCCCTGGTTGAGTAAAGGGTTAAATAGCTGTATTCGACACAAAAATAAGATTTTCAAATCCCATTTTCTGAAAGGTAACAGCTCTCAACGCTCCTACTTTAAAAATTATAGAAATGTTTTGTCAAAAACATTGTATAAAGCAAAACAAATTTATTACCAAAATCTTATTGCCCAAAACAAAGGTAATCCAAGGACAACATGGCAGATAGTTAACCAAATTACACATACAAATAATAAATCCAAATCAAATGTTGATGAAATCTTCCGAGAGAATGGCTGTATCACTAAAGATGGTATTTCAATCGCTACCGAATTCAATAAGTACTTTTCAACGGTTGGGTCCAGTCTCTCAGACAAGTTTTCTAATGATATGACTAGCTTCAAACATTTTCTTCGCAATCGTGTAAGCCAGTCCATTTTCATGAGTTTGACTGATTCAAACGAAGTGATAATAGAAATACAAAATCTGAAAGATAGGAAGGCAGTAGGTCCAGACAATATTCCAGCACGGTTCCTTAAACTTGTTGCTGACCTCATTTCGCCATGTTTAGCTGAACTTTTTAATTGTTCTCTCTCGTTAGGAATCTTTCCTTCGTGTCTCAAAATTGCTCGAGTAATCCCCCTCTTCAAATCTGGAAATAAGAAATGTGTTCCAAATTATAGACCGATATCAATCCTTTCATCGATTGATAAGATATTTGAGCGCTTGATCCATAAGCGACTTATTAGTTTTTTTACTAAATATAATGTTATAAACAGATCTCAGTTTGGTTTTCAGAATAATCATTCGACATCCCACGCCATTTTAGATACAATATCTTATGTTTATGATAAATTAGAGAAAAAAGAGTTCGTTAGCGCAACATTTTTAGATTTAAAAAAGGCTTTTGATACTGTGGATCATGACATTTTAATTTACAAGCTGAATCATTATGGCATCAGGGGACAAGCAAATAAACTAATTACTAGTTATCTAAGCGATAGATCACAATATGTCAAAGTGGGAACTTATTGTTCCTCTCTCTTACCAGTGACTCACGGAGTTCCACAAGGTAGTATATTGGGCCCATTATTTTTCCTAGTATATGTCAATGACATAGTTCACTGCTCTTCGCTCTCAACCAAATTGTTTGCTGACGACACTAGCCTCCTCGACAGCGACAAATCCCATGCAGCTCTTCAATCAAGAGCAAACGCTGAAATTGCAAAGGTGGCTAATTGGATGAGATCTAACAAACTAACAATAAATATAGAAAAGTCTAAAACATTGTTAATATCACCATATAGGCGTAAATCTCTAAATGGTCTGTCAATCCAAATTGATGGTACACAACTTGAAAACGTTATTTCTTATAAATACCTTGGCATATATATTGATAACAAATTGAAATGGGATACACAAATTTCAAACCTGGCCGTTAAATTATCCAAGTCGGTTGGGATATTATATAAACTTAAAAGATTTACATCGCTACCTACATTACGCATGGTTTACTACTCCCTATTCCAGTCCCATATTCAATATGGCGTAGTTGCATGGGGCTCTGCTGATAAATCTTTATTGCACCGATTAGAAATTATGCAGAATCGGGCCATTCGCGCTATTTCTGATGTTGCTTATCGCACACAACTAAGTCCTATTTATAATAAACTAAGAATTATTAAACTTGTAGATATACATAGAATTGAAGTGTTAAAGTTAATGCATCAACACCATAACAATAAACTCCCTGCAGCATTCACTAACTACTTTTCAAAGCAGAGCAGTATTCACTCCTATGGGACACGGTCATCTGCTAAAGGCTCTTACTTTGTGGATCGCTTTTCCACCAAGCTTACTCAAAACTCCATCAAATTCGTTGGTGTCAAGTTATGGAACACGCTCACTGACAGTATTCGATCAATGAACTACATCTCCTTCAAACATGCATTGAAAAATCATTACCTTGATGTTTATTTTTGCCAGTAGTCTGAAAACATTGCCTTTTCATGTGTCTGATCTTCTTCTAGTCGTATATTCCCTGAACCGTTACCGGTACCATACCGGGATGCAATCGTGTTCTTCCACTGTATTCTAAATTCGCATCGTCATTTACTCTGTATGTGCCAAGTTCTGTTTTTCACTTTCGACAACTTTTTATCATATAACCTAAATGTGAAAGAAATGCATGCTTCAGCATGCATCAGTTCATTAAGCCAGTAAAGTTCTGTCAAATTGAAATTAACGTTGCTGGGCACGCCGATCCAGTTTTCAAAGTGCTTAGTCATGTTAATAAGCGTTATTCTCGTTTAATTGTGTACATTGAGGTATATCGCATTCGCTTGATGGCGCCCTTGCGCTCGTCAAGCGGTACCGGTTTCCTTAATTAAAGTCCTCATGGCTCTTCATATTTCCGTATTTTATTTATCATCCGTTGTTGTTGTTGTTTCTATGCTTTTTAGTACCGTATTGTACGTGATAAACCCAAGTCTTTTGCTATATCTGTTGCTGTAATCCAGCATATAGGTGTCGCTGACACGATGACTTAATAGTCTTTCGCGACTCCTCGTCAATTGCGAAACATTGTGTATTTTTGATTTATTCAAATTTATTATTATTTGTTGACAATGTTTCATGCACGACGAAATAAAATATCTGAATCTGAATCTGAACGCAAATTGAATTCATTTTTTTATATGACCTAAATCTGTCCATAGCCACTGAGGAGATGGATACATTACACTCACTGTAATCAGTAGTTTATTTTCTCACCATACTAAATGCACACTTGATATACAAATTGCAATAAACAAATAAAAGGCATTTCAGGGTGAGGGGAGCCGCGAGAAACCAAATTTGGTTATCGAGCAGCGGCACCCATAAGCAAGTCTAACAAGGAAATAATAACAAAAAAAAGTCGAACTGTGTATATACAGTATCATATATACGTTAATTTGAAAATAAATATAAATACGTCAAGGGGGAACAGGTTGAAGTTATTTTTTATTCTAGAAAAAGTACGTTGGAAACTCTTCACGCTCTATTTCCTATTTTGGGAGGGGATTGGGCATGGACATCGCGACAAAGCATTGGCGTGTACACTGTCGCCGAGTGTTTCCGATGAAATTTGAACAGAAGCAGGAATGTGGCCGTTTTTTTTTCAGAACTTATTCTAAAAATTCAAACTAGCAGTCATGGCCTGATAATGTGTAACTTATAAATGAACGCCCTAGGGCCTAGGCAGTTATACACAATGAAATATAGGTGAGACATACCGAATATCTCCTTTCTTGATAGTTTCGGTGGCAACGCATTCGCGTTCAGTTGTGGTATGTACTATGTAGGCGGTTTGCATTGTGGGCTCTGCCTTTGTCATTTTTTTTCGAAAAATAGACTAATAATAATGTACCAGAAATTATTAAGGGTATTTTATGAGTCTTTTATTTACCATAATAGTATTATGGTAGAAAAGGCAGCTTCTCCTGGGTAACGCTGGGTAACAACGGTGTTCTTTCTTCGATATCTAGGTACGTATATGGTAAGCGATTGCGAATTACGCTGGACCGGTATCATCCGGTTACTGGCGGGAGTGTCGCAATAGTTTGCTTGTTTAGTCGGCGTGGATCATTTTTGTGCAATAGCTCTGAGGACCACCGTGGGTGATTTACCGAAACTTTTCTAGGAATATAAACCCTGGAATAAAAATTGTGTGTTTACGAAGGGAATTTTTCACCTTTTTCTTTGTTGAAACTCGAAAACAATCGTGACGAAGTTATGACGCTAACAGATGCTGATCTACTTATACTTTTATACGCTTGTGTCTGTATGTATTTCTGCGTACTGTACGGCCGTACGGGTAGTGGCAGTTGCGCTATCCACCTATTGCAGTATTGTCTGATTGGTACGATGACCAGGAACAGGCCTTGAATTGAAAGACAAGGTAGTAGCTTGCGCGGGTTAATATTCTGATATTGCGTACGGTACCGGTAGTTATGCGAAGCTAGAACTGTAGAATGAGGCTCGTTTCACAGAAAGACATTTTCAATTTAGAATAACGCCAATAGACTTCGGTATCAGATGTGTGCACTTGTATCCAACTTATTAAGCACCATCTGACTTTAGTAACATACAAGTTGGAGAGTTGTGGGATCAATATGTAAAGAAAACTAAATGCAAAAATGGTACGGTATATTTTCAGAGCATAGCAGAGGGCATGCCTCTTGCTCAGAATATTTAAAATACTGAAATAGGTACGGTACCAATTTAGCTAGTCTTTAAAGACAGGAAATAGTGATTTTAAATGTTCACTTTTAAAAGCTTTGAGTGCTGGAGTGGCAAAACTTTCGATTTAAAATGTACATGAAATAGTTCGAATCGATATCAAAGTTTCAAATTGAAGTTTGATATTTTTGAAATTTTGCTAATATCGAAATATACTCTATTGGCGAGAGATGAAATAAAATTGGAACTAGTGCATAAAAATGACTTGGAATAATACAAATGAGATTGTGTGCTAGAATTATACATGAAAACTTCCTGAGCTTTTTGACATGAGATCATAATTTCAATACCTAAATATTCTTCATTACCTTTCAACCAGCCATATTAAAACCTGTAATTGATTGACTGTCAATGTTGTCTCTGGAATCATTTTCAGAAAGCCACTGTGCCCTTTGCCACGCACAACATACAAGGTAAAATGTTTTTCAATTGCAACGTAATTGTGAAATGGAATTATCTTCACTTGTATATTGCTAAATTTATCTGGTAGCTGTATATTAAATTCAATTTAATTAATATTTACCAATGTAAAAATTATGTTTAATATTAGTTTCCACTGTACTGGGTAGATGTATAATTAATCTCTATATCTCTTCGGTCTTAGTTTTGATCGTTAACATGTGTAAAATTCAAATTTTTAGATACTTGATATACCTAGAGTTCCATCTCTGAATGAGTTTGATATATTTTCAATCATATTTCCATTTTTACTTTGTCAAGTATATTCCCATTCAAATCTCTAAATGAGTAGCTGAAATTCAATTGGAGAACATTGTAATATAGATGCACATTCATTCAAATATATTTCGCAAATTATCACATTTTTTTTGTGTTCAGCAAGTTATGTCAAATCTGGTTTAATTTATTTATTATTCAGGTGAATCTACACAGTTTCTGGTATTTGGAAATACCAGAAATAATAACGGAAGAGATTGCTATCAGCAAAATTTAGAAACGAAAGATAATTCATTTTTTATTCAGGTAATTACCTTTACCACAATTTCCCACTTTTGTGTAATTTTCCCTAAAAAACCGGATGTTAGGAAATGATTATTTATCAAATCATCACTTCATGACATTATATTGGTTATTTTCAAACTGAACAAGCAATAGAGCAAATCTTTTTACAATGTTTTATTGTCACGCAGCACTTTATCAATTTACAAGGTTAAAGGCAAATGTAAATGCTTCTCGAAGTTTCGAAATATTCCGAACATAGTTTGTACTATCTTTGTCTGATAAAGTCTTGAAAGTTTCCTATTATTTTGCTGATTCTTGACCTTGCTTTATTTATTTCACAATTCTATTTTTTTTATATCTTTTCAAGTCTTCATAGGCATTGAAATGTCATGAATTCAATTCTTTTAGGTAATCGAATGGGGTGAAGTTTTTGTTTAAACGAAGTCATTGAGGGGTCATCACTGCGACGTTGAAGGCGACATACAACTACCTCGACTTCATTATTAAAACCCTAGTAGCCTCTGTCAACATTTGCCAAGAGTTTTTGAATGTAAGTTACGATACTTTTCAAGTTTGTATCTCATACATTGTGCTATAAAACTAGATTATAATTACAATTGAATCAAAATTGTTAATGTCGTGAATGGAAGTGATTTTGCTTGAATAAAAATGAATATTATGGTAGAAATATTAGTTGGGGTCAGATAAGACTAACTGCCTACACTGTATGCATATAATTCAAGTGATTTAGGAACCTTGTTGCACACTAACACAAATCTCTTTGTTTAATGTTTGTATTTCAAAATAAAGAATACAAAGCAGCTTGAAAATATATATATGCTTATACATTGATGAATATGACAAACAAAATTAGAATATTTGAATTGTACAAATTGACCATAATTTGAGCCTCTTAAATTTGAAATTGTCCATAATTTTTATCAATCTTCTTGCTATTTATTATGGCAGTTATTGTTATTGATATATCTTCAACTCAAGAAAATATTGAAATTTCAAGATTCAGGTCTTTATATATGTCTCTGTTGACATCTGTATGACAGTGTTACCAATAACAAACATACAGTTTTACACCTCTCACTTCATTTGAAATGTGATGATAGTTGACACTCTTGTGCTAGGGTTATATTTTAGTGGCTTCATTTTATTAGTTGATGAGCATTAGTTAGTCTTCCTTGTATATTAGAGGTATGGCCAAGAAAATGTATTTGGTAATTGCTTGAAAGTGTCTATGTTTGAATTGATTTTGGGATTAATAGGTCAGATCATAAGCTGGGCAATATACAGGGTGGTCACTAGAAAAGGAGAAAATTTGTCAAACAGCTTTTTATTTAAGCTTGCTATATTACTAAATATAAATGACACCTAACCACTATTAAGGAGGTTTAATTCCACGAATTAAAAAAAAATATTATATCCTTATTAAATGGAATAAATTTGTTATAGTTAGGAAGACTGAATATTTTTAGAATATTCAGATTCATATTTGTGGGAGTATTATTATGAAATCATTATGCAACCCATTATTAAAACTCCACCATCATTTGTAATCATTGATTATCGGCATAATTTCATAACTACGGTACAATTTTCTATGCTCAAAAGCAAAATATGTTCAAAAGGTCTTAGATCCCTCTACCATTTGGCCAGGTTGTTTCCCACTGCATTGTGAGTTGTATCGAATCTACTGACAAGTACGATTTTAATAATCAAACAAAAAATTTAGCATCGGTAGCAGACAGTGTGTAAAAATTTTACTGTTTCTTCTAATAGATTGTTTTAGAAAGCCTATAGATTTTGTGTTAGTGCATGTGCTAATATTATATCATGTAGTAAAACCTATTTTAACTGTGTTGCTGTCAGCTCTCTGACTAACATTGAAGAGATTTAACTCAGGTGATTTAATAATTTGGTTTTGACAGGAAATTGCCTCAAGGCTTTTTTGCAACTGTTCGAAATTGCCTTTGTATAAGAAACTATTTGAATATTCATAGAGCCATATTATCTCAATTTGGGAGAATTGAAATCGGATAATTTGTTAATCTAAATACAGTCTAAAAATAGTGTTTTAATGAGCAATATATATTTGAATCAAACTTGAACTGATATTTTACACATCATTATATATTCATAGAGATTGATTTTATAATTTTTGTAATTATAGTAAAAATAGCGTTGTATTATTGATTCATTATTCAATATCACCTACTTAAAGGAACCATATTTTTGGATTGATAATTTTTTAAGAACTAAAAGGAACTATTGTTTCTAGAAAGCTGTGACAAAGAATGGCAAGAATGAACAGACCAGCACCAGTAGAAGTTCAATACAAGAACATGAGGTTCCTGATCACTCACAACCCAACCAATGCCACCATGGAAAAATTTATCGAAGTAAATTCTATTTTCTATAATACGACTTTTCTAGGAAGATAGTTCCCCCAAAATTGTTGTATATAGTTGCATGGTAGAAATGACCCCTATTTGATGACTTGATGTAACCAGGTTTTCAAGCTTTTTTTTACCTCATTTAATACACCTTTATACGCCATAAATTACATGAAGCAAATAAAAGTTATTTTACCTAATTTAGTTTTACGGCTTTCCCTGAAGGCTGTTTGTTTTACATATACAATAATGGATCACTTTCAGGAACAATTCCTGAAATTGGGGCTCATTTCAAAGTATAAATTCACAAAGCCAGGAAGTGCGATTTTCAACCATTTTGCATCAGAATTTTGTAATGCTTAGCAGATTATTCACCATAAGTGACACTGAAGCAATAGTTTTCCTATTGTGTTTCTAATCTTTGTTCTTTGTAGCTATTTTTTTTTCTCTTGTAGACTTTGATTTTCACAGACAACAAATAACATGATGAAGTTCCTATACCAGCCTATTAAATTCGAGCTTTGGTTATTTAGAAAGAAGTTAATCATGTCTTGTATTGGTACTAAGCCTGATAAGCCTTATTTTGGTTCTTATTTTTGTTTTCAAGCTTTTAATATGGGCTGTTTACTAAATAATTCAATTACTGCATGAATATTTATATCATGAAACCACCTTGTTATGGTAGCTTAGTAACCGGTCTCAACTAGCTTTTAACTATTTCTGTTTTTGAATGTTGTTTGAGTCATTGACGTGAGTGGATTTTAAGTGTTCCTGATACTGTTTGTTTTTCCACCTAGAATGAGGGTTCATACTTAGGAATTGTGTGTTTGTGTTATACATTCCTTATTGCTACTACATGAACAATTCATATTCTTGAATCTCTTTTAAATATTATAATTTTATTATTGGAAATTACGGTAGTTCAATTTGGAGATAAATTAGATAATATATTTATTGACAGTCTTTCACAATTTCATAATATTTGTAGACTGCAGTATATCTATCTATGCAAAGCAATTATTTTTGTTCTATGCGACGGAACTTGAATACCATAAAAAAGTTAGCATTTACTACTACTAGCTATTTCAGAAGAACATCTTTATATACACTTTAAATATTTATAAGAAAGTAGGTGTATATTTCCGATAAAGCAATCTGTTTCAAATTTATATCATGAATTGATATAACAATCATATTACTTTTAAAAAAGAAATGTTCAAATATCAGAATATTATATCACCTGCTGATAAGTTGAACAATTGTATTTTTCAAAGGTTAAAACATGAGAATACTGAAGCATCATAGATTTCCAAATGTACTGGACCATAATTAAGAACTTTAGCTTAGGCCAAGATTTATCCACGCGAAGCATGAAAGAACCTTAAATAATTCAGAATCAATAATGAAGCATTACGTCACATGTATTGACGTCTCTACTTACATTAATGTAGATCATATCCTCCGCTTTCAAAGGTTGTATTGCACCACACAAGGAAATCAATACATATTATGATTTTTATTAGCTTTTTACAACAGTACAATAACTACATAGGGGCTCGATATTTGAATATGATGAGTAATATGTAGTCTACTTATAGGTGTGATCTAAGTAATAGATTCGTCTGTCAAAACAGCATTGATTCATGTAATCAAATAAAAGGCAAACAATTTTATTTGTTATTACCGTCATTTGCGTTAATGTTGTTAGCACTTTTGTTTTGAAAAATGTTAATATTGTAACTACATATTTTGAATTGATTCAGAAATAACTAAATGCCATTCATATGTTGATTATAAATAGAGATCACAGAATATTCAGTACATAATGTTGGCATAATATACATAATAAGTTCAGATTAATGTTATCTTCAAAATGGTTAATAAATGTGAACTATTTTAAGCATTATGCCGTGCTTGATATTGAATTAGCTATTGTGATGCTGTTTCAATGATTCTTTTTTATTCTTTCCTTGTTGTTTCATATTTATATACCGAAACACTGCGTAGACTTCGTGTGAACTCAATAGCACGCTACTTGAGCAATCCTAGACTTAATTCAACCTTTATAACACAATAGAAGTTTTATGGGCGGTTACACCAAGCTGGTTTGTTGTATATTATTTGAAGTGCCCGCCAGACGATCCTTCTTTATGTGACGTCTCAGCGCTCACAATGAAATGTCGGTATTTCAAGAATTTAAAATATTTGGTTTATAAATATGAATGCGGTTTTTTGATGAGCTTCTCAAATATTGGAAAATTTCTATGTAGTGTGGCGTGATCATCAAAAATTGTGTTGAGTTGATTCTGTGATACTCGATATTATATTTTACATTTATATTTTGGTTAAGGCATAATATAATATACTAAACTTGACAACAAAACCTTCGCTCATTAATTTGTACACTGTTGTTTAATTTAGGGATCCCCTAAGGCCCTAAGAATTTTTTCTAATTAACAAAATTTAAAGTCAATTCTAATTGACCAAACTAAAATGTTTTTGGTAACTGAATTGCACCGAAAAAACTATAATTATGGTAAAATTATCATTTTTAGTGTGTAATCAAATGTCATCAAGGCTATAATTTAGCATACAGGATGATTTTGCATTCAAAATATACATTTGAATAGATATCGAAATTAGTTATTAAGCACTTTTCTAAAATTTCCAACTATTTTAATATAACTATTTTTTTGTTGATTATGGACTTTCAGTTATGTGCATTGTTTGGATATTCAGAGCCATTCTAAAACTGGCATATCATTAAATGTTATGCATAATACCTTTTCTGACGCATGCATATCCCTGCCCACGTAGTTTGCTGCATACAATTACTGCTCTTTTCTGTCATACCATGACAGTATTGTCATGCTGCAATTAACTATCGTATCATGTTTAGCCCGACCTATAATATTGTAAAATGTCACTCAAGTTTCGGTTCAAACCGATTTCTTTGTTTTATATTTTAAATATAACCATCCAAAATTGTGAAAATATTTGAAGAGAAATGGTAAAAATTATATCATTTTTCAGTAATTATATTAATTGCTGTTTAGTCCTGGTATTATTTGTTATAATATGGGCCCAAAGATATTTTAAATTTAAAAAGTTCAGCTTCTGGCTGTCTTCTATATATTACAGATAATTTCAGGAATTTTTGCTTCTAACATTATATATTTCCCTGGTTGGTCTGGAGCGTGTGCCTCAGTACTTCTCCTTTTCAATCTGGCCTTTTATTATTGGGTCATTGTGGTGCCCACTGCAAAAATACTGCATCAAGAACAGTTCTCAAATTTTTTAAGCCACGTCCCCTTTTTAGAATTTGTCAAATCTCGCGCCCAACCTCGAAAATAATTAGCTGACAATGAGCTGCATATTCTAACAGAAGGTGAAAGTATATTTTATTCAAAAAACACATTGAAATGTAAATAATGAAATATTTGAAATGAAGTCTTGCACCACACTTTGATATTTCATTAATTCTCAGATAAAACATGGCAGAATAAAATTTTGAGAGATTGTTTCAATACTCTGATATATGCTGGTACAGATCCTTGTTTAGGGAAAAATGCACAAATGAGCATCACTCAAAAATAATCTTCTAAGTTTCTGTAATTTATCATCTCTAAACAGAATATTTTTTCCAATTTCAGATGCTGAAAAGGTACGAAGCCGACACTGTAGTCAGGGTTTGTGAATCAACTTATGATAAAGAAAATTTAACAAGCAAGGGAATTCAGGTTATGGTGAGTTAACCTTCCACATTAACAGTTAATTAAATAAAAAAAGATTGTAAATTTTACTTAAATTCACAGTGATCCTTCAAAAAACATAACCCAGGTCATTTGGAACATATTTTAGAGAGAACATTTGTGCAAAGCATCTTAGATACCTAATGGATACAATCATACATAAATAGAAGTTCATTTGTTAAATAAATTCCTTAATTTTTCTGGAAGTAATTAAGAAATTTTTGGGTTCTATTTTTTGAGGGTCATCTTTTATTATATATCTCATAGCTTGTAGATAATGTTTATTTATCAATTTTAAGCAAATGATGACTCTTTCAATAAAATTCATGTGTTAGTAACTGAGCCAGAAGGCAGAACCAGTCATGAGCGGTCACATTTTTACCCTTCAGTTGGTAACCCAATGATATTCTCTTAGTCATACTTCTTTTTATTATGAATCACATGATTGTAAACATTACATATTGGTGATAATACCAATTTGTTGAGTCATAACTCATTATAATTCAAATTGTGTGTTAATAATATTTGTTTTATGTAAATTCTACGAACCAGAAGGCCTATAAATTACCTGGAATTTAAATGTTTACTTCATTAAGAATGGTCGACTAAAAGAAAACTACTTTTCCTGGCTATTAAATTAGTGCTGTGTGTCTGTTTTACTGCTCATCTATTTGATAATTATTTTATATTCTTGTATAATTGGTTTGGTGTGAATCATATATTATAATATATACTAGTGAGCATCTGAATTTATTCAAACTTTATTCAAAATTATTTTTCTAAGTCTACTATACATTTATCTCACGCTAAATTTGCGCCTTTTTACATGCAATGTAAATAACTACAGTAACAACAGGTTCAAAATGAGAATTGTACTTTTTCAAATTTAGGTCAGGTAAATGGATGTAGTAGGCGTAATTTTACTTCAGTGCACGGTATTTAATAAGCTATTATATAAGAAATCGATGTCCGAAATCAATCGGATATTCTAATACATTTGAAATTGGTTATAATCAATGTAGTGAATTGACTATTTAGGGAAAACTTAATTATTCTTGCTTGGGAAATTGTTGCTTGGACCAATTAACATCTGGGATCTCACAGTCATACAAAAAGGCTGCTCGATTTAAATTTTTGAACAAAAATTCTGTATGATAACATTGTTTTATTTTGGTTTTTCTGTATTACTAAAAGTTTCATCTTATAATACCATACCCAATCTAAAACGTCACGTAATATGTTCAACCTCATATTCATAATAATTTTTCACAATGTATTATTAGTTATTCATTGATTCCAAATTGTCATAAATTCATATGAGTTATGTCAAATAAGAAGACACAATTTAGTATGTTGTCCTGGGGTTGTTATTAGGGAGGTTGATCAAACTTCCTGTATTTTTCATTTTATCTTTGAAATTCATAAATAAAAAAGGGAGTTTATGTTAATTCTCATGTTTTAGAATTTGGGTATTTTGTGCACTTTAACTGCACTGGGAATTGTGACATTTTGTATGACATTTCCTGAAATGTTTTGTGGAAACATACATGCAAATTTTTTCATTTTGTACAATTAGGTTTTATAACTATAAATAGTAAGAGTATTGCTGTATGTACCACTTGGACTCCCTTGTTGTTAACTTGTTTATTTTCTCTTGTTAATTGATTAGAACAAGCCTGGGATTTTGTAAGCATCGTGATTGCTCGCATATCTGGTGGCAATCGGCAATTAATAATGGAGTGTAAGGTTTGAAATTGAAATTTGTGAACGGTTTTCTTCTTAAAATTACACAGAAATGCACAAACTAGATTATTCCTATTCAAAGAAAACTGTATCCATAGATTTTTCATACAATGCTCAATTTTCAGTTTGCCGTTAACAAGGCCGTGAACAAGCAAAAGAGAATCATTTTGGTTCGGTATTTGCCTTCTCCGCCTATCACATAATAATAATAAATCGATTGTCATCAGTTAAATAATGATTCTTTGAATCGTTTCCTTTGTACGAATGAAGATCTCTTTTGATTGGATTGTTTTGACGTCCCAACCCATGGAACACCTAGCAATATGCACCCATTAGCTCATTTGATAATATCTCACACTACGGAACAACAGTCTGACGTTTATTCCATTGCTAAATGTCACTTAATCCCATAGGAGACTTGTGCAGCATTTCCTTCATTTGCTAAAGGTCATTACAGCACTGTTTGTTTAATAAATTTCTAGAAAGCGATATTGCACTCAGAAATTCATTATGACTCTGTGTTATGAATGATATGAATTTTAATAAATGTTTCCTTAAATATATTTTCTGTTATTATTTATTTGCTCATCAATTTGATGTCGTTTTCTCTTTATTAACAATGCGATAAATATATCAAATTTTCATCATCTATCTTCTCTGCTCTCATGATCTTTGCCCAGACGCATTGATTTGTCTTCCCTTTTCCAGACTGTGACATCATAATTTCATTTATTGTTTCCTAAATCAAGTCACAGAATCATTGATCCGTGCACTGTGTCAACTTTGCATAATATCGAATTAATGATGGGTTTAAAAATTGTTTTCAAAATTTTTTTATGGAGTTTTAATGTTTTAAATTTTTACGCATAATGCTTCTCTGTACAATTGGAAGAAATCTGGTTTTGATTCGGTTTAATTTTCTTATTTTGATTGTCTGAGTCATATTGATCCTGTATTCCTATTTATTGAGTTCTATTCAGACTACATTCGAATGTAGGCTGGGTATAAACATCACAATATAATATATATGTGGATACAGAGTATTGTATCATCATTTTGTGTCTATATGTATTCAAATCATTTTATGCTTGGCTAGAAATGGGAGTGCTTGATTCATACTAATTGAATTTAATAATCGTAATTGATTTTAGAATTGTTTGCATGCTGATTTTTTCGAATACAACTACATAGGTAATAGAAATAGAAAGGCCGGACTTCAATTTGGTAAAATATTTTAAATTAGAACATTTAGGATGCTGTTGGCTCCAAAATTCACCTGTTTAAAATATTACAAGTCTGAAGATTTCCAAAGCTTGTTTGCCTTGCTGTCTTGAACATGAATATTTTATTCCACAAGAATAATTGTCACTAGAATTTTGTCCGAGTGATATAACACATGCCATGTATTTAGCGTACATCACATTCTTCAAACAAATAGTATAGGAGTTCAATTTGAACAGCAGATGTTAACACAGAATAATTTTTGTGGAAAAGCGCTCCAGAAGTGTGTGTACCAATATGGAGGTTACTAATTTTGTTCGCCTACTTTACATCAAGTTGTGTAAAGGGACTGAAACCTATGAGCAGAGGTTATATTCGCTTGGCTTACACAGACAGTCCCCGATCTCGTAATAGAACTAAAATGAGGAAAATCAGAATAAAATAATGGCCTAACCCTAACCTAGTACACACACCACGGGAATACCGAAAATTCTACCCATTTCAGTACTTATTTAATTTGGAAATTTTTGCTCATCCTTTAGTGTTAATCCTTTTGGCATATTCCCAATAATAGACAAAGAAATATCTTCATTGGCTGTAACAAAGTACTTTATATCATGGTAATGAGAAGGGATTTCCAAATTATTTATAAATGTAAAATTTTGGAAAATGTCAAACATGATAGTAATACCAACAAGAATTCTAATTATGTAAAGAATTCTGGCAGTTTTTTTGAAATAGTACCCACCATAATCATGTTTGATGTTATCAGAGATAAATTTAGAATTTCATGCATTGATAATATCTTACATGTTAAACATTTCCTCATGTCAGTTTGTAAGGTAGTTATTAGGAAAGTATAGATTGATCAAATAAAATTGATTAACAAATTGAATTAGTAGAAAATGGTAAATACAGGATGTCCATAAAGTTCCTTTACAATTTCAATTTTGTTATGAAGTCAGTTCTCAATATATCTTAACCAGGTCTGTTGTTTTTTATTCAGTAATTGTTCAAGTATTTTTACTTCATTTGATACATCTGTTAGGGGAAAAACAATATATGGTATCAATAATTCCTTTTGGAATTTAAAATTTTTTTGAGACTTCATGGACACTCTATATAGGATTATACAACACATATTAGCTTTTTAAATGAGAAAAGTTTAGTGTAAAACAAAATTAATATTTTGACGTTCAGGATAACATTACTGGAGATAAATGTTTTTCTATTATTGGTAATATGAAAGATGTCTAAAGCAAACCCAATATCAGATCAATTCAAAATCTATTACAGATTTGCTCAATATCTTTATATAATGCTTTTAGAAGTATTTCTGATTTCTCATTCTAGTTATGTTCTCTCTTTATATTTATGTCTATCGAGTCTGTATTTATGTAAACTGAAAAATGTTCATTGTTGAGCATGGCTCAATTTAGGGTATATTCAATATTTTATATTCAAAAATATTCAGAATAGTAATTGAATTATGCAGTTTTGGTCATGCTTTGGTAAACTAATTTGGTTTAATATGTGCCATGAATGAAAGATGTATAATTAGTTATTATGAAACCTCAAATTGTTATTTTTATGTGAATATTTTAATTTATCAGAATATATATAAATCTTCAAATTTCCACACCAACTGATTACCATTATACGAATTATGTTTCATGAATATTTGTACATATAATAAACCAATATGCAAGCTACTTATATATACGGTTATAACCTTATAAACATAAGTAAAATATTTTTTATATAAGTTATTCTTGTACAATTTCCCACAGCTATCTTAGAATTGTCATTCACACGGGATGTACGGTTGACTTGAAAGTGTTGATGGTTGTAACCTGAATATCTTGTCTTGAGTTTATACATAGAAACCAGCTGTTTCCTGTTATCACTTGTTTGTATCTGTGTGGTCATGTATACACAGTATGGTAGTCATGTTGTCTGTAAAGTAACACCACCAGTCACATATCATCTTCGAATCATACTTATTATCTGAGTAGCATAGTGGTATTTGGCACAGAGTGCTACCATTTTTAGGTGGGTGATTTCTGCTATTTGAGTGTCGAAAAAATTTTGTATTCCATAATTATGATTTTAAATTTATTTTTATTCGAAATATGGATTTTAAATTGGTCCATTATGCAATAAAATAATTATACATATGCAGATTTAAATTTTTGAAATTTACATAATCCCGATAAAAAATGCCTATCTAAAGTCTGAAGGTTTCGCGATCTTAATCTGATTATATCATATTTTAATAATGGTCTTCATTTCCTGAAACAGGCGAAAATAGGATAGTTATGTTATTGTAATGATTTCTATCTTTTCTAATAATATACTTTCCTTCTGTAATTTTCTAAATTGTCAGTGCTTGTAGGAAGAGAATAAAATTGTGAGAAATAGATATGGTAATACTCACAAATTTAGTGAAAACTTTGTCGGAATAAAACAATTTTCATTCATTTTGATAGTTTTTTTTTAATTTTCAGCAAATGGGGTTTTTGTAGGGAAATCTTAATTGTTGTAAACTATGATGGGGCAAAATCAGATTTTTAATGTCTGTTGCCTTGCGAAAAAATAAAAGCATTATTACTCCAAAATATCACAGCAATCTGTGGACATAAAATGCCTGGTAAATAGGCCTGTCTAGGTTGTAGATAACAGTTATTCCGTTGTTTATTGTATATAAATTCCTTCATACGCTATATTAGGTTCTTTTACTTGATTTTATTTTCGGATGTATTCGATATTCATATTCGAGAATAATAATTTTGAATGTAATTTTTATTGTAATGGGTTCACGCAGACTATTCGAAATCAAAATTTATTTTAACATAACAGGAATGAAATGCTCATTTTTATTTTTCACAAGCTAAAAATCAATTTTCTTAAGCTTTATCTATTTGCTTTTAAATTCATATTGTTCGTACTCAAGTAGGCTTGAAACTGAAGTAGTCTAATTACTGACATATTTCAATATACTCTCATATAATTATAAAGGGAATATAGTAAGATGATTATTAAAATAAAAATGCATGTTTTGGGTTGTTTCTTCATTTCATTTCATTTTCAAAAAGAAATTGCATCCCATTTTTTATGAAATATAAGTTTTCTTGTGTATTTCTAACTATGAAAAAATAAAAATGTATTCGATATAAAAATGCATTCGATTATAGATATGGCAGAAGGTAATTGATATGTCTTACTAATAGCTATCAAATATTCAATAATGCAAACTTCGATTTAGGTCGGGTCAACTTGTTTGGGGATCAGCTGCTGTTAGTGATTTCCAAAAAAGTTTAGGTTTTCGGAAAAAGGTTTTCATAAGGATTTTCTAAGGGCTAATAAGATGGAGCGAGTGTTTATGAGTTGATATGTCTGTTCTAGTTCGATTTAAAAAAACTCTTTTTTTTTTCAGGACTGGGCATATGATGATGGTGCTCCTCCACCTACAAAAATAATTGAAGACTGGTTGGCTTTACTTAAGATTCATGTGAAACAAAACCCCAACAATTGCATTGCAGTTCACTGCGTAGCTGGATTGGGAAGGTGAGAATATTTTTCTATTTCTACGATTTTTATTTATTGTTGTATAACCCTTAATACAAACATGGCCACTTTTGCGTAAAGAACTATAATTTTTGAACGGACCTGAATCCTTCTGGTTCAACATTGCCTACCCTATTTATTTCCACACAGGTTTGGGTTGAGGGGTAGGGGTTATTAACAATATAATCATTAAATATTTATGAATAGATATTTATATAGTAGCATTACTGAATTAGCATAACTTCATGAAAAAAATTAAGCTGAATCACTCTGTGAAATTTTTCGTTTGGAGGAATTTAATGAAGTATTTCATTTGTCATTTCAACCAGTTTTATTTAGTATTTCAACTTTATTATGTCTTTTCATAAAATCAGTTCGCCCAATGAGTAATATAGTAGACTAACTTACGTATTTTTATAGACTGTCGTGATTTTCAGTTTCGTTTCAGATGAACATGATATTAGCTTTTATTTGACACGTTTATCGATCCCACAGACAGTTAAATTTATTATTATAATTTATACATTATCACTCATTATACATAATAAGACACTTTAATAACTAACAAATGAATTATGTCTGCTACCTATTTAAAAGGCAATATTTCTCAAGTTATATAACATATAAATTTATCACTGAAGCATATCTGTGGGTGGCAACCAAAGCTTCTGGAATATGACCTGAATTCCTCCTATTCATCATAATTTACTGATGACATATGTAGACCACACAAGACTTATTTACTATCTGAAGAAATAGGATGATAGTTCTTTTAATTCTTTATTTTTATTTTATGTTGATGATATATCACATTGTGATTGGATCAAATGTTATTTATTTGCAGGTGTATAGAATAGGCCTGTATAAATCTATTTAATTCAGAAATTTCAATAGTCTTGTATGGCAAGTGGGTCAACTAAATCACTAATGCTAAACATTCTTTGAAAATAACTGCATCAGAATTTTGGATTTTTTTGAATATATGTTACCACGGAAAGATTACGGTGTTTCCAAAAATAGTAGCTTCCTACCCAATGGCAGGTTGTTCAGGGCCTTGCAAATGGTATGGAAAAAGCGGTTCAATTTCTGGAGTATTTGTATCATTCAAAAATGAGACAAAGTACACTTTTACAGACTACTATAAATGCTTTTCTTATTTGGATTTCAAACAAAGCAACCAAATTTATTTTACTCAAGTTCAAATTAAAATGTTTTCTAAATCCCCAGGGCCCAGGCACATAATTTAATAAATTTATTTTGGATCATTTCAAGCAGTTCGTAAACTCACACAACACAGTATTGTCCTTGTTCAATATCGAACACGAACTCTCTCCAGTTCAACTCTAATTATAACATTGATTGTATGGCAATAACAAACTATTATCGAAGAAGTTTAATTACTTCAGGTCAACTTGTTTACAAATGATCAGGGTGTATTGGCTCTAACCTTTATTGAGATGTTTTGAAATTAATAAATTTCAAGTTATTTGTCTATAATTAATAAAGACTGAGATAACTCATGTATAGCTTAAACGAATATTTCTTGTCATAAATTTGAATATTCCAAAAAAATGTTCACCAATTTATATGAAGTTCTTCAAAACATTATATTAGCATCCTGAATAGTTTATGTGAAAATTGATCCCAAAATATTACTTATTATTAATCTCTCCAATTAAAATTGAAAAAATGTGCCAATCAATATCATATGAATTTTACAAAGTAGTAATGCCAAGTTCCCTTTCGTGTCTCTCAATTGAAATAAACCTCTTGTCAATTCAAGAGCCCCAATTACCCCATAAAATTAGGATTTTAATAACTTTGAATAGCTAATTTACAGCAAGTGTTCGTCACGTTAGTCTTGTTAAAGGATTAGTGTGACACTTTCATGGTGATTAATTTCATGGTCGTCTCCTAATTAAGAGCTTACAGCTCACTGGTTTACCTGGCAAAGTTTAGTTTTACTACTGTATTTGTTTACTATATCTTAGTATGGGCATTTTTCTAATAACGAATAACGTAAGCCTCTGCATATATTAAGCATTATGTCTAAACTCATTTAAATTTATGCCTTTCCATCTATATAAATTGTAATGGTATGTCAAGTGCTGACAAAGAAGAATGTTAATTTCAATAAAAACTATTTTTTTAATTTAATTTTTTACTTACAATTTAATTTTTATGTACGGTACACTCAGCACTTCCCATTGCATTTTGCATAGTAATTTGTTTAAATTGATTCCTGTCGTTCCACAAAATTCTATTACTAGAATTGACTTTCCTGGAACAGGAACGCTATAAAATAATATTGACTTATGTCATAGGGAATTTCTCTATCAATAACTTGTTGCTGCTGCTGATCTGTGCCTCAGTTTTGTGCTTCAACTAACTACAGATGTGTTGACTTCTTACAGTTATTTTATTATATTCACAATTTTTTAAAGCAGCTCATTTACAATATAATTGGGCTATTCCTTTATAAAAATTGGTAAAGTAATAAAAACATTAATGATAAATTTGATATCTTCTCAGGGCTCCAGTTTTGGTTGCCGTTGCTCTTATGGAAGGAGGAATGAAATATGAAGATGCAGTTGACTTCATAAGACAGTAAGTTTGCTTCAAATTCTTTCAGTATCGTTGAATATGGATGACAGACTTGTTTACCTAAGATTGCTCCCCGCAAATTTTTATTTTTATTTCGGAATTCTATCTGTTACATAACCTACTGTAGCAAAATTAAATATAAAAATTGTAAAATTTTATTTAAAAATATTAAATTTTGGATATCCTTGTTGGCGAAATTCTAGTTTGCACCACACATTTCTTGACACCATGTATTTTGTATGAAAATGTTTTTTTAATTGAAACGTTATGTTTATCATATCCCAGTTTTTCTTAACCAAAAAATACCTGTTTATTTCACTACTACATTTCTAGTCCTGTGCATGTATTTTGCAATTTACAACAGCCTGATAGTGTTAGGGATTTGGCCGAACTTAAAAGATTTAGATTTTTAGCAGCCCCAATTTCTCCCTATTGTGTATTCCTAAAAGAATGATATTTACACTCATTCTCTTCTTTTCCAGGAGGCGTAAGGGAGCTATAAATGCAAAGCAACTCCAGTATTTGGAGAAATACAGGCCAAAGTATTGCCTCAAAATAAAAGACAATGGCAAGCAATCTTGTTGCATTCAGTAGAAGCTGCTGAAATAAAACAAACAAACAAAATCTACTCTAATATATTTTCATTTTATCATTGCATTAACTTTTGTTATGAGTGGGTATGGATGATCATTTCAGCACCACACATGAACAAGATAGATCCGATGATAATGAATTTTCAGGAGTAATAAAACTATCAACTTTGGTATCTTCCAGAATTTTGGATCGATTTTTGTGTACTTTGCATTTTTTTTGCATTTATTCAACTATCTTTTTGTTTGCCTGGCCATTGTCACATGATCCAGTTCAAAATTTGATTTTGTGTCAACTTTTAACTTCGTACTTCCATGTTTAGTCTGATTCAAACCATGCGTGCCCAACAATAACAAATTTTGAACTGCTTTATTTATATCGTATTTTTTCGTGTGTGCTTTTGAATTTATTGATTATATCATATTTGTGGCGAACGTTATCATTTTTGTGGACGTGGAAATCTGAGAGCAAAAATCTAAAAATTCTCATTTATGGTGGATAAAAGCTAGGCCTGACTAGGCTATATAATTAACTTCACTTATTTTAATAACAGTTGGTTTGATTTCAATTGAATTGCCAATGTATGTTTAGGCTTCTGAAATGTTGTTACATACCTTTCTAGTATTTTGTTCTGGGATTGTTTTGGTTTTATTTTTTATACCTCAACAGCTCAGATTATTCTTGTGCTGCTTTGGTACTTTTTTTTATCTCTCGATATTATTAAAATAATCCCTCTCTTTTGTGTTCCCTGTTGCTTTACATATCTTGTACCTTCCAACTCTTGTTACGCAGTATTCAAATTTTTTTGCCATTTCACGATCTCCTCTCTCTTGTCAAACTGCATTGTCCACTAGTTTATGATTTTACATGCGTTGCCTTATCATTATTATTTAATTGTGAATAACGGAAGCTTCAACACAGCTAAGCTTGCCTGTTTGTTTTCGATTGAAATGTTGATTAGAAAGACTTAGGTTTGATGTACACTATTTCATGTTTTTGAATCATCAATTGTGTAGAATGCTTCAGTTTTTCACTAATGAGTAATGAATTACTTTTCAATTATTCTACTCCTGTGTTATTGCTTTATTTTAAATATTGCCAGGCATTGTCGCTGGCCTGACTTTTGTTTTGCATTGAAGAATTTGAATACGTAGATTGCCTTTATTATCAATTACTTCCTTGTTGTGAGAAAGATTTTGTCATCATGATATCTATTATGATGTCATAGTTTTGATATAGTCTAGTCATAATATAGAAATGGTAAAATGCTAACCTTATCAAAATTCAGTATTGGTGGCGTTTCATGGTTCTGGTCGATCTAATCTGATAGGTTGTCATAATCAAATTAACAACACTGTATTAGTTTCTGGTCGCACTTCAACATCACACATTCATTGCACTTCAATACTAGGAACAGATTATTAGAGAAATGAATGTTTTTGTTGACATATTAATGCAGATGGTCTTTGTTTTGAATGTTAAGAGTTTTTTTTAACTACGTTACCAGTGGCTTTGATTTATGGTATGCATCTGTTTGTGATAATGTTAAATAGTAATACTTGGGTTTTATATTGGCAAAAGTGTTGTTTTCAATTGGACATTATTCAGGACTTGTGTCTTGAATTTACATTGTAGAAATTAAGCACTTCCCAATAAAAAAAATGTATGAGCTTGCAGGCGTAAAATGCTTCTTAAAAAGTATGGAGTTTGAAATAGTGTTGTAATATTGTTAAATTCTGTTTCAATCACTCAAGTTTAATACTGATACACCAGGTTAAAAAGCTTGTTATTCCAGACGCCCTGATTTTATTTATAAAATAAATGGCAACATAAAACATACGATCACAGTATATCCAGGAGTTTTTTTTATTGACATTTTGCATCTGATGATTGCCTTATAATGAGAAATATTTTGACCAGTGTTTTTCAACCATGGTTCCCTGGCAACCTAGTGTTTTGCCAGTACAGTTATGGCCCACAAGTTTCTATTTAAATCTGGGAATTCATTTAATTATAATATAAGGTATAATATAATCACAAAATAAGTGTGTTTCACCAGTATCACTTGAAAGTCCTTCAGGTGTTTCCAGTCAAATTGTTGTTTGCATTTTAGTTTATGATAGCAAATATACCTATAATCAATTCCACATGAGTTTCTCTGGAATGTTTCATTTGGGTTCCTCTCCACCAAAGAGATTGAAAACCATTGGCCTGGACTCAATATCACCTGGATTTTGTACGCTGTGCATTTCCCGTCTTCATTTGCTTAGTGGTGCACATCTTTGAGAGAGAGTAAATAATAGCAAATTAATTTCCTGATACTGTGGACTGGTAATTCTGATGCTAACTGGTATATATGTTATATTTGATTCACAACTATTTGCTTCTGTTCTAATGAATTCATTGTTGTTATTTTTTTTGTCATTGTTACAATTAACATTTACTCTTCAGAGGAAAACCTCTTACAGAATATTATGTAATGCATTTCCTGGAATTGTAGTTATGAACATGCATTACTGACATTCTTTAGCGCATCGTAAATAGACTTTTTTGTTCACTCAAAATTTCTTGACTAAGCCTTCATACCTTATCGCACCCATAAAATAATCAACTCCTAATAATTTGATAATAAAAAGTTGAATAATAATTTTATGTACTTTAAATGAATTGTTAAGAAGTACGCAGAAAAGTTTGAATGTATCAATAAATCAATGAATTTATAAAATATGAGGGCATTAGTAAAAGAATAACCCACTAACACATTAACATATATAATCCAAGTCAAGAAATACATGCCCAATCACAGATGATGAGTTGTAAACTTCAAAATGCCCATAAGCTATGAAATTAGGTTGCAGTTGACTACCTTCAATTTTATTCTGTAAAACCCTCTAATTAATATCGCATACCCCCTGGAGTTCATGGATCCCAGGTTAAGAACTCCTGCTTCAAGGCTTGATAATTAGATTTGGCAATTAATCTTCAAATGACGAAAATAGGAATAATACATGCATTTGATGCTCAAGTCGATTATTCAAAATTCTCGATTTGATAAAGTTTTTCTCAGGCTTAATATGAAAATATGACGTGGCTAAATGAATTTTATTATGAATGAGAAGTTTTGTTCCTAACAGCATTTCTTGTAAATTGGATAATATATTTATTATCCACGAATAAAACCTTGCCGGTCAATAAATTTTCATCTCTGAGTCTGTTCTGTTAAGCGTATTAAATGAACATGTAGAATTTGTTTTGTTGAATTTACTTCCTGCTACCTTGCACGAATATTATAGCCAAACTCAAATTGATTAATGGATGAATTTTGCTTTGAACACATGATTTACTATGTTTTATTTGATGAATATTTTTTGCGTCTTGAAATAAAAATTTTGATGAAAACTTCCATTGTACATTGTCTCATTTATATCTATGATTTGGATGGTAAAGTTGAATAGATTTCGATATCTGTATTTTTCATTCGAGTACAAGACTGCAAGATTGCAAGACCTCTCAGAACTACATATATAGGTATATAGAAATGAGGCAAAAATTTCTTCCTTTTCTCCCAACCTCCAATAACCAATTAGATTATGATGGAAATCATTTGTAAAGTTGATGTTGGTCATCGGTTAGCGAGCGATCCTAGACCAAACATTATCATACATGATGCAGATCAAAAGTTTTTCATCAATCTTTTTTGAGTTTCTGCACAAATTTCATCATGAAAAGTTATGATAATACAACTTGACAAAATTTCGACTCCCGAGGGTTTATGACTGGAACGACTGTACAACGAAAACTAACTAAATTCGACTTCTTTTGTTAAACAAAGTTAATTCAAACTGGTTGTGATTCGAATAAAACTAATTATACTAGAAAAGTGACTTTTTATAAAAGCTAGTCTAGAAATATTTCTTTCTCAAAAAAATTGTTAAAATCTTTATAACTAAAGTCGTTTCAAGTCTTACAATACTAAAAACAAATTATTTAGGCTTGAAATCGCACTATTTTTTTCCTGTTAAAACCTCTCTTTATGATCCTTGCAAAATCAGAGCACGCTACAAGATGTTCGCTCGGTAATAATACAACATCCGCTGGATTCATCAAACGATTGCAATCATTGAATATTGTAATCGCAGGCTTCGGCTATACTTGTAGGCACAACATACAAATAGCAATGAATTATAAATAGGCCATATTTCAGGGAGAAGAAGACACTGCCCGGATTGGCAGAACATTAGCAAAAAAATTACGGTATGAAATTGTATTCCTCATCGCTGGCAGATTAAAATGAAGTTTGTACAACTGGACCTTACTCTTTGATAACAAAATCGCACCCATGCAACCATTTCACGTGCTCTGTCCATGGATCAGCATTGGGATCCCAATTCTGTAATCCACCCATACAATAAAAACATTTGGTTTTATCTGACCTTCTCGAGTGATGATAATAAAGCATCGCAATGTATCGCGAAACTCCGTATACTATAATCCTTCTCTAGTAAGAATGGAATATCCAATCCATCATCCAATTTTATTTGATTGTTTTAGGATAGGATTTGCATATATGCGGTTAATGTTTGATTATGTAATATTCCTGGCGTAAAATAACTATTAATCCAAGGAATTGCAAAATTCCTTATTTCAAGGTGACATTATGGAAAATTACTCATCGTGCCGTTCGCAAAATTTATCGGGACAAAATATGGGGAAACCCCCATACTCACTTTGCTTCTCATCGAGTGACTTACCTCAGGTCATTGAACTGCACTTGTTGAACTGAGCGCTCTGGCAGTCTGGTTCTGTATGCAAACGAAGCTGAAAGGCAAGACTGTTAAAACCAAAATACTGATGAATCAGAAATAGTTTTAATAATATCAGTATTTGCAGTAATGAAAGTTTAGACAGTGCCGCGCAAACCCGCGGTGACAATCAGATTTTGTGAGTATAAAATAATATCCGATTAGACTTTAGTTATAAGATTTTTTTTAATACTATTTATTTTGAAATCAATTTTCTCCAACGTCTGAATGTCACAATATTGCAACAGCCTGCTGAAGTTATGCTTTAACTGAATGTTTCTTTGTTGAAAAGAGACATTTTTCTTCTCATGCGGAGTTTGGTCTTGCGGAGAAGGATGACATTATCGGGAGATGATCAGACATGCTACCAGCGATTGATATATGTTGTTGTACCTACTGCTTCTCATTGCGCAGATTTGATACAAATATATCATTTCCAGCAATGTATTTCGCAGGAATATATTGCGTTGTTCTCCGAGTTTCAATTTATAGATGCCAAATTAGGATTTTCTTTTAGCGCCCACACCAGGGTATAGTTTTTAGATAGCCGTTCTATTATAGTGAGTTGATTTCATTACTCCAATGCAAAAAGCCGCGTACAAGTTGTTGAAGTTGTTTTATTATCGTCAGGAAAATACGGGTGTACGTACAACGAAAAGTAAATGTTGACAGGTGTACTGGGATACGTAGTTTCACGTACAAAATACAATGGTTAGTACAGTTTTCTTTTTCAAGAAAACAAAGGAACATTATTTGAAACGGTTAATGTGCAAGCAAGAAATATTATGCCGACAATTGAAATTAATAACTTAACAAAATTATGCAAATTAGAACTGAACTCAAATGAACACAGAGAGGTCGGATCCAGTAAAATACCAGTTACGGTTGATTACAAAAGCGGTCATTCACAAATCACTCTAAAGGCAAAATACTCCTTAAATATAAAAAACAATAAATACATACATACTTGACAGTCCAGCTTACAAAACAATTACAAGTTGATTGGAAACAGTTTATGAAATTAAGGTATTGTTACTGATTCTAAATATGTCAAAAAGACAATTGATACCTTGCACCACAAATGTGCAACCCGAGAAGGTCGAATCAAAGTCCTCGAAGCGTCGCGGGCGAGCACACAGCAATGTGGCTCATCGTGCTAAACGTTAGGAATACGCTCCCCTCTGATTACCCTGCGTGGGTTCGCACGTCCGAATACCATGCGGGGTAGTTATGTGCGAGAGGATTGCTGGACTCTTCGCCATCGTAGAGTGGTTCACGTAACCGCTGGTTGGTTACGGCTTTCTCCACCATCAAGTTCATGCTTACGAAAAATAAATAAGTAAAGCTAATCCTATACCCGACATGGACTGGTAACCGGACGAGAGGCCGTGGTTTGCCATGTGGTTAAGCCGTCTTATCGCGTTTTCGTCTCCCCCGGGATAAATATGTAAATCCAATCCTATAACACTGTAAAGAAGCATTTTCAGTCTTATTGCCACCATTCAACCAATTGTGTGACTGTTTCTCAGTTCTGCAATTCATACCGATACCGTACCAGTTCAGGAGTTTGTTCCAGATTATAGGGCCTAAAAACTGAGTCGGATAAGCTGATCCGGGTAGAAAAAAATGGGTAAGTATAAAGTGTCCCATATGTTTGCTAGTCTGTATGTCCCTACTAAAATGGCCATTTCCACTACGTCCCACTCCCTACTAAAATGGATAATATCGCCGGATGAGAACAGAAGGGGCCTAAGTCACATTTTTGGAAAATTGACTTTTTTCAATATTTTGGGGTTTTGAGCCATGCTCTACAAGGTGGTGGTCTTGAAATCCTGAATTTCTCAATAATAAAAATTTTAGCTGGACTTAGGCCTAAAATATTTAAGAACAGAATGGGCCTAAGTCCAGCTAAAATTTTTATTATTGAGAAATTCAGGATTTCAAGACAACCACCTTGTAGAGCATGGCTCAAAACCCCAAAATATTGAAAAAAGATAGTCCTAAGTTCCAATATGATGGGCATGAACATCAAAAATCAAATGTCCGAAACTTACATCCCTAAAAATTTGTTCAGTGCAACTTAGGCCTAAGTCACCTTGTTTTACCTTGCATCCCATACAAAAAATTTCAGAAGTTGTTGAGAACAGAATGGGCCAAAGTTTCTTATGGGGGTAAAAAAGCAGGAAGGAATTGAAACTGAAGTGCCAAAAAATATTGATTACAAAGATATTCTCATCCACATTAAAATAACCAGAGCTCAGGACTTTACTAAGTGTGAATATCTAGAAATTCAAAAATAAAAAAATTTCAAATTGTTTTTTGCGTTTTTCTCAAAACTTAAAATTGTGACTTAGGCCTGTTCTGTTCTCATCCGGCGATATGTCCCTTCTAAAATCTTTCAATGTATCTGTAGTTATTGATATTGTTTGGTTAATTCACCGAAGCGATACCAAAAAAAACGATGGAACTACGGTAAACTAAAAGCTTAATAATTTTAACTTTCAATCAAATATAAGTAAATATATATAAAATAAATATAATATAAACCTGACTTGACTTTTCAAGTTAATTTTTACTTTTTTTGCAATCATACTAAGTTTGCTATTTGTAATGACTTTAATTTATTTATTCCTTTGCCAAATTAAAATCACAAAAATAAAATTGTGATTGTTAATCCAGTTGACAACGGTTATATAAAAAGTATCACTTGCTTACTGAGTTTTGCTTGTGGGTGTTTGACTCTGAATGCAGCATGTCGCCTATTGTTGGGAAAACACCGCAACAGAACACTCAACCAGATGCAATTTGTGAGGAACCAAGTGTTGAAAGAGTGTTGGTTCAAGGAGAAAAAAATGTCGCCCGTCAATTGACTGTTGATATTAAGGTTAGACTGTTGTTTTACATGGATTACATGAAAATTTCAATTTATTATTTCTCAAGTTACACATTGCTGAAAATTTGTTTAACATTACAAGTATTATAAAGAAGTAGAGAGTCCTACATGGTGGTTTATTATTAGTGCGAGTCAGGTTTAGGAATGCTAACCAGTTGATTGCTACTATGGAAATGGGATTTTATGCAACCTTTTCCACATACCGTATTTGCTCGTTTTGTAGCCTGGGCCCCCTTTTTTTTTAACCAACTCACTAACCGGGCCCTTATTCAAACCGGCCCTTATTCAAGCACGGGCGCTTGTTATTTTCGATCGTTACAATAATTAATATATTGTTATTTCCAGTTCTCAAGTATGATTCAAACGAGAACAACGAAAACCTTGACTTTTTCTACGCACCGCAGGTACAAATCCACAAAAGGGCCATTCCAAGCAAAAATTGAACTCCATCAATTTTTTAAAAAGTGTAGTGAAAGTAATTTTTTTTTATTTTTGATATCAAAAGACATTGGAATTTTATTGGACTGCATTCATTTCATCGAACAATTTAAAATTTCACCCAGGTTTTTGATGGTTTATAAAAAATGGCCTGAAATGTAGAAATTTTGGTATAATTGACATATTTTGTGATGATTTCTGACGCAAAGTGTTTGATTGTGTGATACAGTTATTTCATATGGAATTGACGCACTGGATTTAAGTTAATAAAGTTTGAATGTTTGCAGTGCTGTAGAACATTTCTTCACCCATTTAACGATTTATTACCAGAATTTTAAGAGATGATAGATGCCGCTATTCCGAAGTGGAAAAATGTCCTGTAGTGTCACGTCCTGTAGTGTCACATACAATATGCACATTATTGGTCTGGATTTACAGTGTTACATTAAGTAACTTGAGCAACACATAGAGGGGTAGTTCAGCTACTGCACCAGAAAATATTATGGGCTCCTACTGTACCATCGCAAAAATTTACAGCACAACACAACGTACTGTTAGTGCATCGTGGATTTGCCGTCCTGTAGTGTCACGCTATATTTTACTATATTTTTTGTATCTACTTAGTAAGGTTGGGTGTAACTTTTGTGCAATTTTTTACATATTCAATAAAGCAACTGATTGGACAATGAAACAAAACATGTAGCTGAAAATGTGAAAATATATTGAATTTAACAACATGTAAAATTTCTGGAATTGTCCTGTAGTGTCACTTGGAATAGCCCAAAAGAAGAAAAGTTTTGAGACGCCGTATCAATATTGAAACGACGCACTTGGTCGCCGCGACGCCCAGTTTGAGAACCATGGTGTTCTGTAATCAATGTTATCTGTTATGTACTTGGACGCCTAAGACGTGAATGTTATCTACCTGCGCTCAAAATTCAACAGCGTTGTGACAAAACGCTTCTTATTTCCTAGTGTTCTCTACCACTGAAAAAACAGCTTTTAAATCGGGCGGGTATTCAAGCACCAGCCCTTTTTTATGTTCTGTTCACACGGGCGGCTATTCAAACGGGCCCTTTATCAAGATCGGGTGGTAAAACGAGCATATACAGTAGTTTTTTAGTCTCTGTACAAGCAGTAAGGAGCTGGTATATTTTTCATGATACCAGAGTCTTTCTAGCTCTGCTCATGCTTCTAAGTTTATTAGGCACAGGATGAAATGGTGTGCATGACATTGGATCTGAACTCAAGATCTTGAACCTGCTATTGTGCTTTTTCACATAAATTCTCCACATGATTCAGACTATCAATGTTTAGTACAAAGAATATACCTAGAATTATGCTTCTTTATAGTAATGAAATTATGTTAATCAAAATTGTTCTTTGCAGCCATCATGGCGCAACAGTGTGATGCTCTTCCTTTTATTAATGAGCAACGTAGTTGGAGGTGGATTCTTTGTTCTTGGATTTGCTGCTGAAGGAATCGTGTGGGGCAGTCTGTTTTGGTAAGTTCTTAGACCAATAGTCATTTTGATACTTTCATGATATCCATTTGCAATATACTGATTGAAAAGGTGAATCTCAACTTTGATTTTGTATTGACATTTATGGAATAACTCCTTGAAATCACTGTCAATTTTCATTCATATATAAACAAAAAACAATAATTAACTAAATAATTGAGATTTTCTTGGGTATCATTCCTACTATGCAATTGTTTGAAATTATATTGTATTAATTTTTGATCTAATAATCTGGGTAGGAAAGAATCGTGTCGAGCCACTTACAGAGGGAAATTCACTAGCTTGCGGCAATATTATCCCAAAATAGGGTGTGTTGCTTCTGGTAAAGGCTGGCAATGTAGGATTAAATTTTAGATTACTATAACTTATAATAAGCAACCTATTTGGATTAGCGCAAGATGGAAGTTTGAGTTTCATTGGTTAAGACTCTCATTTATACTGTTCTTCATGAAATCTACTATGAATTCCACTATGGCTCATACTCAACTGGTGACTCAACACAGAAATGACTAAATGTGAATTAGAGTTCAGTGACTCAATTCAAACTTAACATTTGCCAGGACACAGCTTTGACTTGGATATCACTCGAATGACCAGCGATCTATGACTCACTTAATTTGCAACTCTACCCTTAGTGCAGTGGTGAGCTGTAGCCGGAACATACCGGAACAGCTTTCAGGTTCTTGGACATTTTATTGCAATTGTGTTCCTGTTGTTGAAATGAAATTGTGTTACAAAAAGTCACGCAAATAATTAGTACAGCAGTAACGTGTAATAGATATTTCGCCGACCTTTGACCCCATGAAAATTCATTCTATACCTTTCTAATATTGCTATTGAATTGCTATGAATACTCTTATAATTTCACACAAACATATTTCATATAATTTATTCGCAGTTCATTGCAGTTCTGTAAACGTCCGGGTTGTGTTGTGAATATATTACATTTTTGCGAATTAGGTTCGTTCCGGTTGTTACGATTTTCCCAGCTCATCACTGCCTTAGTGCCTTAGTAACTGTTAAAAGATTGAATTCATCTGGCGATCAAAGTAATACAATTATTGTAATTTTTCTATTTTAATTTTAAATCATACAGGCAAACATTCGTGCCTGTTGTTGTGAGTACATTCTGCATGCATTTGTTGCTGGAACTTCTCAAGGTTCATTCTGTGGATAATTACATGGTACATAATTTTGAAATTACGGTACATAATGTAGTACATTTTTGGGTATTCCCAAAGTATGTGAACCAAGATGGAGGACACCAGAACGTAGTATGTGTACCAGGTTAGGTTTAGGCCACAATCTCAGCTACAACTACCACGGAAGTCACTTGGCTAGTCTCCGAACTCGTAATAGAACTAAAATATGGAAAATTGGAATAAAATGATGGCCTAACCCTAACCTGGTACACATACTACGACCCGGTGATGGTTCTAATACTTCGGGAGTGCCCATTTTTGTCTCAGACGCACTCTGGCATAGCCAAATCGGTATAATCCACTATTCATTATACATTCTGAAAAAGAAAATTTTTAATATGAGATATTGCTCATATAGGCTAACCAGAAAACATTAGGGAGTCAATGTATAATCAATGATTATAAAATTGAAATTGCCAAAGAAATTTCAGGCTAAGAGCGATCTGATTGGTTTCTACCTTTTTACAATTGTCAGAAATTGAATCAGGGCGTTTTTTGTGAGACTTAATTAGCGTACTCTGCGTACTCTAAATTATTCCTTATTTATGAGTCAAAAATTTAAATAATCTGGTATGATTAATTTTAAATAATTTGAATATTCGATTCGTTTTTGGCATCCCTGCATATAAATACAATCATTACCCAAGAATAGGAAAACATAAAATAAATTTTCAATGTGTTTGGTTGTTTATGGCGGTGTGAATTAGCCCAATAATGTCGATATCTAATGTTAAAGATATCAAGTTTGAGCTCTTTTTTCATATTCACTGACTACTGGAGGCTGTGGTTCTCAACTTCTTTCCCCTAGCAACTCTTCAAAAATCATCAACTGATTCAAGCTCCCCTATTCTGTAAATACTGTAGTGTTGTTGTCATATGTAAAAAGCAGAACCAGTGCCTTCCAGTTATTTGGTAACACTTGAATAACATGGATTTAATTTTACATCAGGGAAGGATATGTTGTAAATTACAGTAGCCTAATGGATGAAAATTTACAGTGTCACATTTAACTAGACTTCTTTGATTCTGAGAATTTGTTCTCAACTATTTAGGATCTTGTCGCAAAAGTAATTGGGAGCGGAATGCTCTTTGCATCTGTTCTGTTTTATGCAGCAGATATTGCCAGTAAGTACTTCATTACATTTGTTAAGAAAGTTTCTATTTTCATAATAAATTCCCCTTGTCTGATACAATTTTCATATATCATTGATGCTGTAACAGATATTAGTCCATAATGATAGTGATAAAAAGTAAAAAGTTGAATGAATATTATATGAATGAGAGGAGAATTCAAATTGGCATGTTTTTACTTGAGGAAGAGCAGGAGTCGTACTTCAAACACCCAACAAGGCGGAGCAAGCTTCACATTTCCTAAGACGTTTTAACAGTTCAATGCCTAAAATATATGCAGAAGCTTTTGTTATCAAACGTCAATTTTCTTGTAGTCAGAACCAAAAATTTTTTTTTGAAAATGAAGTTGGTAACACACAAAGTCATGGTTTGATAAACAGTTTGCTTGGAGTAAATTCTCTTGTACTCAACTGAAAAAGTCTGTTCCGAAATGATTTGTAGGCAATGAAATGCCTTATACTTGATGACTGGCCTATTTTAATATTGAATTTTCTGAAACTTGACTGACAATATTGTTATCATTTCAAGCTCTGCTATCCTTGTTTATCATAATTAAACACAAAGCCCTTGAGATGTTGGTGTTGTTTGGAGTTGATGAAGAAGTCTTGACTGGTTGGTGAGTTGAAAACTATGTTAGAACCTTTAATAATATCGATTCAGAAAATGGATCAAAATTTGATTTTATTTTTGAGTGGGGAAAAAGTTTATTGTTCGGATCGGGAGAGTGCAAACTGCTGCCAGTGGGCCAAATGCAACCCACAAAAAAAATTTCAGTTTAGTTAATCTGGTACATGAAAGCAATTCCGATTTCTTTGCATGCCAAAGTCTATACCAACACCTGAGTGCTACTGTCATATTAGCAAAACTAGCTAGCAAAATCCTTTTATAAAATACACAGTGTTATAAAAACGTTTTTCTAATTTCGTTTGAAGTTGGTGTGACAATAAATTTGAATGGCAGTTATCAGTTTATGCGTTTTAACTCAACATTTCTGCAAGGACCGCTAACAATAGCGTGCAATCAACAACAAAAAGAAACTATTTTTTGTGCTTGGCAACTACAGTAGAAACTCCACCAAGAAATTAATCAGTTCCAGAAGCCCCCCTCTAGGTAGAAAATTCCTAAGTAGGGACGCATTTTACATGTAAATAATCCATCCTTGTAAATAATCTAATCCTTTCTAAGTCCCCACAAAACTCGGACATAATATTTGTATAAATTATAATAATTGTTAAAACCTGTAACAAATGTTAGAATTAGATCTCAGCATAGTAAATAGAAAAGGTACGAATGAAAAGAAAAAAGAACAGAGAAATATGGTATGTTTGTTTATTTTTGGTTTTGGCCGACTATGCTAGGCTAAATGAAGACCGTGGCGAGTGGGAGGACGGCGGTCGAAGGAGGCAGCAAAAGTTGACAGCTGAGAGAGAATATAATGTGCGAAAATGAGCACACACACATGAAAACCCGCGGGAAACAAACTGGCCAATGAAATGGCAGATAATTCATTGCCGCACGCGGCTGCCTTGATTACGATGAAAAATGAAATAATTGTAAAATGTTTTAAATCGTGACATGGACGGCAGCGCTAGGATATGTGCGCCATATTAGGTATTCTTACAAACACAAAAACAAAATTCGAAGGTCGCGATATTCCAGTAGTGAATTCGAATCGGGCATAATTTCTTCAAGTACTGCATTAAATTAATCTAAAATAAACAAATATCACTACACACAGTTATTAAGTTTTTGGACTTTCGTATATAGAAAATTTTCCGTTAGCTGAAGCAATAATTTTGCAAAAATAATTTTTGTAAGTTGGATTTTTCGTATCCAGTGCCTTTCGAAAGTAGAGTTTCTAGGTGCGGCCCGCTGCTTCTTTCAGTTACTTGTATCTGGTCCTCCTTTTTTAAAGGTTGCACACACTTGGTTTAGATTATCCTCTATGGATTGTAACTTGGCACTGTCTATTTCTAAATGTGAGGTCAATATTATTTACCTCAGAACCTAAACATGGGACAAATATCAATGAATAAGACACTCTATTTTAAGAATATTTGTATTTGAAAATTGAAGCCTGCACCTAATGTGAACATTTTTTTGTCTTATAAATGTGTATCTTAGATTTGACTATGCCTTTATAAAACACAACATTCCCCAACCGGGGAAAAATTCTTCCCCAAGGAGAAATTTTCTTTTTATTCGCTGTAGTATTTCTAATAGTCTTCAGTTTTTTGATATTACTATAATACTTATTCACGAACACATTGGTGCACAACCTGAACATAGTATGTGTACCAGGTTAGTGTTCAGGTTGTGCGCCATCTTGGTGTACATACTTCGGGAGCGCCTAATAAACTACTTAAAATGGGAAACCACAAAAGATTAAGTAGTTTATAAAAATGAAGTAGTTTTATACATACGGAAGGAGGATTAAAGAGTGCCAATATAGGCAAAGGTAGGAATTAAACAAAGAGTTGGGAATCACTGATATAATGTAATATTGTTTGACTTTGATGGGAATAGGAGTCAAAACAAGTTGTAATGTTGTATCGTTTAAAATATTTAAAAATATAAAAAGCAATGTTGCTGTCAGTAAAAAGTTATCATTTCTTACAGTTACAATACTAAGTTTCCAATTTATCAATTTGTAACTGCGGAGTTGACATAAAGCTGACTGAAAATCACAATAAAACATGTTGATAACTGATGTGCTTGTTTACATACCTGTACTTTTTTTTTATGTATATTTGAACATTTTTGTCTAACAACTTGTATAACTTGTTCCTGATTGTGAATTCACAGGTTATCCAGCTTTTCAGTTGTTGCTTTCATTTGTGTAATCTTGCTGGCCATGGAATTCGGTGAGTCTTAATACTCATGCATGTTTTCACTTGATATGTCAATATTCTAATGTTTTCTAGTACATAGCATCCGAAATAAACAACTTATAGTATCAAGATAGTAGAGTCTTGCTTTTTTACTATAAGTTTTGCCAACTTCAACTTTTAATTTTCAAAATAATCTATAAAACTTAATGTCTATTATAAATAAATATATTGAAATTCTTCATTTAGGTCGTCATTTGGAAAAATATTTGAAGAAAAAAACCATCAGCATCAACAATAATAACGTGGTTCGTACAGTAGTATCTTTATATTATTTATATTATTAGTTGTGAAAATGCTTACGCTGAACCTCGGTGCCTTCATATATTATTTCCATTTCTTGCAGTTTTAATTTTGTGTTGGACCAATGTGCCATAATTTAAAAAAGGATTGAATACCACAGCTATTATAGGGATAACAAAATCTATTTTTATTATCATTGTAGAATGTTATGGGTTCTCAGATTGACACACTGGTTGCATTCAACACCCCAACTCCAACTGGAAGAACTCAAGGTATTGCTAGTTTTATATGATTAAAAAAAATTCTTGCTTATGCTATTAATTGCATAGCGAATTTACTTAATTGTTTTATTGGCCACCATTGATGATTTTTAGTCGTCTTTTGCCATAACTCTGTTGTCAAATATATGGATATAAAGGTCAAATGCGAAATAGTATTCTCTTTAATCAAAACCTCCAACCCTGCACCTCCAAAAAATAGACTCCAATGACATTTTCAATTACTGGAAATTAAAGATCGATTAACTTAAAAAAAATAAATTGGTTGACTGCAATACAATCAAGCTTACTTTTATGTGTTTTATTTGATGGCTGGTGATACTTCAATGACCTAACTTAAAATGGTTGGTGATCGCTGTTGGCGGAAGCATTTAAACCCAGAGTCGCAAATTAAGTCGTGTGTGTGCAACCTTCAATACAAGAGTGCCAGATGGAAATAATTCGGTGGAACTGCGTACTTTAGAAAGCTAAGTGATTGGAATTACTCGCATATACCAGAATAAACCAAATTAAAAACTTGTTTTGACGGCCACACACTATTTATAATCGTCACATCTACACAATTTTTCCCTCGGTCGCAATTTGGCCTGTGGGTCGCCCGGTTGCAGACCCCTGAGTTAAGTGGTGGACCATCTAAATTTTCGGAAGTATAGTCACTTACTGAATAAATCTCACTTGTGTTGGGTATGTTATAAATAGTCGCTCGAGTTGAGTTATTGACTCAAGCTTTCTCATCATTGATAATGTTAGCATTCACATTTTTATTCACCATTAATTGATTATTCTTTATCAATGTGCAGCGTTACATTTCAATAAACGAACTGGTGTTCTTCTTTGCTTGATTATCATCTACATTGGAATATTGTTTGTGAAAGCCTTTTCTCCTGCACAACATAGCCTATCATCATCTATTGATGATGAGAAAAACATGACAGTGAATGAAACAATGAATTTGAATGATTCAGATGGACCCTATATGCATGTATGTAATTTAACTCGGATAATTACCATGAATTGATTATGTCTGTTAAATTAATGTATGGACATGATTTTTAAACCAGCAATAGGTACAAATTTTCTAAGTTTGCGTTCTGCGCATGTGTTGTAAATATATTAGTTGTTAATGGTACTGCTATGTACTGCTTAGCAGAAGGGTTCTCAAACAAGGGCAAATTTTGCCTCCTGGTGTGAAATTTCACTAATAGGTTAACGTAGGGTTCATTTTTGATACATTGTGGAACTCTTGCTGAGCATTTAGTGAAGTTTGTTTCCAATTTTTTTTAGACAATATAATTTCAGTCTTCCATTGTGATTAATTGAATGCATGCTTCTTATATTATTCAAGAAAACAAAGATGTTTTTTTCTATTATGACTGCTTCTTCCTAGCCAATAAATCTCTATTATTTTTGTGTAGGCCTGGCGTACAATGCCTATAATTGTGTTTGCGATTTCCCCCTATGTGATTATGCTGCGAATGAATGAGCAAACTCAAAGGTAATTAGCTATTTGATTAGAGATTGTATTTCCTTGTGAATTCTAGGGAGAGAAGAACTGTTATGCTATACTAGCCATGGCTTCTTGTCTGATTACCAGCTAGGGTCACTGGCTCAACTTGAGTTAGTCTTGTGTCACCATTTGACTCAAGTCTCTTAATGAAATGACTTGGGACTTGATAAACCAACAGCGAGACTGGTACTCCTATAGTGTGTGTGCCAGGTTAGGGTTAGACCATAATTTTATTCCGATTTTCCTTATTTCACTTCTATTACGAGTTCGGGGACTGTCTGTGTTGGCCGAGTGAATATACCCCTTAGGTTTCAGTCCTTTTACACAACTTGATGTACAAAAGGCGAACAAAATTTGGATTGCTGTGAGATTGTATCGACTCTAGACTCGAATAACAAGTGACTCTTTTCACTCAGGCTTTAAGTACTTCTACTCAACACTGGGTACCAGTCCAGGTCTTTTGTGGGAAGAATGGATGGTCAGTCAATCGATTGATTCATGCAAGTGCATGGAATGGGAATGGGAGAAGCCACAACCCTATGTGACTACTTGGTTATGCAAACCACCCAATGACGCTGGGGAATTCAGCAATGTCTTCTCATTGAATCTTATGGAATTCAAACCTGCATAGTATCTAATTGAGGAGTCAGCGAATATATTCATAGCGGCTAGCATAATGCAAAAACAATTGACTCCCTTATTTCTATAATTAATAATTGATTTTTTCATCTCCTTTGATGATAAATCTTTTTCACTCTAGATTAATATCTGCATCCTGTAGGAAGCATCCTGCTTCCATCCCGGCTGTTCTATTCTTGCCTACACTCTTTTTATTTTTCATCATGAATTGTGAGTGTTTTACTTATCTTCCGATTAAGAATTTCCATATTTTCAAAAGTAATAATCAATGAAAAAATTTTGAAAGGAATCAAAGAAGAATCAAAAGCTTGTTTTGTTATCAAAATTTGGTTTTATCGGATCTCCGAGCTGGAGTCTGTAGAGAATTAAAATATTGCTTTATCGCATACTAATCTGAATCTATTCTTGTGCATGTGTTATGAAAAAAGTATACAAGAATATGGTATAATTCAAGATTACTTGATTACTAAGAGGCGCTATCATTTTCACCTATTATGAAATTTGATGACGCAGCAGCTAAAAGTATATTTTGTCTCAACAACAACATTGATAATTTTTCAAATGTCTAACAGATTGCCAAATACCAAACTGCATATTTAGGCAAATTCCATTATTCTTTGCTTAATTGCAATTTTAATTTTCCAGTGATGTCATATGATGAGAAAAACGTGTTGCCAGGGCTGCAAATTGCACAGTATATCATTGCAATAATAGTCTGTATATTGGCAGCTTCACTGAGGTTACTTCCGGTGAGTTATTGGATTGTTTTCAGAGACTGAAGGTGTAATCAATCAGTTACTGCGTAGTGGTCAAATTTTGGTACTCCCGTAGTGTGTGTACCTGGTTAGGGTTAGGCCATAATTTCATTATGTCTTAAATTGATTGGTGGGCTTCGTAAATAATAGCCAACCTCTTCATGGGCCCCATAACGCATAGGATTAAGCAGCATCCACCCTATAAATATAAAAAGTATTATCTATTGCTTCTCCTATGTGGGATTCGGCTTTCACAATCCCATAGAGATGGAAATGTGTAATAATACTTGATGTTGTCTTTTCAGTGTGCAAAAGTATGTGAGCGAATTATGTGTCGTAAATGTGAAGAGGGAGGAAAATGGCACATATTACTTTATGCGATGCTCCTTATTTCTGCTACTTTATTTTCACTGTTTGTTGATTGTGAAGAATGTGTCATTGTTCTTGCAGGTAAGTCAGTATGGATTGAATATTTAAAATATTTCCACTGCAACTATTTTTATGAAATATCAGAAAGTAATGTTTTTTTTCGCGTTCATAGTGACTAGTTCAACAGTTTCATTAAGACTGTGATGTTCAAAAAATGTTTGGTTCTATCTAAACTCCGGGTCAAATCGAGTTAGTGGTCATCTTAATCTTAAGTCAAGTCCGAGTCACAAATCAAGTTTTAGTCGTCGTAAATTTTAATCATGATTGTCAACATCCATCTTGGACATGGCATATTCTGATTCATTGCTGTAACAAGCTAGTAAATATTTTCCTCTTTTATTACAACATCCATTTTCACTGAAAAAACTTGCTCAGAGTTATGTTTGTGTCCTGAGACAAGTCTTTCTGGTGTATCGTTCAGATGACTCAGGTCATTCTGGGTCTTTCAAAAAATTGAGTCTAATCTAGACACTTGAGTTGATTCCTTCAATTACTGGTACTAAATAATCTATTTTGTTAAAGTAGTTTTTTTAATGTAAATTCAACTGATGACAGATTTGGCATCTTTCATCTCTTACTGTCATCTATCTGTATACAACGTTTTAGAGTTTATTTTTATTTTTTTCCTTGGTTAATAAATTGGGAGTAAAAACTGGAAATATTCTAGAATTTAGATGATTCATAGTATATTAGTTCTTTCCTACCTAGGAATGTCTGCTTATGATGAGCCTTCTTTGGAGCAAGAGTCAATAAATGCATAGTACTACAAATTTTATGATGAGCAAAATCTATTGCTAAAACTTGTTATTACTCAATATTACCAATTTTTCATGAAAAAATGATCAATTGAGTTTACGTGAGACACCAACTACCTTTCCTTGCTCTATGCCTTTGCATGAGTGGATTCGTTTGCATATAATGCAAGGATGCTATGGCAGGATTAAAGATGACCAAACAGTTCATTTTTAACATCTTTTTCATTTTATCAAAGGTTGCACTGTTTGGCCTATCTTCATGTGGATTCTGCCGTGCCTAATTTTCTTTTTTCATTTGAGGGTCATTAAGCAGAATGGAGGGAATATACGCACTCGCATTGTCATATTCAAGGTACTTTCTCATTGCAACAAAACAGAAATATTTTTTCATGTTGCATATTCATGATTTTTGTAGCTCAGTTATTAATCTTGAGCTTAGAAATAACTAACTTGGGTCTGTATGTAATTTACTGTGATTACTTTGCATGATATCATTAATAAATGAATATATTCCTGTTATGAAAAGTAACATTATTAAGGCAAAAATACGAAAATATTAAATCTATTCTTAGTGAGAGAAATGAAATATTTTTATTGAAAGGTGTCTGAAAATCAGAATCTCAATTCTTAAAAAATCCCGAACCTTCTTATGCCACTTGGTGGTTAGAAAAGTCTGTTGGGCGAAAAAATGTTCAACCATATTTCAAAATTAATAGTGGCAATTTTTAGCCGTTGCTTTAATAATCTTAAACGTCTCAGCTACTGATTTTTTGTAAAAAAAAATGAATATCCACTTTTACACGATTTGAATGTTTTTAATTTATACCGCAGGGGGTTGTTTGTTGCTTGATTCTGCTTGGATCAATTTGCTTCTGCGTCCTTCATCTTGCCAAGATAGGTGAAGTATTTTATCACAAGCACACTAATATCTCTTCTGATGAAACACCATAGAAAGGTTCTGACATCGTCTTGTTGAATTCATTTTCACATGTTACAATTCTTTTTTTTTCTGGTGGTTTATCAACATAACTGACCAAATTTTTGCTTGTTTTTTGTTGACAGTTTGTTTCTGATTCTGTCTTTGAAAGAAGGAAAACCCATCTTTGTTTGGAAATGTTGTGAAACTACATACTGTTTCATTTCCTTTAAGACAGTCATTTTTTGAGCAAATTTTGTGAATTTGTGAGCCATATAGTGTTAGTGAAAAAGAAAATCGATTAAGTTAATGTTTGGAAAAAATTATTGCATAGAATGTATACAAATGTAAGCAAGTTAAATATTTTGACAATGTGTAGCATATACTACCTTTGCTTAGATTGCATAAATTATATATTATTTTCAACTTTAAATTATTTCCAAAGTTCAGAGCAGTGAATATCTGAAGCAAAAAACCTTTCCTGATTATATTATTATGTGTAACTAATAATTTGCACATTTTTGCTTCGCTACTTTGTCAATATTTTCTCATGATGACATTGTTATCATGTCAATGAATCGAATATTCGTTTAATCAACTTTTAAAATTATTTATAATATTTCCCACTGAAGTTAACACAATCACTGATATATGTTATCTGTAAATAAAATCACTGAATGCGCGTGCTTTTGATACTTCGTGTCTTCCCTTTTTGTGCCATCAATATCATTTATCTGCCAGCTAAACAGTTAGCATAATTTAACAATTAATACCTTATAAATTAATACCATGTTAGTGTACTGACTTCACTATGCCCACATCACTCGTTTGAGATCTGGGGTTGAGCTATCTCATTCCTGCCACCTCTCGTATTGTGTACATTGCTTGAACTGAGAGAGTTACTGGCTTTGTGTGAATATACAATCAGACTTATCCTTTTTTCAAAAGTGTAATTTTTTGCTGTATACCACCATGCCAGCTATCTACTAAATTGTAATTATACAATCAGACTTATCGTTTTTTCAAAAGTGTAATTTTTTGCTGTATACTACCATGCCAGCTATCTACTAAATTGTAATTATACAATCAGACTTATCGTTTTTTCAAAAGTGTAATTTTTTGCTGTATACCACCATGCCAGCTATCTACTAAATTGTAATTATACAATCAGACTTATCGTTTTTTCAAAAGTGTAATTTTTTGCTGTATACCACCATGCCAGCTATCTACTAAATTGTAATTATACAATCAGACTTATCGTTTTTTCAAAAGTGTAATTTTTTGCTGTATACTACCATGCCAGCTATCTACTAAATTGTAATTATACAATCAGACTTATCGTTTTTTCAAAAGTGTAATTTTTTGCTGTATACTACCATGCCAGCTATCTACTAAATTGTGAATCGTTTTTTCAAAAGTGTAATTTTTTGCTGTATACTACCATGCCAGCTATCTGCTATTTTGTGAATATACAATCAGACTTATAGTTTTTTCAAAAGTGTAATTTTTTGCTGTATACTACCATGCCAGCTATCTGCTATTTTGTGAATATACAATCAGACTTATCGTTTTTTCAAAAGTGTAATTTTTTGCTGTATACTACCATGCCAGCTATCTGCTATTTTGTGAATATACAATCAGACTTATCGTTTTTTCAAAAGTGTAATTTTTTGCTGTATACTACCATGCCAGCTATCTGCTATTTTGTGAATATACAATCAGACTAATCGTTTTTTCAAAAGTGTAATTTTTTGCTGTATACTACCATGCCAGCTATCTGCTATTTTGTGAATATACAATCAGACTTATCGTTTTTTCAAAAGTGTAATTTTTTGCTGTATACTACCATGCCAGCTATCTACTAAATTGTAATTATACAATCAGACTTATCGTTTTTTCAAAAGTGTAATTTTTTGCTGTATACTACCATGCCAGCTATCTACTAAATTGTGAATCGTTTTTTCAAAAGTGTAATTTTTTGCTGTATACTACCATGCCAGCTATCTGCTATTTTGTGAATATACAATCAGACTTATAGTTTTTTCAAAAGTGTAATTTTTTGCTGTATACTACCATGCCAGCTATCTGCTATTTTGTGAATATACAATCAGACTTATCGTTTTTTCAAAAGTGTAATTTTTTGCTGTATACTACCATGCCAGCTATCTGCTATTTTGTGAATATACAATCAGACTTATCGTTTTTTCAAAAGTGTAATTTTTTGCTGTATACTACCATGCCAGCTATCTGCTATTTTGTGAATATACAATCAGACTAATCGTTTTTTCAAAAGTGTAATTTTTTGCTGTATACTACCATGCCAGCTATCTGCTATTTTGTGAATATACAATCAGACTTATCGTTTTTTCAAAAGTGTAATTTTTTGCTGTATACTACCATGCCAGCTATCTGCTATTTTGTGAATATACAATCAGACTTATAGTTTTTTCAAAAGTGTAATTTTTTGCTGTATACTATCAAGCTACTGATTCAAGTCCTTTGACACCAAAGGACCAAATTTTGGTTATGCCTAACTATCAAGAATTCTGTGGCGCATCGTACAAAGTGTTAGTAATACGCTAGCCATCGCACCTCTGATTACCCTGCGTGAAAGACCGTGGTCCGCCATATGATGAACCCGTCTTATTGACTTTCCTCTCCCCCGGGATAAATATGTAAATCCTATCCCAAGTGTTTTCTTATCAATATCGTCTTTAATATGAAAACCATAAATCGTGATTTTCATATTATTTGAACTTCAAATACTACGTGTAAGTTTATCTCGACTTCATAATCAGCATAAAAGACAATGGTAAAAAATAATATTAAATTATTTCACACCAGTATTAGTAATAATTGCTATTTGATAATATGTTAACAATGGTTTTACTTTATTGTGTAAGATTGAATTTTAACTATTTCCACATTAAATGTGTAATTTTGTTGTGTATTGAATTCTCGTATATTTTATTCTAGTGGGCATTAGAGATTCGTGTTGTACTCTTTCTAGAGCCCAGTGTTGCAATTGTAGATTGCTCGACTGTTCCGTTCCGAGGAGCAGATTTTATAAACAGCAGTTCAGCAGTGGATAATTTAGGTCACATTGACTTAAAAATGTATTTTAAAATACTATGATGTCTAGAGAATCTTTACCGCGGAATCAACATGTCCCATTCTGATCATCGTGCTGAGACTAAGCCTTAGGTACCGACACCATATACCAGGGGTGGCCAAATTTCTTTAGTATAGGAGCCGCATGCAGCAAGTCAGGCCTATGTGAGAGCCGCATAATTTTTGAGATTATTAATATTAGAGCTCATTAAATCATTTTGCATTGTAACTGTTACATTGATAGAAATATGGGAGATGCGTGTAGTTTATGTAGTGCAACGCGAAACCGGCGTATAAGCCGTTGACTGCGACAACATCAGCAATATTTTTTTCACAAAATCACAGAACAACAATATTCCATGATATAACATCTAAGGGTCTAAGAAAACTTCAGTTGATGCATCGGATTTCCTGCCAAATAATATCATAAATTTCTGCTGTGTTTTTAGTAATATATTAATTTCATTTAATCTGTGTTTCATTACAGCTGATTTACAAGGGTAGTCTCGTACGAAGTTTTTGTGATTCGTCACATGGTGCGGTTCAACATTGCTGACTTAGCAGCTTATGGGAGATTAAGCACAACGGTTTATTTTCTTGAATAGTGAATGCGTATTCTTCTTCACATTCTAACTTGACAGCTCTGTTCTCATCTTCGTATTTTCGCTTTTTACCTGAGGACATACCGCACTGTAACTGAGACACCGCAATCAAGCAGCAGTGCCGCCAACGCAGCAACATACATTTGACCATTAGCGCACGAATGCCACCAGGTATATTCATGTCAAAGAGTAGTGAAGCACAACCAGCGTATAGCAAAATTATATTGTTCCTTTTTCATTTTTTCCACGCCATTTTTACCTTTTATTTTTCTACTCTGTATATATACGATAGTATACTCTTCATATTATGCCCTGATAACGTTTTTTTGAATAGAAATTCGAAAAGTCGGCAAATTAAATTTCTTAATCATTGATGAAAACTTCATATGCCGCTTAATGATTTAAAAAAAACTGTTACACCACGGTTTCTATTAGTTAAATTTGAATAGTATTTAATGCTAGTGAGAAGAGCCGCATAAAAACTCTCGCGAGCCGCGGTTTTCCCACCGTTGCCATACACCAGGGGTGGCTAACCTGCTTTCGATCGTGATCGACTAAAATCTTCAAAATAGATCGCGATCAACTGATCGGTAGTAAGGTCCTGCACAAAACGAATGGGCATTGATGGTGCAGATAACTGCACACACCCATACAAAAAATTTCACCGCTGCTAATAAAGAGGCTTTTCGGGCACATTATTATTAAAATTGACAAAAAATTTGTACTTTTTTGTGTTCCATTTAAGTTGTTGATTTGAATATTTAATTGTAGCATTATTATTTTGTTTCATTATTTATTTTAATCATACAATTCAGATAAAGGACGTGACTAATTTTCATTCGTAAGCGTTGAAAATTCTTCAAGCAACCTTGCCAAGTATTATCCATACAGCGAAATATAGATATTGAATAAATGTTACATGACTGCTCAAACCACAGTAGCCTATCGATTTTACAATTTTCTTCGAACACGATTCTTCGCTTGCTTAGTATTGGAACAAATTGGGCATTTTGATGCCACTGCTACCATTGCAATAAAAATTTATCACACTACTCTTGGAGTGAGACAATAACTTTTGCATACTGCGGAATACTTTCGCATACTGCGGAAGTTATTGTAGGATCGTTTGTCAGTCTAGACACGCGATATTCGGCACTGCATTTTCGAGCGGAAAAACTTGCATTCGTCACGTAATAATGTGCTTTTCGGGCTTGCCCAGACTCAAATACTGTATGTGTATATTGTATTTTGTGCATGTAAAGTACTGTGTTCTTCTTGTTGTAAAAAAACAACTGGTTCGAGGCAATTTTCGATACACTCAACATCAGACGCGATCGACTGCTCGAGACGTGGCGATCGACGTGTTGACGTGTTATATACGAATCATCACATTTTACCGTACGATTAAAACATGGTGCTGTTTGATAATTCACTCACTGCCTTGTTATTACGAGGCAGGGAAATGCATGAACTCACAAAAGCAGGAAAAAGAGTTGGCGGAAAGGTAGGACGGAGGGGTATATGAGATTTATTTATTAAGACCCATTGTTATTTTAAAATCAGTTTATTCATTGTTTTATCAATTATTTTATCGTCTATTACGCTGATTATGGAATTCAAAATAAACTTATACTACTTATTTAGAATCCGATCGAATCCACCTCGCGGTATAGTATAGGTACGTGTAATATTTGACTTCGAGAAATTGTCCATGGAGCAATAGACTATGAACATAAAAAGCTGTTACCACATCGTAATATTGCATATAGAATCAAACAGATAAAAAAGAAACTTTGAAAATAACTAGCACGGCAATTCGCTTGGATTCAATCTATGTTATTTTTCGATAATTTATTTATCTATATTCTTATTTTTTTAATACCTAATTTGTTATATAAAATTTTTAAACTACAGGATCAGATGCAAAATTACAGACGCATTCCTATTTAATCAGTTTAAATGTGTGTCTTGAAAAGTACTTCTTTTTGTGATGAAAAATATTTATTGCTCTCATTTGTCGCCTGGAAATAAAGAAAAAAAGCTTGATTGTTTCGCTTATAAAGCACGTTTGGAAATAGATCGGATGTTAAACAATGCAAATCAGCGGCAGAATACGTATCTCTGAGTTCAGTGCTTCAATTTCGAGAACAAAATATAGGTTTGCATTTTCACGCATTCGTTTTTAAAGCGTAATCTTTTTTTATTGCGCTACTACTGCTCTTATGTTAATGTAAAATTGATTTTCAAGAGTATCTCCGATAAGTTGAAACATTGTTCCTATTTAATCTCGATTTGAAGTTACGAGTTATAGGCTCCAATATGAAAGAATTATGTTTTATTCCTTATAGATGAGCTAGAAGATAAAATATGATATCTATTAAATACGAAGTATCAATCAAGTGACTTACATGAATTGTGAGTGCAATATGAGGGATCTCATGTAGAAAGCCGCCGCATAAAAGCGCCCCGCTACCGCCAAAACGTGGCGAAAGCGCAATTACTTTAAACGTGGCGAGAGCAATCTGCAGTAGCCTACTTAAAACGAGGCGAAGGTGTTTTTTTCAAATCACACATTTTTGCATTAGTGGCAGCGCATTTCTGCAAAATATCCTACTGCGAGATGTTTCCTACAAACTATATCATTTCGTATAATTTATAATACTTATTAAAAGCTTTTTGTTGGTTTCAAACAAAAAATTAAAACAGATAATATCTAAGACAAAGCGACGCTTGTGGAAAAGAAGCATTGCCATGAAATCCATCTTTGTTGTTGTCCTTGTGACGGCCGCAATGGTCTGTGCCTGCGAAGGATATTCTTGCAGAAGTGGGTATTTCTTGCACAACCTATTAACATACTTCTCTACGAACAATAATCACAAGCGGTTTGATAAGATATATAATTTCTTCTATACCACCTTTAAAATCATATTCTCGTGTTGCAACCTTTGACCGTTTGTGTAGATGTACAACTGAAATATTTGCAAAGTGAAGCGAGAACTAAAACTAGACTATTTTTGAAAAGTAACGCGGCTTCTATTATATCATTTAAGCAAACGTCAATCGCGGATCCTGCCGGTGCTTTATGATTGTAACAGTCGAAACTTTTATATGAGCGGATCACATTCACAAGTAATATCCTTGTCACTGGTATTGGGTGCTACTGCAAGTTAGATATTCGCTCATTGTTCCACGAGCATGAAAAATAATGGAAGTTCTTCCCGTCTCGTATCAAATTTTTTTGGTTGATTTTTGACTGTGAACTACCGAGAACTGAATATTTTGACAATTGAGAGTTTTCTTGCGTGGAGATCTACTCAAAAAGTAATATTTTTGAGATAATCGCAAATTACATTATTTTATATTCAGCAAAATGCGGGTCGCCGCCAGCCTGTACCAGAAACTGCCAAGCCACAGCATGGTATTATGATCATGAGATCTGCGGATGCGGAACGATAAAAACCAGCAAGTACGATATAAAACCAGAGAATAAGCTCTTCTTCACGAAAAGTCAATGTCAGAAAGTTTGTGGAGTTTAGGTAATTCTCAGTCATTTATTTGCTGCCACGATACATTACATAATAAATCATATCTTGAGATGAAAATTATATATATATTTAATTATGCGTGATTAGAACTTAGTAATTAATTATACTTGAGATTCCTGTATCATATAAAAAACTCCAATCTGACTATTAGTAACAATATTGGTTGAAGGTGGTTCCAAATTCCAAATGTCAAATTTGGTAATTTGCAGCTAATATATTTGTACTTATTATCTATATTTACTTCCGTGAATAAATAGTTATGTATATCTTTTATTTTAATTAAAGACCTTGTAAATAACTGTGTGCAAACTAAAAATTGTGTAATACCAGGTATATTATTCATCTTCAGAATCAAGTTGGAAGCATCCCATCGCTTGTTACAGTGTTGTGTACTGAATTTTGTTCTATATGTGCAAAATAAACGAAAAATCGTGACTCGAATCTCAATACTGTGAGTTATTTTGTGTCTAATTCAAAGCGGGTGCAAATTAGAAACGATTGCGTGCTAATTTTTATTTGTTAAAAATTCTTCAAGAAACCTTGCCAAGTATTATCCAAGCATCGAAAAATAAATACTGAATGAATGTTACTTAACTGCTCAAACTTCAGTAGCCTATTTAATTTACAATTTTCTCCAAACGCGGTTCTTCGCTTGCTTATAATTAGAACAAATTGGAAATTTTGATGCCACTGCTACCATTGCGAATAAAATTTATCACACTACTCTTGGAGTGAGACAATAATTTTCGCATACTGCGGAAGTTATTGTAAGATCGTTTGTCAGTCTAGACACGCGATATTCGGCCATGCATTTTTAAACCTTGGCAGCGGAAAAACTTGCATTTGTCACGTAATAATATGCTTTCGGGCTTGTCCAGCCTCAAATACCGATGTGTATATTGTATTTTGCGCATGTAAAGTACTGTATTCTTCCTGTTGTAAAACACACAACTGGTTCGAGGCAATTTTTTGTGGTATTTCAATAAAATACACTCAACATCTGACGCGATCGACTGCTCGAGACGTGACGATCGACCGGTCGATCGCGATCGACGTGTTGGCCACCTCTGCCATATACCATGCTCTCGCACCTCTTGATTACCCTGAATATGTTCGCAGCTTCGAATCCAATGGTGAAAGAATGCTGGACGCATCGCTAGTCGCTACCGTAGGTGTTTGACCCGTTGTCGATTTCGGCTTCCTCCACCGTCACATTCCGTGCATCTGAGACATATAACTGGCCTAACTAATTCCATATTTGACAGGGGCTGGTAATCGGACGGGAGGCCGTGGTTCGCCATATAATATTCTCTAGATTAAGGTATTTGAACCTGCGTAGGGTAATCAGGTCTTCAAGACAGACTTGTACAGTGCTTTATCAAGAAAGAATCTCCCTGGTAATGAATGTCGTATTAGTTTTCAGCTACTATGTCGGTTTACGCGTCTTAATAATGAAATAGCACGAGATTTCATAAGATTTTGTCTGATGTGGTACTATAGAGAAATGATCGGATTCCCGTGTTATTGAACACACGTTATGGAGTGTAACCCCAATCTGTACTTCTTCAGAGGTCAACAAGCACACAATGTATTGAATGTCAAATGTTCGTACATTGTAAAGATGCAAAATCCAATCCGAATACAGATAAATTGAAAATACATTTAACCGAATAATAATCACAAGCACAATATATCGCTGTCACGAATTATAAAATGACCTATTTCAGAGAATGTAACATACTATTAATATGAATAGGTTAAATAACAATATTATCCATAGTTACAATCCACATTCGCTACGGTACCAAAATACAGACAAAAATAAATACGATCTGTGAACCGTGTTGTTGAAATAAAATTCCGTTGACAGGCCCTGACGTTGACAAACAGCGATAGAAAATGATTCCATTTCTCAGCATGAACCATAGAAGCATCACGACTCCGAGATTTGTGCGATTGTAACAAACAAGTGTTTTGTATTTTTGTTTTTACATTTATCGGTTTTCGTCGCGTTTCGAATTTACATAACATTGTGTTGTAAACTTTCTTTCTGAGGTATTTGTTGATCTCGGATTGTCATAAACTCAATATACAATTTCTCCAATTAAAAAGAATGTAATTTTGAACACTGCGTGTAACTTTCAAGATGCGTGAAAAAGTTGTGAACCCAGCGGTTTGTTTGTGGAATAAATAAAGAACAAACTTAGCGGTAGTCGTGCAAACCTAATATTTATGATTACTGGAAAATATAGACCAGCGTTTCCCAACCTTTTTTGGTCGCGGACTATTTTCTCACCGGCGAAAACCTTTGCGGACTCAAGGCGCGTTTATTGCAACCGTACTCTGTGTAAAGCAGCAATAAAACCAAACACAACAGAAAAACCAAACACAACAGAAAAACCAAACACAACGAATTTCAAAATCGGAAATTCGCCACAATTACGCGTTCGTTAAAAGAGCCGACATTTTTGGTGTATAATGGATTTTTCTTTCGCACAGTATTCATTCCATGACAACGACGAGAATTTAAAATGTATCTATATTTTAATTTAATTGTGTTCATCATGGTAACTCGCGGTTGCGTCGACTTACGACAAGATGAAAGCATTACTTTTTTAAAATTCCACTGCCATCTGCGAACATTATAATGAGAGAATATATTGCCTGTATATATTGCCAGTTGGGATCTGAGTGGTCGCCAAATAGACCGGACTCGATTAGGTTCAGGGCTGGGCATTTTCGATCACCCGATAATTTCACACTCGAATCGAATATTTTTTTTTATTCAAATCTCGAATAACTGGAATATATTCAATGGCATGTGACTTATTACAGTGATGGATCGGTCTTCCGCAGGCACATAAATTACTAAAAACATAAAACCCATCACTCAGACTGTGTACTGATCGTTTACATCCAATAAGAAACATATTTCATCAATAAATCTTTAAGAAGAAAGCGAGCATATGTGACAATCGCATTTAAAAAAATAAATTTAAATAAAATAATGAGGAATCCATCTCGGCCTTTGGCGGCCAAATAAAAAACAAAATGGCGATGTCAGTGATGCCAGTCTGTACTGTTATTGGACACGTAGTGGACATAGCGATCGTTTCAATATTTTGTTGTTGTTGTTCTTGTTCTTTGACACTCTTTAGACACCCAGTGGAAAATCTGAAAAGTCGCCTTTCTCTTTGATTACTGGACCAATTGCTCTGAAAGTTTCAGTGGTTACAGATAACACTTCTCCAGAAGGCTATAGGATAGGATAGGATTTACATATTTATCCCGGGGGGAGAGGAAAGCCGATAAGACGGCTTATCCATATGGCGAACCACGGCCTCTCGTCCGGTTACCATTCCAAGTCGGGTATGGGATTAGTTATATTGTTTGTTTTCGGAAGCATGGACTTGGTGGTGGAGGAAGCCGTAACCGACCAGCGGTTACGTGAACCACCCAACGACGGCGAGGAGTCCAGCAATCCTCTCGCACATAACCATCCCTGCATGGGATTCGAACCTGCGAACCCATGCAGAGTAATGAGAGGTGCGGTGGCGAGCGTATTCCTAACGCTTAGCCCGTTGAGCCACACCGCCGCGCCTGTGGCTCCTGTGGCTATTCTTTTTACTTATTTCAAATATTCTTGTTAGCTCTGTGAGATTCGTTTTTGTTTGCTATGACGTCATCGAACGTTCTGCCGACATCGGACGCCGTTTTGTGTCCGACTGTACTGCTTCGCTTGGTGTTAATATATTTGTAGACTGTGATCTGACGGTACGGTAAACCGTACTGTACTGCAAACAGACGTGTCCATATATTTGGGCGTAGCTCTCTTGTTATTGTTGTACTACGATACAGAGAAAGTTACGCAAACAATATTATGTATACATCTTAATTGAGCCTGTAATCGTTTCCGTGATATCCTATATTTGCAAATCAATAAATTTATTCAGATTATAAGATATGTTCCTGAAACAAAACTACTAACTTTTGAATGTTTCGATGAAACAACGGATTCTGTTTGTATTGAACTTTGAAGAACGATCAAAATGGTCTATTTTTGTTAACATATTTTTCATTATATATATATATACATATATATCACTGTTTCTTTACAAAACGCGAGCTATTTTAGCAACACCAACTATAGATTTCAACTCGACTTGATCTCAATGAGTTATAGATTCTTTAACTTCCATTACGAGATTTGAACTTTGCTAAGATAACGCAATCTGGGTTGTGTCACGCCTAAAAATATTTTCCATTATAGCAGTAAAGATACCGTAACTCTAACATTGAACCATAGCTCCTGTATAAGTAAGTAATCAACAGTAGCATCGGGCATCTGTTTCTAATTTGCACCCGCTTTGAATTAGACACAAAATAATTTACAGTATTGAGATTCGAGTCACGATTTTTCGTTTATTTTGCACATATAGAACAAAATTCAGTACAAAAAACGATGGGATCCAAGAATCTTCAAACTTGATTCTGAAGATGAATAATATATCTGGTATTGCACAATTTTTACGAGTTATTGACGAGATATTTAAAATAAAAGAGATAAGTATTCAATTATGGGAAGTAAGTATAAATAATGAGCAGAAATACATTGGCTGGAAATTGTTACAAATTATGGAACTTGAAATACTAATAGTCAGATTGAAGTTTGTTTTTTATTGGATCGAAATCTTACAGGAATCTCAAGAATAATTAATTACTAAGTTCTAACCACGCATAAGTATATATAATTTTCATCTCAAGATATGATTTATCAGGTAAATGTATCGTGGCAGCAAATAAATAAATGAGAATTACCTAAACTCCACAAACTTTCTGACATTGGCTTTTTGAATAGAAGAGCCCATTCTCTGGTCTTATACTGTACTTGTTGGCTTTTATCTTTCTACAGGCGCAAGTCTCCCGATCAAAATACCATGCTTTGACAGCACTACCTAGTACAGTTTGGCGGCGATTTCCTGCATTTCGCTGAATGAAAAAAAGTTATTTGTGAATATTATCTCAAAAACATTGTTTTCCCAATAGTAAAACTTTTAATTGTCGAATTGTTAACTAATTAATTGTTTTTCAATTCTCAATAGTTCACGGACAAAATCAATCAAGAAAAATTTTGATAATAGATGGAGTGACCTTCCAGTATTTTTCCGAAATTCACAGAACGTTTGACGAATCTTTTGGAGTAGCAAATATTATGAATGTGAATCGCTCATACAAAAGTTTTGACTGTTTCAATCATAAAGCACTGAGGGAGTCCTTGGTTGACTTATACTCCATGATATAACAGGACCCGCATTATTTTTCAAAAATAGTTTAGATCCAGATTTGCTTCACCTTACAAATATTTCAGTTATATAAATACATCAACACAATCGGCCAGATGTTGTAAAGTAAGAATATGAATTTCAGGATGGTATATATAGAAGAATTCTGGTACTACCGTAGTGTGTGAACCACGATGGCGGACACCGGAACGTAGTATGTGTACCAGATTAGAGTTAGGCCATAATTTTAGGTACGAATACTCCGGGAGTCATTTGGCTAGTCCCCAAACTCCAAAACAAGAAAAACTGAAATAAAGTTATGGCCCAAACCTACTACGTTCATACTACGTTCCGGTGTCCGCCATCTTGGTTCACATACTACGGTAGCGCCTGAATTTATATATATATCCCCAACCGATTGAGTTTACTGATTATACAAATTGTTCCTGGAAAGTTGTAAAAAGAAATACTCACTATACTTGCAAAAATTATATCCCTCGCAGGCAAATAACACCACGGCCGAAACAAGGACAACTACAAATAAGACTTTCATTACAATGTTTTTTCCTCGAACGTAGCTTTGTCCTAGATATTACTTAAGTTTAAAGCAATGAGAAAGTATAAAATGTATGATACTCCCGTAGTATGTGAACCAAAATGGCGGACACCGGAACGTAGTGTGTGTACCAGGTTAGGGTTAGGCCATAATTTTTTTCCAATTTGCCTTAATTTAGTTTTATTACGAGTTCGGTGACTAGCCAAGTGACTCTCGTAGTGTTTGAACCTGCAATTATGGCCTAACGCTAACTTGGTACACATATACACCGGTGTCCGCCATCTTGGTTCACATACTAGTACCAAAAGTATTACATATCATACGAAATTATCTAATTTAAAAAAAAGATCTCAGAATAGAAATATGTCACTCATTTACTATCCCTATATTTGATTTAAATATATTATTTCATCCACTAACTGCAAAATATAAAACATATTTCCTTTATATTGGGTCGTATGATTTGAATTCAAATCTATTTAAAAATTGAACCACGTGTCTCGTTATTAGAAACGCTAATTTTGCAGAAGCAGAAGAGCTAGTACTGATACGAAAGAGCCAACGTAAGTTTTATACAAGCGCAATAGAAAATAAAAAATGGACTTTTAAAACGAGTGCGTAAAAATGCAACTCCAAAATTCTTTTTCAAATCTCCTTAGAGAAGTATTCTGTCACCGATTCGCATTGTTTAACATCCTAACTTATTACCACGCGCTTTATAAGCGAAACAATCACGCTAGATACTTTCAAAAATTGTCCATAGAGCAATAGACTGTGAATACTCAAAGCTTTTACTAAATCGTAATAATAAATATAGAATCATAATGATAGAAAAGAAACTTTGAAAATATCTAGCACGGCAATTCGCTTGGTGTTGTTAAATCAAAGTTCCGTTGACCGGTCTTGCCGTTAAGTAATATAAATATGCGAGATCATTTCAAATTTACATTGCACAAACGATGTGATTTGGCCCCAGAATCCATCTCTGGCAAGAATGATTCTGATACTGGCCAATAGTAGTGAACTATAACGCAAAAAATACGACCAATATGATTCTTTGCAAAATTGCGCGAGGAGTGGATCGGAGAAGAATCGGATGTGATTGAAGTCTTACAAACAAACACGCAGTGTATGTTGAACATGAGGAAACCTACTGAATTAATTTTTTTTTTAATTCTTGGACAATTAATCTTGAGACCTGAACTAGAAAATGATGTCGAAATCCTCGGTCCTTTGACAAACAGCGACAGAAAATGATTCCAGTTCTCAGCATGAACCGAAGAAGTATCACGACTCTAAGATTTGTACGATTGTAACAAACAAGTGTTTTGATTTTTGTATTTAGATTTATCGGTTTTCGTCGCGTTTCAAATTTACACAACATTGTGTTGTAAACTTTCTTTTTAAGGTATTTTTTAATCCCAGATTATCATAAACTCAATATACAATTTCTCCAATTAAAATAAATGTAATTTGAACACTACGTTAAACTTTCAAGATGCGTGAAAAGATAAAATATTTCAACCTTCCAAACAACAAAAATAAAACTAAATTGGGTGGATGCGGTGAGGAATACATTCAGCTAATTGAAAATTAACAAGCAAATATTCCTAAAGTCTATGTAAACCCAACGGTTTGTTTGTGGAATAAATAAAGAATAAACTTAGCGGTTGGCGTACAAGCATAATATTTATAATTACTGGAATAGATAGACAGATAAAGTTATATTGAAGTGATGTAAATATTCCTCAAATCTTATGAGTTTAAAAAATAAATTGTTCTTGGAGCAAATAAGTTTTCAGATTAATACGCACATCGTTTATTTCGTCGTAAATAACACGTAAAAGTCTTGCTACACTAGTATATACAAATCATCACATTTTACAGAGTGATTAAACATGGTTCTGGTGAATAATTAACTCACTGCCTTATTATTAGGAGGGGGGGGGGGGATCCATGTAGTCCCAACGTCACTAGATTGCTAGAATCTTTTGTAGAAAGGCCCCGCCAAAAATACTCCCGCCACCGCTCACAATGAAAAAAATACCGGTGGTCAATATTCCGTTACAATTTTTATTCATTGATGCAATTCAGCTCTCGCTTCTTGCATAAAATAAAAATTGAATAATCTGAAAATTTCAATCTCCATCGCAGCAATACATACTTTTTATGACATACACAGAATATGTTTAAAAAGAGAAGCGTCTGTAATCTAATATTCTTCCAATTTTGCATTTTTTTTTTCAAATTAGTTTTAACGTGAATCAGAATTTAAAATAATTGTCGTGTTACATATTTTGAAAGATTTTATTTGTTCGTTCTATCAATATGATTCTATATATTATTAGAACCGCGTAACGGATTTAATATCGCAATCTATTGCCATAAACAAATTCTCAAGGTTTATTACTTTTATGTATAAGTTTATTTCGACTCGACAATCAGCACAATAAACATAAAAATAATTGACAAAACAAAATCAATGAAACCAATTAAGAAATAAGAATAAGTCTTATTGAATAAGTCTCATACTCCCTCGTCCTACCTTTCCGTATATATTTCCTATATATAGTATATTTTAGCGGAATATTTAGTTGGCCATATTATATATGCATATGACATTGGCGTTATGTGTACATGAGTTGGCTGCATAAGCATATCACTTTACCAACTCCATTCAGATATTTACAAGATTATGTGCTAACAAGGAAGAAAACATATTTGAATAAAATTCTTTTCAGCATTTGGATGAAATTACAATGTTAGTATACCAGCACTCAATATATTTGAATTCTGTCGATTTATGAAAAGTGTATTCATAATTAATAGTCATTACAATATGATTATCAAAGATATAGTTAAAACATAACCAAGTCAGTATTATAATAAGTAAACTAATCGATCGCGGAGTCCCTAGGTTGCTCACACTGGGCCCTGGGGCTCCATACGGAGCACTTTGTGAGAATCTGTGGCTAGAAGCTCTATATATTCGTTGGCAGCCAGTTGAATAAATAGTATCCACCAATGCAACAAAGAATAAATATGGCAGCCAGTGACAACATCAATTCTTTTTCAATGTTGATCATGATTGAATCCGTGGCAAGCCATTCGTCCATAATATTTGCGCCTTTATTCTCGTGTGGAAATGGTACGCTAGGTACAGGGACACCCAAAAATTTGCATAGAGGTTTCCATCCCTGGCGATAATTGTAAACTAGGAGTTTTTCAGGAGGTGCTGTCTGTAAAAATAAAAAAAGGTTTTATGCTGATATAGAACAGCACACTCAGCACGACATTCTCTATACATACTCATATATATACCCTTTATTTCTTGATTTTGTAAAGTCGAATAGGAAAAATAGTATCGGCAAATTAAAATTTTTTTTTAATTGTATGGCGTAAAAGATTTTTATTGTAAAAAGCGTCATATACAACACACACACACACCATGAGAACGGTGTTGTCGTAGACTTCCGAGTCTTTTATCTACCGCATGTCACCATACGATTTCATAGTGTTTGCATAGTATGCATAATTAAACACATATTAGCAGCCAATGTTACTATTTACCCCGAATGAAACCTTTATCAAACTCAAGTAAACAGTTCTATTTTACCTGCAGTACGTGTGAGTTGTGCTTTCTAAATTTTAATTTTAGAATTTGCTCATTAATGACCATTCGTCTAAATGGCTTCCATAGCATCGAATCTTTAAGACCATATATTTCTTGGCCTAAACAAATATAAAATTCTTAAGGAAAATTATTGCATCCGAAAAAACAAAAAACAATGTAAATCACAGAACTTATCCAAATAAATTTATATACTCATTCCCATATTTAAAGCTTTTAAGGGTTCATCAAATTTACACTCATAAGCGTTATTTTTCCAGTGTCCTTCTTTTAGGGCAGTAATGACTTTGGTCACTCTTCAAACATAATAGAATGTGCTTTAATTGATCCAATATTACGAATTCTTCAAACAAAACCGTTGCATATATTTTTTTTAAATTACTTAAAGTTGTTGTATAAATAGGTAGTCCAATATTAGCAACAACTAAAACACGTTTAACTAAATAATGTAATGTATATATATATGTATTCATCACCAATATAATAATCCAAAAGAATCTTAAATGTCAAACGCCCAGTTGGTGTCAGGAGTGACATTAATTTCAAAGTCCAGCTCGATTCAACCGCTCGCAACTGCGCTACCAAACTCTTAAGCCATGACTCTTCGTCCCTCGTAGTCAAAATAATCTGCAAATGATAAAAGTTAACAAACTTGATGAATTGTACAACTGAATTAAATTTGCGCCACGAAAAAATGGGGTGACAGTCAAAATATTCCAAACAAATTTTGTTCAAGCATCTTTTATTCCAAGTCTTGGAGATGCATAATATTATTTGTTATCGGTATCGCGGTTAGTCAGAATGTGTTATGTTCTGTAAGTATATTTTATACTCAATACTATATCGAATGAATAGCATGGAATGTCTGGTTCTACCCATATCGTGTGTCACCACTCTCAATTGAAACCCATGCCGTCGATCTAGATCAGTGGTACTCAGCCTTTTTTTTATTTTGTGACCCACTTTCGTTGCACAAAAAATTCTGCGGCAATTAAATTTCCCATGCAAAGGAAAAAATACAAGAAAAACAAAAAATTCTCGCAAAAATAGGTACTTCCACTTTAATATTTAAAACGAGATTTACTACCTAATAGCAAAAATAGCATCCTCATTCATTTGCTCCTACAAACAAAGTTAAATCAATTTAGGTTTAGGTTTGGCTGGCTGAGAATCGTTGTTCTAGAATCTACAATAGATGATTCTGCAACCAGTACTGCTCGAATTTCCAACCGTATCTATAATTCTTTCACTTCATAATTTGGCAAACCTTCATAAAATTCTGTCGTATGACGAATTAGATGTCATGTTACCTTTGCGTCCGGGAAAGCTTTATGAATTTCTTCCCAGAAAAAATTTGGTGGCGCGTCAGACACTGCCTCAACATTTTCGTACATTCTTTTAAAATCCTCAGTGATCCATCCATCTTTAAATATTTTTTCCCAATCTCTGCCTAAAATTGTAGTATTTTCCATGAAATCGTAAACATTGAACCCCAATGTTTTTAAAGCAACAGTCATAGTCTTGGTTCCAGTTTTTGGATAGCCCGCTGATATCACCTTCATATTGCTGCTCGTGTAAGTATTGTTTCATTCTTACTAAGTCATAACCTATATAGTCGTCGCACCAGCAAATACTGAGTTAAACATTAACTAATTTAGGTCAATGCAAAGAAAAATGTTAAGTTTAGTATCCTTTCATATTCAAACATATGCATTCAACGCATATGCATATACAGCCAAATCATTTATACATAGCTGATAGCTGTATATTGAATTAATTCAGTATGTATGATATGTATGTATATTATTTTAATCGGGGGTTTTCAACCTTTTCCCTGTTAATTACCCACGGGGGTCATAAAATTAACAACACGAACCCCCAGTAATCAGACACAAAACAAAGTTGTAATATAATAACTAATAATTTCCAAACTGTGTTTTAAAGCAATGGTTCCCAACCACTGATCCGCGGACCGACATCGGCACCGGAAGCTTTTTTGTCGGTCTGTGAAAATTTTTGTTGTTTTTCAGTCGTGTCAAACAATTTACCGATCCTGAAATAACGACATTGTATTTGTTTAATACGCAATTTCCTATTCGCCTACATATTGCTGTATGCGGTATTAATGGCCCGACGACCTCTTGGCGCAAGGTAATCACACTTTTTGCTTTTTCGGTTCCGATTCATCGCGAAGCGTCTGTGAAATCTCGCGAGATTCAGAAAGCCAAAGATCGGCACATGTATTTTCTGCCTTTCCTGCATTCCATTCCTGCATAATATGAACTTCCAACTAAAAGGTTATGAATATTTCTTTGTTCAAACTAGAAAACAGTCATGGACAGTATAATATTCCAGGTCTTCGCCCTTACATTCAGTAAAATTTTTGAGCTTGTTGCAACCCTGCAAGTGGTCACAAGACGCGCAACAAAAGCTTCGTTTCCAGGGGATGCACATCAGGATTGTGAACCTGACTTACATACGACATTCTGACATTTTTGTAAATTCATTTTGTTTGAATAACTGCAGAAGGATTGATATGAGATCAGATAACCAATAAAGCATTTTGATATTTTTTAACATGAACGAGGAGAATAGGTCTTCTTCTGGACAAAGTTTGATCTTCTTATTTCAATTTTGGGCCGGTGCATTAGTTGTTTTTATTCATGTGAAATGTTTTCAAGTGTGCCTTTTTTTTGTATCTGAAAGCATACTAGCTTTCAAGCACTATACTTGACTACAAATCACTTCACTTCAAATTTTAAGACAATTTTACCAAACAATAATCCTAAATACAGAACTGACAACTCTTCCAAACTTTTATATAATAATTTGGAATATTTTAATAAACATAGTGAATAAATGTAGAAAATTGTGCATGTTTCAATCAGGTTGGACAAAAATGTAATTTCATTAAAATGTGCTTCATCAAATTTGTTTCAATAATATCTACTGGTAAGTTATAACAAATGTTCAATGAAATATATTTCTTACCAACTAGTTATGTATATATGCCGGTGACAAAGAACAGTTTATTTGGGAAAAAGGTACTTTCACTTTGTCGAACTACATTAGCACTTTAAAGAAAAATCTTATCTTCCCTCTATAATGATTTGATTGTTTCTGCAGAACTATTGGAAGAAATATAAAACGTTATTTAGAAAAAAAGAGTTATCAAATTGTTTCATGCATATAGCCTTTCTTAGGTAATCATGCCAATTACATGAAATAGATGTAAATTGACCGCAAACACATTTCAACAATATTGAAACAAGTCATGTTCTACATTTATAAGAGTTATTTTCAAAAAATAGAATCAAACAACGAACTGGCTGTAAATATATTTGTCAGTGATGACTTTGCAAATTTCAATAAAAAATATGGCGGTGATGAAAAACATTTTTCTTTTATTAATTTATTTTACGTTCAGAACAAAAGTTCTCATACAGATTGGTTGCATAAAGCAACCTATATAAATGTACATCCATCTATCTGGCTATAAAAATCTGCTTATCATCTTTCAAAACATTGATTGATGTCAAGGTTGACTTAACTGGTTATGGGTAACCCAACGTACCGCGTACTAACATGTGTGGCGTGCCATTATGTTAAAAATAGTTCAAACTCGCGATAAATGAGGCTTTATGTCTTCATATTGTATATATTTTATTATCAGTGTATACAAATATTCATACCATTGTTTATTGTGAACTTGCGTTATCAAGCGTTTTATTTAGTGTGATGGTGAACCCATTGTACCATCTTGCATTAAAAAATGTGATTTTAAACACATCAAACAGTATTTAGGAAAAATATTCTAAGCAAGTTCATTACAAAGATGCGGTGAAAGCATTTGATTTAACTGAAATTTAATAAATATATATTCGCAAAATTTATATTGTACGTCAATCTAACGTTTGCTTGTGCGTCAATATGCCACGGTGAAATACTTGCGGTTGCCAACCTTGAACTTTTATCTTAATAGATATCTCGGTATCACCTTGCTTTTGAGGCTTTGAGTGAAATTAAAAAAATATTTTTTTTGTGATAGAAGTAAGACAAAGCGCAAACGATATTTAACTCAAGTAACGAAATGTACATTTATATAAGATGGCAGGTACACAAACGTAAAGTGAAAGTAGTATTTACATTTTTTTTTTATTAAAAACTCGACGTTTCCATAAAAACTGAGAAGTGTTGTATTTCATAAATCTATCAAAAATTGCTAGACCCATTGATAAATTAGTTACATTTGATTTGTTGTATTTGATTTTATTGCAACGAAAGTTGGCCACGAAAAAAAAAGATTCCGAACCACTGGCCTATAAAATATAATTCTATTAACCAGCTTTAACATGTAAAAGCTGTGCGTTATCTGCGCAGTTTACCTCGCCTTGAATAGGATAGGATTCACATATTTATCCCGGAGAAGAGGAAAGCGATAAGACGGATTAACCCTATGGCGAACCACGGTCTCTCGTCCAGTTACCATTCCATGGTGGCCCACGTTCGTTGCAAAATAAATTCTGTGTCCCATAAACTTTCCTTCGCAATGGCTAAACAACGAAAAAAAAAAAATTCTTTCCGCAAAAACAGGAATTCCCTTTTTTATAATTTAAATTACCAATCGGTATAGCAAAAAAAAAGCCATCATACTTAATTCTAATACAATCAAGCACCCTACGGCGGCGATGAGTCCAGTAATCCTCCCGCACAAAACTATCCCCGCATGGGATTCAAACCTGCAAACCCACGCAGACTAATCAGAGATGTGGTGGCGAGCGCATTCCTAACGCTAAGCACGATGAGCCAGACAGCTGCGCGGGAATATAATTTGGTATTTCAGTAAAGAATGCATCTGGTGACAGTCTGTACCATTTTATTCACGTTTTTTTATTGGTTTGCGCATTTCAAACAGCAAATGACCTTTCGCAGACGCCTTGCTGACGCGTTTCCCAAATATCGTTATTTAAGATTGTTGAACCGGTATTACAGGAAAATCAGCTTAAAATTTGGAGACGATATGACATGATCAACGCACATCTTTCACATTCCAGGGCGCGTTGGAAGAATGTCTTGATTTCGTGAGAGACCCAATGAAATCCACAGCACGAAAATTTTTTCAAAACATTCGTATAAAAAAATTGACGGCTTGATTATAAAGATAAATATCGCTTAACGTGGAAGACGCAGGTGAAATTACAAAACAATAAAAGTAACATCTTTACAGCGGCTTCGGCCCGAAAATTTGGAATCGGTTTGTCTATTATTTGTGAGGGCAGAAGTAACTTGCCGTACCTAATCCACAGTGCGTAATCGGTACTGGAAAACTTCAGATTTTCGAGAAGCAAGATTTCGTAAAATCAAAAAAAGACAGAAACGATCTTTAGGTCGTATTATTTGTCATGTTCACGTTGTTATTAAAAAAGCCTTTTCTTTAATGCTATTGTTAAAATTCTTTGTCATGTTCTCCTTTGTCATTGGTATCGACCAATTCCTTTGAAATTTTCAGTGGTTGAAGATTGTATTATTTCGCTATATGGCAATTTTACTTTTTTTTACTCTTAAATTTCATATGAAAATATTTTATTCAAATAAAAACCAATCCAAGAGGAACACGGTTTTTAGGCCTCACATCGTGACCGCCGTCTTTTTACTTTTTGATTTTACGAAATCTGGCATTGCGAAAGTCTGAAGTTTTTCGATACCGGTGACGCACTGTGACAACTGTTCATAATTGAATACTATCTTGTTCAAGCAGTTTTGTGGAAACGATCACATACGGATCAGAAGTATATTATAGACAAGGAGAAATGACCTGCCGTTCAATGAACAATATCTTAGTACTCCCAACATTGGAAACTAGAATTCGGTTGAAAACCGAAGACTTATCGATTGAAGGTTAGGGGATCCCCCAAAACAGTGGTCTTACTCCATAGTGACACCGTGTGTCCCATCACTAATTCATTAATAACTCGCTTATTATACGACATAATCCATCCAAATTCAATAGACTTCTGATCCGAGCTAAGATGAATGCACATGCAAAATTTGGAGCAGATTGAACCTCGCTTACGTGAGATATCGCGTGCATCATACACACAGACATACAGACCTACAAATACCTATCAACATACTTACCGATCAAGATCGATAAGTAATAACAGTAAGAGGAACTTAGCAAATGATTCCTAAAAACATTATTTTTATTCTTAGCTTTTCATGTGACAAATTGTAGAATTGAAACACTGTTAGTTTGAATATGCGATTCGGTTAACTTCAGATTCGCGACGTCCTCGTGGAGCGTGTATAATTTATAGCAAAATATAATCTTTCGTAAAAGAAGAAGAAAAAATTGCTTTAATAAACTGCCCTGCGGGATTTAATGAAATATGCTTCACGCAATTGTCTATTAAAGACGCCGTAAAGAAGATATTGTTCAATATAGAATCCGGCGACAGCAGCAGCATAATGGCGATCATATAGATCAGTGGTTCTCAAACTTTTTTAGTCTCAGAGCCGCATTTTAAACCTCAAAGTTATCAAGAGCCGCACACAAACAACA